ATCCCTCCAATTATATAATGACATATAGCAGCTGGAAATTATTAGATTGTATTTTTATTTATTTTACATAAAGGGTTGAAGAGGACAACATCATAAACGTTTTTGTTTTATGGGTTTCTAGTAGTACTGCACGTCCATCATCTTCCCCCTTAACATGGCTTCTGCTTTCCTCACCTGCTTCACTGGTCCGATGATGAACACCTGCATTCCGGGGAGAAAAAAAAATAGACACCACAAACTTCGATCAATTTTTTGGGTCTACTTCGAACAACTATTCTAAATCATGTAGATTCGATGGACTGACCTTATCCGGCGGACCCTTATCGCTTCCCATGAAAATTTCAGCACTGTAAAATAATAACATAAAAATATAATGTAGGAGGCAAGAAAGAGATCAGCGGAACACAGATGGAGAAGGAGAAACACACAAAGATAGAGAGAAGATTGTACTTGCAAGACTCTTTTATTGACAAGATGGAAGATCCTCTTCTCCCGATGACACGGCCCATCTTTCCCGGAGGAACATCAAGAACTGAAAGGATTTCTTCCTCTGGAGCATTGCCCTCCACTTTAAGGTTATCTGTTAGGAGAAATAACATCCGAATTAACATCCAATTATATGTACACTGTATAGGCAAACTATGGAGGGATTCTTATCTGTCAAAAATTAACATAACGAACACTGATTGATGGACGACATGCACATAATTTTTAGTGGCAGAATTAATTGGATTTGAATAATGCAAACTAGCCTCATACGTAAAGCTTTAAGCTTGTATATAACTCAGCATTTTCGATAACCTAGGTTATATGCAGAACGTTTCACCTAGTTTTGTAGTCTTTAAGTAATAGTTGTGTGGCATACATATTGAAGAAGATTCAAGACCTGGAATAGGGGGGAGAGATGGCCAGTCTGCAAAATTATTATCGCTGATGCAAAAACAGCGGCAGTAGAGCGCACCACGAACTGCAAGTGACCATAATGACTGTTGATTCAATTTCTCCATCATCTTGTAATAGATATACAGAAGAAAGCGGACATCATCTGCAGCTGCGCGGACCATCTGTTCAGATAAAGGTCTGTAGGTCCAAAAGTTGGGATCCTGTACGTATATTAAATAAATGTCATTGACAGAAGACCCTTTTCAAAACGATGTGTAAAGAATTTATGAATCAACATCAAACTATGCAAATTTAAGTTATATGGCCAATGCTCTTTTGTTGATAATCTAAGTGTAAACCACTTCAGAGTGATTCAAAACCTTTTTCATCAGGCTGTAATCTCATAATCATTTTCCCCGTCTACCATCACACCGACTTAACCTTCAATGTATTTTATATGGAAAATCAAGACAGGGAGAAAAAGATAATAAAAGAACTCAAGAACAATTGTTATGATGTTGTAACGAACCTGTCTAAGGAGGAAACGAACTTCTTCCTTCTCAAGATAAGATATTCCTGCAATCAAACTCTAAAATGAAAACTGAAGCCATACTGGGAAGATCTAAACCTAACAATCCAATTCATCATGTCCCCAGTATCTAATTTTGTCATCCAGAAAACTTTTGGAATGTAATCAGATAACATTAAATACGTGGGTCCAGTACTTGAAGAATGATCTTTTAAATAGATTATTCTTATGATTAATTTAAACTCTTGGAAGACAAAAGCATCGGTTATTTTCATCAAATCAATGTAAATCCGAAAGGATATGGAAATATGATAACAAACAGAAACTTCAACGGATACCACGAAATATATAATGTAATACCACAATAGCGTGGATCAGCAAGGAGGCCAACGAATGATATATAATCATCTAGCAATTTTTTCCGTCCTTCTTGCTCCTCTATCAGCGAATAAGCAATCTGAATGCCAAAAATAATATTATTATTCTATCTACCATCATGCCTAACAAGAAAATATAGATAGCGAGAGAGCTCCAATTTCTGACAACTGATAAAAGGATAAACCACATGTTTATAAAAGTTCAAGATCGACTAGGCACAGAAGTAAAAGTCAATGAAGCACCACTATCAGGCCAACCCTCATAAAAAGTTGTTTCTAGGTATTATCAAGGATTCAAGGCCACCTAAGCAGGCCACATATCAGAAACGGTTAAATTCAAACGAGAACACACAAAAAGTAGAGATGTATTTCTAAGTGATGTCAATGTCATTCTAAGCCAGCCCACCATGGACAGGTCCTGAAACTCAACATTTCGATTTAGTCCCCATAGATTAAACTTCTCTCCATCTAAGGACAGAGGGTGGAGGATGGATAAGGATTCTTTTTATGTTAGATTTGACATAAAAAAATACGTCGAAATTTCTAACAAGTGATAAAGGATGCTCACCTGGGTATCTACAACATTGTTCAACTTGATGCCAAACTGAAAGTACAGGGCCTGAAAAAATAAAACAAAATTCAATAACGGCAACAAAATGTAAGGTACAAGCTGGGATGAAAATAAAACGGATCAGATACCTCACTATCTCGTTTGCAATCATGAATGACTTTGGTGATATAGGAAGACTCAAGTGCAGGCTTACAGGCATTGATCAGCATCACCCCTCCCTGAATGGCATCAACCAGATATATAGCATCTGGAAATGCAAGCTGGCAGAAACAAAGCACTTCCAGTTTATTAAAAAAGCAGAAAATTACAAACAAGAGACTGCCTTTATATATTCAGATAAACAAAAAATACAGGCAAATGCAAGAAATCTAATCAGAAAGCAAAATGACAACCAATTTGGGAAGTGACGAACTGTTTCTCTTAGTATTTTATTGACTTACTTTTTGTAGTAGGCTATTAACAATCTATGGGCCTGTTTGGGACTGCTTTTGATGGCGTTAAAAACACTTGAAAGCGCTTCACAGTCATATAAGCGTATTCTGGAGAAGCACCTGCTATGTGCTCTTCCAGATAACTTCCAAATGTTTTTCCAGGAAGCACTTGGATTTTTAATAATTTTGCACTTGTATTTTTAATAATTTCAACTTACTTCTAATAAAAGCACTTCTAATGTAAACGTCTAGAAGCAAAAGTGGTTCCTACAGAAGCAGTTCCAAATGGGCCCTATATATATGCCCTTGCTTAGATTAGACAAACATCTAATAAATGAGACAGGTTGGACACAAATTTGAAGCTGAACAAATATCCACAAAATACAGAAACAATACTAATTACACAGACCTGCATGATACAGAGAGTTCCATGGCGACAGAGGTCAACTCCCTCGCAATCGAAACCAATGACAAATGGCCTTTCAGCTGAGGGCTGCAAGAACTCAGCAGGCAGCTGAGATGCATGAGTGACTATACGAATAGGAGCCAATGGCAACTGGGTTTCATGATTTAGGGGTTTCTCACCTGCAATCCACCCAAAAAACAGCTAGTTTCACATAAAATTAAACAAAAAGAAACCAAATTTAGTTCAAATTCATAAACCCCAATTCACAACTATTTAGGGCGACACAGATACGCCAATCAATCATCCAAAGATTCAACATTTTGCAGGTAATTTTTCTTTCCCGCATTTTCCCGGCAACCAAACAGACCAAAAGCAATAGAAACACAAAATTGAAATTAAAAATTGAGAAAGGGTAATTGGGGGATTGGATTGGATTGGAGAAGACAGACCTGGGCCAGGCGAGAGAGGAAGGTGAGTCTGTAAAGGAGGAGGTACAGAGGCCATGCGATCGGACCATCCACGCCAATCTTTAATTTTGCCTCCAAACCAACGAACCCTGATTGTCTCCCGCTTCACCAAATTATGTTTACGCCCCCCATTTCATTTTCTTTTACGTTTTTCTTCTGCGGAAATGGAGAGCCGACATCCATTTTGGTAAACCCGACCCGTTCTCTTTTGATAAAAAATGGAACTTTATCAAAAGCTCCGACTTTGGTTACTCAACGAAAAATCATATTTTTACATTAAAAAGTCAATCCTAATATTATTCATTTTACCCTTTATTTTATCCTTATCGTTAAAACTCAAAGTTTTCAAGTTATTTTCATTAGTTTTCCTTAATAAAAAACCCTTTTAAGTATACATTTCGATGTTGTAATTTACTTTTATGTCTTTTCCGATCTTAAAAACCAAACGAGGGCTAAACAAAACTCTTACGTGTACCCGATCTCACGGGCGTACTTATTGTTGAGCATGTATGAATATATTTAAGTAGTATCTCTCTTATTTATAAGTGAACATTTCTTAAATCTGATTCTCGTAGGATTTGAGTTTGATGTCAAAGTGCATGTCTTGTTCACCTTACCTTTCAGCCACCTTTGTAAATTTGTACATAAATCACCGATTAATCTATCTATTTTCACCTTCGCCTCATTGTGAAGTTTTGAAAATTAAGGTGAGACTTTCCGTTGAGATTCTTAAGTGTAGAACCCCATTTGACAATTTTATGGGCCTCACTATATATTTTTCACATATTTTTTTAGTTTTCGGCTTAAATATTCTACTAGATATACATTTATTGCTTAATAAACCATAAAATTGCTTTCAATTTCTTTAAAAAGTTTTTGCAAAAATAAAAAATTTGCATTTTTGTAAAAAAACATGGGTGTTACCGGTCGCGAAGCACGTAAAACGAGGCGAACTCAGCTCACGCAAAGTGAGGCAAACCATGGCTTACAAAACAAGACGGGCTCCGTTCATAGAAAACGGGATGTTGCTTTTGGCACTCAAATAGTATCTGATAAAAATTGTCCGCACGATGTTTTTATAATTTTACAACGTGAATTTAAGAAAATGCCCTTTGAGGCAAAAATATTGACTTTTGTTGACCGCTGTGTCGTGTTGCGTAAGGCTCTTTTCCTTGGTGTATCTTTGTAGAACTCATCACTACGAGCGTGTGGGTGTAAGCGAAATTGAATTTGGAGCTAAAACGAAGATTTTACAGAATTCGAAACATTTGGGCATTATAATAATTTTACGTCTCAGAAGATATTTTTGTGTGTGTATTGTTTTGTGAGCCGTATGGCCCACACCTCATTTCTCCTTCTTCTCCGTGTCATTCCCTCCCTCAATCTCTCCGACTCTCTCGAACCCTCTATCTCTCTCATTTTTCTGCCATTTTCGTGCCTTGTCCCCCTCACCCCAGCTCTCATCTCTTTCTCTGTACATCCAAAACCACCACCACCACAAACCACTTTATCACTCTGGCAAACATCACTCTCAAGCAACCCTCATCCTAAATTCGTGACTGAGACAAGACCACTATCTCTCCCTCTCATCACAGTATCCCTTATATCTCTCAGTAAATCACCATCGAGACATCACCACCACCACACAACACATTCATCCTACTGGCGAACCCAAATCATCACACCACTAGATTTACCATCATCTCACCCCTATGAACCTAACCCCAAGTTTGGGTTACTGGAATTGTGCCTTAGAGCTCAAATAGAGCTCTGTTTTAGAATTGAATTTCCGACAAGTTTCCATGAATCCTGACTAAGGTAAGCGTTAGGACCTTTCTTTCCCTTACCTTTCTTATTGCTAGTGAATGATCTCAAGGTTTGGATGCATTTTGATAGGGTTAGAAGCTGTGAGACGAAGGGATGACTTCCCTAAAATTTTGGGAAACCCAAGATCCGTGGCCATCTAACCTTCTTCATATCCATTTTTCTGCTAACGCCGATGTTGACTCAACCCCCAATAGGTATAGTCTTATTCTCTACATTTCTAATTTCAAAATGGCTTTTGAATCATCAAATTTGATTAAGTATCGAACTAGAAATTAGCTCTTAAAGTTGGGAAGAAAATCTGAAATTTCTGGCTTCGCGAGGATGGCGAGTAGGCCTGTACTTGCGAGCGCGTGGGCTGTGCGTGGTGCTGTAGTAATCGACGCTTGGAGCACACGTGCCTCCGTCGGAAGTACTATGCGGCATCGGCAAACAATGACTTTTCCGGCAACCCATCTCGACACGTACGGTGGCACATGGCCTCCTAGGCCGCCGCCCGTGGCGGAGCGTGGGGAAAACCCAAGGTCCCTCCTTAGTTTTTTAACGTGCCGAATCCAAATCCGCTATCTGTTTTTCCAAACTCTATAGTTTTAGCAGAGTTGTATTAAATGGTCTCTATTTGTGTTTAGGTGCGTCGGTGGGAAGTGACACCCTTTTCCCTGGTTCGAGTTGCTCCCTTGCAATGGAATACTATGAGTGAACCCCTTCTTAACTTGCATGTTTTTATAAAATATTAGGCTTGCTTTCACAAAGAACATGATTTCATGATTTTATGTTTTATGCATTATTTATGATTTATCAAGTTTACGTTTTACGAAAGGTTATGAATTATTGGATTTTCGTATATGAAATTCTATGGATTTACGAATATGAATTATCATGGATTTATGAGATCAGGCTTTGAGCTTTTGAGCTCCGGATTTGATATGATATTTTTGAGATACGCTTTCAATGCTTATCTAGTGGCTTATCATGCAGCACATACACACAACCAAGTATGCAGACGTCTATGGCCATAAGACACAGTTGATGAGATTTATGACATACTCCCAGCTTCACTAGCCCGTGGCTAGTGTCGGTGCGTTATGTATATATATATATATGTATATGTATGTATGTATGTATGTATATTTCTTCTCTGGCGTCGTATAGCTTCACCTTCAGGCAGTGTCATATAGATTCAGCTTCGGGTGATGGTTATGCCTTCGAGCCACTATAATACCCCTAGTTGAGTACATCATTGATGAGATTTATGGATTGGCCTTCGGGCAACGATGACACACCCCGACTGAGGCCAGGGCGTGCTGGCCGTCACGCGAAGGTGATGTAACCATGTGCACAGTGCGGAAGCTAATAAAATAGTAACATAAAAGTACGAATAATTAAAAACTAGCATACATAAGGTAGAAGTAGTAAGTGCTAGCGTAAGTGAGACGTTAAGTTCAGAGCCAAAACGCCTAAAGCAATCCAAAAGGAATAGATGCGACAATAATACACCCGAAGGTGGCCCTACGCTGGTGATCGTCTGTCAGAAATGCCGGGAAAGCCCTCTGGGAAACCACCAAACTTGCTAGCTAGCTAGAACCTGGAGGGGCGCAAAACAAAAGCGTGAGTGGGCAAAAACAAAGCTTTTCAAAAACCATTTCAAAACAAGATTCTAACCCCTCGCCGTAAAACCTGTATACTTCCCAGAAAATAAACATATGTACGTATATATAGATATGCCAATCATGCTCAAGAATATGCCATGTCTGAACCTCAAAATGAAATGCAAGTGCTCAGGTATAAATCACATCAATAACATGTAATCTGGCAGCCGGAGTCACCTAACGTGACCTGTACGGCTGCATCTAGAGCTCAGATCTCAATCACAATAACTAAACCTGCCCACGAGTCGGAACCACCTAAAGTGGTCTGTACGACAGGCCTGGGTGTAATACATATAAACGCTCTAGTGCTACGATCACGTGAAGGCTGTGCGAATAATCGCGGGTCACCTACAAGTCGGAACCACCTAAAGTGGTCTGTACAACAGGACTGTGCACCTAACTTGGATCCAAGCTGAGCGTGTGGTGCGGGAGGTGAACAACACGTGAAGGACTGTGCCCTACTCTGGGCGGGAGCACTAACACCGGGGGTGCAGGTTATGAGCTCTCTAAGTATCTTGAATCATCATTTAAAAGTAAACATGAATACACTTACCTGACACTTACCTGTGCATCCACAACACCAAATATGCATATGTATATAAATATATATGCCCAATAATGCAACCAATAATGCATAAATGACGATAACATAATGCATGACATATAACTAATAAACATTTAATTCAATTTCTGGGATAAATATAAGTATATAGGTATATACGGAAAACCAAAAGCCCACTCACTGATAAGTGGAAGGGTCGTAGCCCCCCTGCCTCGAGTGACCACGCTCGTCCTCGGGATATGTTTCACCTATATGCGAAATAACTATAAAAACGTTAATTTTAAAACACATAACCAAACTTTCGAAATAACTTCTCATACATTGCTTAAATGGGGTGTATGAATACACCAACGTGATCTACTCAACCTCACGAACAACCACAAATTTTTAGAAAAATTTTTCACCGCCGCACGCGCCCCCACGCACCGGCCACGCGCAGGCACGTGCCTGGCACACTGACGGCGTCAACTGACGCCGTTAGGAATATTCCGTTAATTCTAACGGATTCCGTCAATGGCGTCAGGAATATTCCGTCAAACTTGACAGAATATTCCGTCTCCTTCCCCGACGAACCTCTGGCGACGTCGCCGGCGCCGGAAAACTGGAAAATCTTTAAACTTCGATATCTCTGTCGTTTCTCAACCAAATTCCACGATTTAGGTACCAAATTGAAGCTTAGAACTAGAAGAACATAACCATACAACTTTTAAGGGCTAAAAACCACGAATTCTCACCTGAAAAAAATGAACCAACTCCGGCCAACTTCGAAACCAACGATCCCGACGTCCAATTCCCTCAAACGAACTACTCCGAGCCTCCTTGGAACCTTACCAAGCTATCTACAAGTTTCATTTTCCCTAAAACGTGAGAAATCACGTGTGCATGAATAGTACCCCAAATCGGACATTGTGAAATCGACGTGAAAACGTTGGAGTTCTTACCTGAAAATGGTATGGTTGGACTCGTACGAGTCTCACGAGCTCGAATATGTACTTAGTTCCTTCGATCTGTGGAGGTTTAGTGTGCTTGTGTGTGTGTCCGTACGTTTTCAAAGAAAAAGGGAAGGAATGGGGAAGGGAACTGGGCATGGGATAGGGGGTACAGGGTAGGGAAAATGTGTAGGTGTAGGTTAGTGTGTGTGTGGCTCACAACAAGCCAACAAAAACCCAATACAACCACAACACGAAAAGAGAACGCACTAGGGGCAATATTGTCTTTTCACACGTACGTTAAAATGTTTCTGGGACGGGCTGTCACAAACGATATCACCACTATTGAGCATTGTTTTACACGTAAATGTTTTATGAATGTTTTCATGGCATGTTAAAGTTTTCAGAAAACCTACTATGTAGTACTCTATATGTGTTTTCAAACCAGGGGGTTAGTATGTTCATAAAGAAAATTGTTTTCTTATTATTAGTATTATTATTATAAACTTTGGTCCACTCACCATTTGTTTTGCGCCCCCTTAGGAGAGAATCGAGGAACACAATCCTGGCGTCAGGACACTTCCGCATAGGTATCTTCAAGTCTTCTCAGTGTAGGACCAATTCCTTTGTTCATACCTTTCTATAATAATTCTTTCTCATTATTCTTGATTAGTTTTATTCTCTGAACACGGTTTTGTATTGGTGTATCTCTTTCTAATTACATATTTTATTTGCATGCATGTTAAGATGGATTTGTCAACCTCGGGTGTCGGCCAGCACGTGCCTATCCTGGTATTTGGGGATATCAGGATTGGGGCATGTCAAACAAGAGCAGAGACATGTGAAGGGACATAAAGAGTGTCAAACCAAACACTCAAGGTGGTGTTTCCTAGGCTCTTCAATGCTGAGCGAGTCGCTTGATACATGTTCTACCATGAAACTTTGCAACTAGACCTAAGCAAATGTCACTTCCTTTTCGCGTGTCAATTAAAAGACAAAGGAGTAGCCAACAAGACATGTCTACGAGTTTGATTCATTTAATGATATAAAAGTGAAGTATTCAATAAGCCAGGACTTTTTGGGGCTCACTGAGGGCCTATATAAGAGTGATGAGTAGCTCTTATAAGCAGTTAGACACTCAAGAAAACAGAAACATTATACTTTTATACAGCACTTCTTGCAGTCCATATTAAATATGTATTGAGCATTACAGTGGATATAGCCCATTTTTTAGGATGAACTACTTAAATCTTGTTGTCTATTACTTAAAGCTTTTTATTCTGAGCCCACCAACGGTTGACTGTACTAGTCTTTGTACCTTATATTTTTAAGCGTAAGCATTCATGTCATTACTCGCTAAATGAGGACCATTGCATGTTATGTAATCTAACGGTTCAAAAGAATATATAAAACTGTCTGTCAAAATCATTATTTCTTGATCCTATCTTTATATACATATACGAACAAAAGAAAAAGCAAAAAAAAAGTGTGATGTATATAATTTGTATGGATCGAAATTGATGGTGACGTGTTTTTGTGTTGTGATCGTTTATCCACGACGACTCCATTTTATCTCATAAAGTTGTGTGTGTGTGTGTGTGTGTGTGGGGCATGACAACACCAGATTTTACCGAATCAAGCTTTATGTGTGTCTGCTTGCCAACCTGTTCGCCATTTAGACCGACTTCGAATCCTCTGTGCCAGATATTAGTTCCTAAAAAGTGCCCACCACTAAAGTTTCGACACGTGTCCAAGCACATAACCATCCAACCTAACGGCGTTGACTTAAACAAAAAATTAAAAAAAAAAAAAAACTATTAAAACAGGAAACCGAAAAGAACCAAAAACTCCAGACGCATCGACGGCCACAACCCCGTCAACCACTCGACTCCGCCGCTGGCAACTTTCCCTGATGTTGTATTGTTTGAAAGAGTTAAGTGAACATGTTGTATTCCGGCGGCTGAAGTAGTCGGGGTGGGTGGAGAGGTATCCTGGGTTTTTTGGTATTTTACTTTTTTTTAATTTTACTTTAACACTGTTGGATTAAAGAGTTAAGTGAACATGTGTCAAAATATTAGAGGTGGATATTTTTTTGGTACTAGTATCCCGTACAGAGGATTTGAAGCCACTTAGATCCCACAACAGAAGAAAATGATACGTGGCAGCTACACGTCGGATCAAAAAGTACAAAATTGACTCAACTCTAATTTACCTTGTTTTGCTTATTTTAAATGAGTGTATTTTTGTTCACTATTATTTAGTGTAGTGTATGCTCACCACTCTATTTATCACCGTTAGATGAGTTTGAATTTTGAGATTTGTGCTTATCCACTACACGAAATCTCGAAATTCAAACTTATCTAACAGTGATAAATAGGGTGATGAACATACACTACACTAAATGATGATGAGGAAAAATATTCCCTATTTTAAATATCATCAAGTACTCTATTGCAAATTACTTTAAAAAAGGTGTATGTTTGCTCACCGTTTTAAAGTGGTAATGAGCATGTTAATTACTATTGAATTAGTTTAAATTTTTGAGTTTTGTGTAGTAAATCGATTACATCAAACATATTTAACAGTAATAAATAAAATGACAGCATCCTCTTACTTTAGAGGGGTGAACAAAAATATTTTCGACCGAAAATGCTTATTTATATCATTATTTTGTTATATACTAAAAAAAGTGTATTACAAATTCTCCCCTTCCATGTTATTACTTGTATAATGAAAATGAATATTAATACAAATGCTTACAAATTGTTAAAAGAGATTGAGATTTTAAATTTATATTGTGAATGTAAAGGATTTGTAGCTCAAGTTGTTCGTACTATTTATTTTACCCATGAGACAAAATTAAGGAATAATACTCAAAATTAAATAAATTTAGGCTTTCAAAGACCAAAAGATCAGTCTTTGAGAAGAGAAATTAAGGGGTGTATTCAATGATTTTGAGGAATACTGGATTTATGAATCCATAAGTTTTGATGGAATTTAATTCATTTCTAGAGATGCTAGGTATACTTTGAGTGAACTTCCTCAAATTTCGAGGAGATATGAGAGCTAAGAATGCTTAGACCATCTCCAATCCTTAGAATAAAACCTAAAATTTTTAGCTTAGAAAATTTAGGTTTTAACTCAAAATCAGTTTTTCTGCTCCAACCTTTTTGGCCTAAAATTTTTAGCCCGAGGTTATTATTAAAGAATAAAATTGGGCTAATTAAAAAAAAAAAATTATGTACACCATCCTAATTTAATTTTATGAACATTTTAACATAAAAAAAAAAAAATTAGATTCCGATAAATATTGAAAAATCACTAAATTTGGTTGAATTTTGAGTTAAATAAAATTTTTAATTATTTTAGCCGTTATATTTAAATTTGAGCTGTTAGATCTTTTTTTATATCATTGGATTTAATCATATTAGATATCAGCAGTTGGATTCAATGAAATTATAAATATAAAACAAAAAATATATATAAATCTGGATCATTGGTCCATTTGAATTGTGACTGTTGTATCAGAAAAAAAAAAAGCTGTTGGACTCATTGTTGTGGCATACAAGATAGGGACATGCCCACGTGGGTGGGGTCTGGCTGGTGTTGGACTATTGCTAACTAGTGCGTACCAGCGCATCCAAGCGTGGGTCTTGGGTAACTGGGCTTCACATCTCGTTTTTCACTCTCACATGTGGACTCCACCACTAACCTTGACCTAAAATTTGGCCTAAATCTGGCCTTTTTTTTTTTTTTTTTTTTTCATTTTAAGACATAACCCCATTTTAGAACAAGGGTTGGAATGAAATGAGGGGAATAGAAGAAAAAAATTTAGAACTTACTCCAAGGGTTGGAGTTGGTCTCAAAATACACTACAAAGTCTCTCTATTTGTTTCATAGGTCCTAACTTTTTAAAATCCCTTAAAATCAATTGTTAATTGAATACATGCAAAATATTAGAAACTCCTTTAAAATCCTACTTGAATGTTTATGAATTCTTTTTAAAAATTAAATCTTTTAAAATTCCAATTAAATACTCTCCTAAATAAAATGAAAAAAAAGAATAAATTATAAAAAACTACATCAACTATTGGGTCAACTACAGTTTCATACCTCATCTTTAAAACATTTCAATGTCATACATTGTCTTCGAACTTGTTGCAATGTCATACCTTTCGTTAGTTTGTCTGTCAATTCCTCAGTTAAATGCTGACGTAACTTGAGACGGGACCCAATTTTTATTAAAAAATTAATTAACTATTAAAAAAAATTAAAATACAATTATCTAAATATTTTTATAAAACTAATGTGGGACCCACCCACCTTCTTCCTATCCTAACCCGTCCCCCCCAACCCTTCTCCACCGTGACTCTCCTTCGCCCTCGCCTTTATTTATCGTCGTCAGTCCTCCCTAATCCTTCCCTCTTCTCCCAAAAATCTCCTTTCCCTAACCTAAAAATCCCCCATCACCCCATCCCCCATCACTCGCCTACTCCCTTATCTCCAAATACGAGGGATGAAGACTAAGAGACTGAGACAGAGCAGACTTGAGAAACTGATAGCTCCTCCTCGACCATGCAGGTGTTGACGATGAAAATAAAGACTGGAGGTAAGGTGGGTTTTTCGATGGACGAGTTGTACTCAATGGTGGCGTACCTAGGGGAAGAGCTCGGCGGGGAGGTTCTCGTCGGAGATGGAGGTGTAGTAGGGAGGGAAGTGGTTGCAGGTGAAGCAGAAAAGCCATATCCAGATCTTGGCAGTGTAATCCACGGTGGAGAAGGGGTTGAGGACGGAGCGCCAAGTGCGGCAACGGAGGGGGGCGTAGGGGAGGACGGGCATGGAAGGGAATGGCTTGATTATAGTGTAGATGGCGGAGACTTGACTGGAATTTGGCAAGGGTGGCTGGGTGGAGAAGACAATTGAGTTGGGCTGATGAGTGCAAGGGAAAGTCACGGTGGGAAGGGTGGGGGTGGGGGAGGAAGAAGGTGGGTGGGTCCCACATTATTTTTATAAAAATATTTAAATAATTGTATTTTAATTTTTTTAATATTTAATTCAATTTTTAATAGAAAGTATGTCCTATCTCAAATCACGTCAGCATTTAACAAAGGAATTGAAAGATAAACTAACGGAACGTATAACATTGCAACAAATTAGAAGATAAAATATGACATTAAAATAAAAACTGTGATTGAGCTAATAGTCGAAGTAGTTTTTTGTAATTTACCAAAAAAATACCGAGTTGGTAATGGCAAGGACAAGAATAAAAAGGCAAGACAAGGCAATAATAATAAAAAGTGGAGTTTTTTTTCCCTTCTAGCAATCTATAGCCTTTAAGCCAAACAAGGGGCCCAACAAACCCCGCACTTTTCACTTTCCCTTTTCATCATCTCTCTCTCCTTGCGGAATCCCTGAATTAAGCTTTGCCTTCTCTCTCTCCATGTTTTCTCTCTCCTCTCTCTGAGCCCTCAAACCCCAATCTGTTTCTTGGCTCTGCTTTTGTTCCTATCCCTTCTTTTCCACAACTCACGCTCTGAGTTCGTTCCTCCATTAGTTTTCACTTCCCAAGTCCCTTTTTCCCCCCTCAGCTGGGATAATCCAGAAATCTCTCATTTTTTCTAACATTTTCTGTGAATTTTGACATCTGGGTTCTACCTGATTTCGAGCTTCCCTTTCTGGGTTCTGATCAGCTGGTCTGTTTTCAGCTTTTGGAAACCTGGTTTCCGCTTCTGGGTTCTTCTGGAATTCGATCTTTTACGGAAAGGTGAAGGCTTTTTAGCTATCTACCTTTAGATTTTTTCAAATCCTTTGACAAAGGAGCTGTTTTTGGAGTAATTTTCAAGTGGGTTTTGGAAAATCGAATGTAAAAATCGGTTTTTTGCCCTTTGGGTTTGGAGTGTTGGTGTTGAAATATGAAGAGAGGGAACGAGGAGAAGGTTATGGGGCCTATGTTTCCGAGGCTCCATGTGAATGATGCAGATAAAGGAGGACCAAGAGCTCCTCCAAGGAACAAGATGGCCCTCTATGAGCAGCTGAGCATCCCATCTCAGAGGTTCAATCCTGGAGTGCTGCCTCTTAATTCAAATAACCAGGTTATTTAATCATAATTTGTGCTTACTGTTTCTTATTTATGGTTTATTTGGGACTATTTTTGATGTGTTATTCTTTTAACCAAGTAGTTAGGTTATGAATTTTTCTCAGGATGTGGATTTAATTTTTTTGTAGTAGATAACTATAAATTTTGTTTTATGCTATATCCAGTAGTTTTACATGTTACTATGTCTATAAGTTATGTTCTAATGCTTATTAATTCAGTCCAAAAAATTTTAAAAACTGCCAATATAGCTAATATTTGCAGCATGCTGATTTTAGAAGGGAAAAGTAATGGTGTGTTAGTGTTGCAAGCTTGTTTAGTACTGAACAGAAAATGATTATCGCATATCTGAATTTTGGGAACAATTTATGTTTCCAGGGGAGTCGTTCGGATGGAAATTTGCCTTTTCCACTTCATGGTCATCCATCTACACCTACTCATCAGGCTGAGATGTTGCATGGTCGCCAGTCTGACCGAGCAAATGTGAACTTGCCCTTTGAACAAACCAACCTAACAAGGAAGATCGGAGATGAAGATGATTTTAGTGTTCCTGAGTTTGTTCAATCAAGGATGGGTCTTGGTCATAGTAAAACTCAAATTGTTAGTGACAAGGAAAAACTTACTCCCATCAGCTCACCTCCTTCTGGCCATTTAGTAAAAGTAAAAAATGTGGCGAAGAAGGATCCAAAACAAATAAGCTCCCCAACTCTGAATTTAAGACGAGAAGTAAATGCATCACCAAATCAAGAGGATGCAGAATGTTCAGTTCCGAGATTCAACAGGTTAGCTGAGAGTGATGCTTGCTTACAACAAGAGTCCAGATCTGGATCACGGCCAAACGTCACTGGACAAGGTGATGGTCTTGTTGAGTCTTCAAGGGATGTAGAGAAGGGAACTGTTTCCAGGGAAAGAAGTGTTTCTTGTTCCAGGGCGGATCCTAGCAGTCCAAATGAGCCTGATAATGACAGTGAATACCGTGGAGACACAGCGTGTATTTCACCTCAAATGGGACATGTAGACAAAAGTGACGATGTCTCAGAGACCTCCATGGTGGATTCTATATCCGGCATGGACATCTCTCCTGATGACGTTGTAGGAATAATAGGCCAGAAACATTTCTGGACGGCAAGAAAAGCAATTGTCAAGTAAGTCTCTATTTTCTCCAGTAGTTCAATTCAGTTGTTACTTTGCGCTAAAAATTTTGAAGTTCACCTTTTTCCCAGTATGCAGTATATGAAGCCTTTGGCGTCATAATATCTTCGTTTTATTGAATATTTATGTACTTATGCTTTGCGTTACTTTTTTCTTCCACGTCGCTGGTTTAGACTATTATTTATTTAACCATTAGGAACATTGAATAAGTTTTATTAGAACGGCAACTTTGAAGGGAGGTGAGATTCCATAGTGCAGAGTCCGGGATTCCTTCTAAAGTGGAATTATTTTGTTTTATAAGGCCCTCAATAACTAACACTGGATATGAATCATCTTACAGCAGGGAAAAGTACATCTTAATAGAGTTACCTTGTGCAACATGGCCTCTGAGACAGCGGATCATCTCATTATTCGTTGCCTTTTTGTATCTGCCTGTCGGGTGTATTCCTGTCTCGGTTTGGTGATGCTTTTGGGGGTTTCCTTGTTCACTATGAAAAGATTTCCCTTCATGGCACTTGAGGGCTGGGAGCAAAAAGGGGAACAAGTGATGAAGGGTTGTCCTTGGGACTACATTTTGTGGATCTTGGACTATATTTGACAATATAGTTGATATGGTGGTGGGCATGGTGATGAGGAGGATTACATCTCTTATGTAGTATTTTGACGTGGTGTGTTGGAAAATCTTATTAGGTTGGGGTTTACGTTGTCGTTTTATATGCTTTATAGGATATGAGAGTTTCCCCTATATATGGGTTCTAATCATTACACGCTCTTTTATTTTTCATTAAGAAATGTAATTATTTCCATGTGAATCAGAAAGCTTTAGTTTGCAAAATTGTTTTATGATTTTAATTGAACATTACAAATTTCAGGCTGTTTTTATGTTAAAGAAAGGAGATTTGCAGACATCTAAATGATTTATGTCACTGATATTTGCTATGTTTTGGAATCCATTATAGCATTTAGCTTTCGTTCTAATTGCTCTGAAGATAATTTTGAAGTTATTTTTTTTATCCATTATTAGTTTTATTGCTCTGAAGTGCTTCGTTGTTTATAATTTCTGATGTGCAATTTACTGCATCCATCCTTAAGATGTTTCCTTCCCATGTTTGGTAAATGTCATATTTGTCCACAATCCTGATCAATATCACGTCTAAGGATTACCTTGGGGTTGGTCAGGTGGGGTTAATGGGCTATGGTGATTTTCACGGGTAAGCATACATTTTGTGATTAAAGCACGTAGTCCTTTTTCTGTTCTCTCTTAAATAATGTGAGTTTCTATTTCTGTTCTGATGAATCTAATCCAATAATCCACAGTGGGGGATTGTTTTAGTACAAATGATTCTGTCAAGTGCCCAATTTTCGTTTCTGTCCAGTTTATTGTTGTGTTTTCTCATATTGGTTTTCTTTTGTTTTTGTGATTCTCCAAGCTTCATATGATTTGTTGTGTATTGTGCAACTATGTTTTTGACCCGACTCTTCTTACTTTCTACAGTCAGCAAAGATTGTTTGCAGTTCAAGTATTTGAGTTGCATAGACTCATTAAGGTAAGACCCTAAATGGATCGATTCTGTTTGATTTCCTTGTGTTGAGGATATATATATATATGTGTGTGTGTGTGTGTGTGTGTATGTATATATTGACTTAGGTTGGAAGAATTAGCTTAATGAAATTTTCTTTTGAACAGGTCCAACGACTGATTGCTGGATCTCCACATCTTTTGCTTGAAGATACTGCTTTTCTGGGCACATCTACTTTAAGGGGCTCTCCGGCAAAAAAACTCTCATCGGAGTATGTTGTAAAGCCACTTTTACATGTTGTAAAGCGCAAACACGAGCCTGAGGAGCCAAACAACAAAATGGAATGTTCTGCGGAAAACGCAGTAGGGAAAACATCTCATTCTTCTGTGAGAAATGGTAGTCAGACTTCAAATAATGGGCCATATTTAGGAAACCCACAGCCAACACCTGTGGCTACTGATAATAAAGCCAATCCTTGGTGTTTCCATCAATCACCTGGACATCAGTTGTTAATTCCGGTAATGTCACCCTCGGAAGGACTTGTATACAAGCCGTATAATGGACCAGGATATATGGGAGCAGTTTGTGGAGGATGTGGACCTTTCGGCTCAATTCCCATGGTGGGCAACTTTGTTAAGCCAACTTACGGGGTTCCATCTTCTCATCATCAAGGAATGGGTGTTCTTTCTGCCCCCCCCTCACTAGGTCACACTTACTTTCCTCCATATGGCATGTCTGTTACGAATCCAGCCATGTCGACCTCACCTGTTGAGCAAATGCATTGGTTTGCTGGACCTGGTTCACATGGTCACACCGATCAGTCATCGGGAGGGGGTACAAACTCCAATTTGCAGCATCAAAGCTCGTGCAACATGCCATCCCGGAAAAATGTCACTATTCCCCATGCCAAAAAGTTTCAGCCATCTAATGACAGTGGGTTACAAGGAAGTACTGCAAATAGTACAGGCGACAGAGCACCAGTGAGGACAAATCAAAATGCTGAAGGAAGCGATGCTCTCCAACTACTTCCTATGGTTCCGGTCATTCCAGACGGAGTTCCCCAATCTCACGATACAGACCAGCCAACGCGGGCGATAAAAGTTGTGCCTCACAATCCTAGAACTGCAACTGCATCAGCTGCTCGAATTTTCCAGTCCATACAAGCAGAGAGAAAGCAGCAGGATTCAACCTAGCTGATTTTCTCTAGTTGGCGTGGTTCGGTCACTTCCTCATGTACCATTTTCGGAATGATATTGTGCAACGAGTTTTTTCTTTCACTTGTCTCGGTCTTGTGAATGTATGTTCATATATGTATATCATATATATATATATATATATATATATACACACCTCTGGATGAGTCACAACCAGAGCTGTGTAATCTGAGTATGCGAGATGTTATCTCTTGTATTATGTTATATTGGGAATATAGGTAGCAATGGCATTTGCTATTTTCGGGTAAAAGGTGTAATTGTCCATTTTTGAGTATCTGATTGTTGTTAACTAGAATATAATCAAAGCTTAAGACAGGTTTATCTTCCCATAAATTATACCATATATTTGCTGTTCTTCGAATATGATATTTTTGACCACATTATAATCAAAGCCTTGGACTTTGAATACTTAAAACTTAAATTTAAGCTTCCTAGGATCAAGGTTGAATAAAACTAGGCAAAAACAAGACTTTGCTCGACGCGTCTATCGTGTAAGAAAGAACAGATGTCCTGTTGAAAGACCAAACCTTATAGCACGATGAAATTGTACTCATCAAACACGAAGAAACCTCAAAATGTGAGGATGGCGATAAAGTTACTTTATAATTCGACTCGGTAATATCTGTTAGCACTTTAAAATAATCATCGTGCAATTTTTCACTTTTTATTTTCTTTTTTAACTGAGAAAGAGCATATAATTAATAACCACTAAGCACCCTAATCCGAGGATTTAGAATAATCAGTTACAATCAGGAGGATGTAAACCCGGGCCGCCGAAGTAAAACACAGGTTCTTCAGCAAGTGAAGCTGCATAGTTCACTGCAGCGTAGCAATACTCTTCATCTGTAAAAGTCCCTACCCACTCAGGATATTTGAGCTGCTGTGAGTAATCTATGATCCTAATTTGCTTAATATAACATGCATTCCCCTCTTTGTTCCATGCAAAATCACCGCTTCCCATTCCAGTTGCAGTGTGTGGATGGTTTTTCTTAATCTTGGAGCTGTACACCTCCCCACCCCACATCGCCCGTGAGGGCGTGGTCTTTGGGCCTTATATATCCATTGCCAGCATGTACCTTTCAGTGAGGCCTTTTGGAGCTGCGGCTTGCAAAGACAAAACCGTGAGGTAGCCCTCTGCTGCGACCTAGTCCAGAGGGGGAATGCCAAAGCGGACAATATCACTGCGAGGGAGGGCTGGGATGTGACAATTTGGTATCAGAGCCAGACTCACGGTCGTGGTGTGCCGACGAGGACGTCGGGCTCCCTAAGGGGGGTGGATTGTAGTATCCCACATCGCCCGTGAGGGCGTGGTCTTTGGGCCTTATATATCCATTGCCAGCATGTACCTTTCAGTGAGGCCTTTTGGAGCTGCGGCTTGCAAAGACAAAACCGTGAGGTAGCCCTCTGCTGCGACCTAGTCCAGAGGGGGAATGCCAAAGCGGACAATATCACTGCGAGGGAGGGCTGGGATGTGACAAAATCATTGATATTATCCATCAAGCTACATTCTCCATTTGCCTTTCTCACTCAATGGAGGTCATCTCGACTTTATTTACACCTAAATCTATGTATTAATTGTCTATAAAATTTCTTTCTTCTCTTCCCACAAAAGCCCTTAATGAAATTCTAGATGTCAACCAAATCACTCATATTATCCATTGAATTTAACATATTTTGTTATTTTTAATAAACTGTAATTGACACTCTAAAACTCTTACATAAAGTCTATTATATTATATTTGGATGAGGGAAATAATCTTAGGTTTTTGATAAAAGTCAGAATTTATAAATTGACATGCACCAATTTCCTTGTTTGGATTCATAAACATAGAAATTTAGAATTTCCTCGTGGAAAAATACTTGAAATTTGGGACCTCCAATTCCCAGGTTTAAATTCCATGTAAATAAGTATCATTTCCAAATTTCTAGGGTGATAGTTTAAAAATAACAAATTCTGTTTCAAATTCTAAAGTTCTTTTAAGGTAGCCAAACAAGAAAATTGAATATTGTCATTTCAATTTCAGTCATTTTAAAATTCCTTAATAATCTTAAATTTCTTCATCCAAACAAATTGTTACATCAATTAAGTAGGAAAAGCAAGTAAAACAGATGGCCAGCATTCCCCAACAAAATATAAACTTATTTGGAAACCTCTTGTAAACATCCAAAAACTGAATCTTGTTCAAATGTGGTGCAATCTTTTGGGCATAAATGGAAAATATGCTACTTTGGTAGAACTTTAAGATGTTAACTAATGAATTTTTTTTTGCAATGTATACGGAATAAATATTTCATTTCCATACCTCTTTAACTGTTGATTTGTTAAATCTAAATATAAATCTAAAGGTAGTTGGATCTAAATAAGGTACTTTATTGGATCTAAATCTAAATATAACTAATAGAAAATGATACGATCGGTACTTTATTACATATTCACTTCGAATAATGTTGCTAACAAGGTAGCGACTGTATCCAATTAAAGTCGCTACCTTAGTACCGATCCATCTTTTCAATTTTTGCTTTCTTTTTCAATTATTTGTGTGTGTGTGTGTGTGTGTTAATGTTTCTTTTGTTTATCTTATCGTAACAACAAATTATCATATTCATGTTCTTCAAAATATATTTCTTTGTGCAAAATTTATTATAATTCATATTTAAACACTTGAGATCAACGACTTAAAACCTAAATCTAAAGATATTTTTCTATTTTTCAACTAGTTCAAATCATGAAGTGGTTTGATTTTGCATTTTTTAAGATAAAACTCGCTACCTAGTTAAATTTTATTCTTGGTTTTTTTATACAAGCAATATTGAGAGGAAAGAAATTTGAACGTATGGATTAGAACTTTTTATATTATGGATCACTCTATAAAAATCGTCTTTGTAAAAAAATAAATTAAAACTAAGGTCATTTAATCATCAAACTGTATAAAAAGTTAAAAACAAATGAACGGAATTGGTAAAAGCATTACGAACCATCCATTTATTTGCTACAATAGATTGACTAAACGACCTTAATTGTAATTCATTTTGTATAGAGACTATATTTACAGAATGCTGTATAATATGAACGGTTCTGATCATAAGCATGAAGCTCTATGATTCGAACACGAAATTTTTTTAATAGGAATCCCTACTCTTAAATAGTCAAATATTATTCATTACATTCATTTTATTCGAGGACTTAAATCTTGTGCAGCTCCTCAGTAAATGATATAACTGCCTATAAATAATTAGTAAAAAAATATTGTAAAAACTTAACAAAACCGTTATAAAAAGAATCTAAACCGTTGCACAAAATGACTCCGTTTAGTCAAGCGAACAGATTTAGCGCAGTTCCGCGTGACCCAAGTTACCTCCATTTATTACTAATCCCACCACTCAATGGTACAAATTCACACAGTTACACAGTAGAGAGAGAAACAAGAGAGAGAGAGAGAGAGAGAGAGAGAGAGAGAGTAGCTTGACGTTTACTCCAAGAATCAAAAAATGGTGAAGTTCTTGCTTCAGATCTCCGCCGAGCTCAAGATTTTATTTGTTTAATTTTAGCACTATGTCGGTTAAAACCGACAGTGGGTTGAATACTTTATATTTTAATTGCTACTTTATGTCGGTGTCATTTGCCATCATGTCAGAAACGCACGTTACTTTTAACTGACGTAATGTTCGGTGTCGTTTTTAACCGACGCTAATTCGTGGCGGATTAAGTGGACAAACCGACGTAGAAGCCTTTTCGTGACTCTAGCAATGGTGTCACTATTCTAATCCAACATTGCATGGTTTTTATGTCGGATGTTTATCAAATTTCCGATAGAAATTAGAGTTCTTGTCGGTTTTTGCTTCGCCAGGGATAGCCTAAAAATCTTGGTTTTAATAAATTGTAATTGACACTCTAAAAATCTTACATAAAGTCTATTACATCAATTAAGTAGGAAAAGCAAGTAAAACAGATGGCTAGCATTCCCCAACAAAATACAAACTTATTTGGAAACCTCTTGTAAACATCCAAAAACTGAATCTGGTTCAAATGTGGTGCAATCTTTTGGGCATAAATGGAAAATATGCCACTTTGGTAGAACTTTAAGATGTTAACTAATGAATTTTTTTTGCAATGTATATGGAATAAATATTTCACTTCCATACCTCTTAACTGTTGATTTGTTAAATCTAAATATAAATCTAAAGGTATAAATAAGGAATAAAAAAATAATCGATGGAAAAAGAAAAAAAGAGAAAATAAATAGAAAATGATTCGATCGGTACTCTATTACATATTCACTTCGAAGAGTGTTGCTAACAATATAGCGACTACATTTGATTAAAGTCGCTATCTAAGTACCGATCCATCTTTTCAATTTTTACTTTCTTTTTCAATTATTTTTTTATTTTTTAATTTTTGTGTGTGTGTGTGTGTTAATGTTTCTTTTGTTTCTCTTACCATAACAACAAATTATCATATTCATGTTCTTCAAAATATATTTTTTCGTGCAAAATCTATTATAATTCATATTTAAACACTTGAGATCAACGACTTAAACCTAAATCTAAAGATATTTTTCTATTTTTCAACTAGTTCAAATCATGAAGTGGTTTGATTTTGCATTTTGAGATGCTACCTAGTTAAATTTTATTCTTGGTTCTTTATACAAGCGATATTGAGAGGAGAGAAATTCAAACACATGGATCATAACTGTTCATATTATAAATCACTAATTAATATCGCCTCTACAAAAAAATCAATTAAAACTAAGGTTGTTTAGTCATCAAACTATATAAAAAGTTAAAAACAGATGAATGGAATTGGTAAAAGCATTACGAACCATTTATTTATTTGCTACAATAGATTAACTAAACGATTTTAAATTTAATTCATTTTCTACAAAGACAATATTTATATAGTGATGTATAATATAAACGGTTCTGATCATAAGAAGCTCTGCAATTCAAACACAATTTTTTCTTTTAATAGGAGTCTCTTCTCTTAAGTAGTCAAATATTGTTCATTACATTCGTTTTATTCGAGGACTTAACGACTTTGTTTAGTCAAGCGAACAGATATAGCGCGGTTACGCGTGACCCAAGTCACCATTTATTACCAATCCCGCCACTCTGTGGTACAAATTCACAGTTACACAGTAGAGAGAGAAACAAGAGAGAGAGAGAGTAGCTTGAGGTTTACTCCAAGAATCCAAAAATGGTGAAGTTCTTGCTTCAGATCTGCGCCGAGCTCAAGAATCTGACCTACCTTCAGCCGCAGGACGGCTGCGACGACCCGGACTACTCCTATCTCTTCAAGGTAAGACCTACATTTCCCTCCTTCCTCTTGGTTTTTGCCTCCAATGCGTTTCGCTTTGCTATTTCGGTTTGCGTTCTTGTTTTCTAGGGTTTCTGGCTTTGAATTGATGTCGATTTTTCTCGTCGCTAAATCTGCAGATGGTTAGTCGACGCATTGACATGATTCTATTTTTTTTTTGTGGTTCTTGTTGCTGAGATGTGAGTGGTGCGGTCATCCGCAGGAGAACCGCTAATGTCATCCAGAAGGTAATCCCTCTCTCTCTCTCTCTCTCTCTCTCTCTCTTTCTCTCTCTCTCTTGATTACATTTGTATGTAAAGGGTTTAGGGTTTGGTGAGAAAATCCAAGGATTCTTGTGTTTTCGCGTGTTCTTGCTTGGATGAGTAAAATGCTGTGTTTGTTTGAGTGCCTAGTACGGTCTCGTATCGTTTCACTTACCCTGTATTAAATCAATATGATGTATGCCTCCGGGGATGGGATGTTGGGTAATTCTACGCAGTTTATGTGAAAGTGGTTCTTATTCCATTCGTTGTTCGACTGATAAGAATTGTTGTTGATAGTTGCACTCGCCACTCGGTTTGGTGAGCTCTGATTTTACACACTTTTGCCACCATGATTTGTGATATTTCTGGTTGAAATTGTGTTTGTTACATACAGGGAACTTATCGATTTTGTTGGCTACATTATTCCTGTTTCATAATTTGATCGTGTGTGGATATGGGGCTTCTTCTAATGTTTTGGTTTTACACAATATTTTCTGGTTAAGTTTGTTGCAAATTTTTCCCTTGTAGTGCAAGCTTTGTGAGCGGGTTGGAATGATCCTGATGCACCCAGGCCTTGGCAAGCCACTGACCCAGGCAGCAAGTGATGCCAGGCAGTTCGCCCCCATGATGATTTTTTATTTCAGAGGTTTTGTACCTGTGGACTTTGTATTTGTTGGTGGCTGGAGAGCTGAGTCTGTAAGTTTCTCTTCCTCGGACGCAACTTTCAATCGTATAAAAGTGCCTTCTGTAGGGCCTGTACCTCCTATGAACTTCAGCACATACGTATAAAAGTCTTACTATTTGGACAGCATTCTACTGACCACATTGCTGAAACGGTGTCCACCCTTATTAGAGATGTGTCAGTAAATGTGATACAAATAACATTATTTATCTGTTGAATACTTTCGTTATTCGCCTCTTAACTTCAGTGCTTAAGCGTTAAGGATTGAATTATCACCAAATTTATTTGTCTTTGCATCTTTTATGTCAAATTAAACTAGTGTTCATTTCTTTTGTAGCCAAGTGGCATAAATTTTGAGCACATTGACTTGTCGGCAGGGAAGTTTGTTGGGTATGATGTGGAGTACCCAGTTATGATTTCTAATCTTGAGGCTGCTTTTGTGGTTGGGTCTTTTATGCCACCTGAAATTCGTCGTGGTTTTTAAAACTTGGTATGTGAAGCTAACTGTTCATCTGTGAATAAGATAAAACTTTAGAGTTAATGTTGCGGCACGTTACTCAGTTGTAAAATTATATAGTTACGTAGATACGGCATGTTATGCTGTTAAACTTTCCAAATGAATGCATGAATAGTTCTACGATTCTACTTCTCTTGAGTAGTTTTAACTGCTTGTTTGTTTTGAGCGTGGTTGGATGGGACTACACCTTGCCAGCGGCTTCGACTATAAAAGCCTATACTTGGCTGTTTTTGACAGTCCATGATGCTGATGCACAAGACAGACTTAGTTGTCTTACACATACTTCTGTGATGTATTTATTTCAAAATGTATATATCTGTTGTGTTGTGGGCCCCATTGCCGTGGATTGTAATAATACTATGTGATGGTGTGACGGGTGAGAGATACACAAATTCTTCTTGTGATTTGGGTTCGATTTGCGAGTGAAGGTGGGCTTACATGGTTTCTGATATACCACCTTCTCCAAAGAGTCCAGTTTCTCCAAATCACGAGACGAAATTGTAGAAGTCCCACTTGGGCCTACAGTCTATATACAGACAGTCTTTCCTCTATCACTACCATCGCTAGTAAGCACACGAGCGATTTAAAACTATCCGATCTTAACAACGGGGCAATTCAAATTATTTAAATTAGATTCAATGATCTTTATTAACTTATTTTACTAGTTCACTTCACACAAATTAAATACTCTGATTTTTTTTTTCACACAAACCAAAGATTCAGATTTTCTAATTCGTAGCCTCCAAACACCAAGATTCGAAGAGAATCCAAATTCGCACATGAGTTCTTTAATACATTGACTTTAGGCATGGACAGCTCACCAAGACCTAAAATAGCTGGATTGATCAAGGGCTAATCTCTAGGTAAAGCCTGATTTGAGGTCAAGCTTTTTTTAAGGGAAGGTGGTATTTCTGTACGGAAAGCCAAATAAGATCCTAATTCTATTTCGTAGTCGGAACACTTTGAGCACTGTTTTAAAGGAAAAAATTCTTGCACTTGACTGCTATTTCATTACATATCTATGGTTTGATTCTTAAAAGTAATTTTCACTAACATAAGCTACACAAAATTAACCGCATTTAGATGTTTTTTTCTGTACTTTTTTTGGTTTTTGAATTCAATAACAAAACTTTTTGTGGTTGAAGAACCTCTTAATCTCATCCATAACGTTCTATTAGAATCAATTTTAAGCATAAAATTTAAATTTGATACTCTATATGGCACTTTGACATATCTTAAAATTTGGCCTAATTGGATAAATGGTCATGGTGGTGATAAAGTATTCGGAAGATAGCCAATATGGTAAAAAACTTCGGATTTAAACCTTTGTGGTGAATTTCGTTAGGAATTAAGCCCAAAATTAAAATTTTCGTTAGTTTCACCGTTAAGTCCTTTTTCTTTTTCAATTAAGGGGAATTCGCTTCAGGGGTTTGTCAATTCTAGAATGCCAGAAAGTAATACTAGCTGTAAAGCCAAGTGGAGAACCTTTGCCTGAGAGTCTTCTATGGCTACTTTTAATCGGAAAGGTTCTGGTGATAACTTCGGTGTTGGTGGTGACAATAGCTTCGGCACCCCTGATGCTCCATTTATTTGGTTTTAGTTGAGAACATAAAGGTACTGGGAAAAATAAAAGCCCTTTCTTTGGATTATGGTGCAAATTTCAGTTTCTTTGGTTTTACTTGAGAAATTGTTACATAAAACCTCAACACACACACACACACACACTCTTGAGCTTTTTCAAGTACTCAGAAGAAATTTTGAAGTGAAATGGGGCAGGGTGTTTTGCTGCTCTATTAATAAACCGATTGGAGCTATTCGAATAAAAAAAAAGTGCAAACACATGCACTACAAAAAAAATGAGCACTGCACACAAAAAATTATATGTGCCTTTTGAGGCCAAAAAGCACCAACATTTGTGCTCATAGACCAATAGCAACAGTGCAGCAACTAAGTTTGTATCTGTGCCCTCTATGGGTGTCACCATTACTTATAGCACACAATATGATGTTTTGTGCCCAAAGCTAAGCACAAATACAACCCTTATTGTGTCTTACCTCTAATAAAGGCTACTAAATGTATGGTGTAAGATGGGCACAATTGCTATTTTAAAGGCTCAGATTGCTGTATAAATGTTAAAGCAAGGGCACAACTTTAAAATTGTGCCACTATTATATTTTAATAAATACAATAAAACTCCAGCACAATTAAAAATTTGTGGCATAATTGGATATTTTTATTTAAACATGGAAATCATCAGGTTGCTCATAGAACCTAATTTCCACCTAAATTTAGAAACTTACAAATCATCCATTACAAACTAAACATAAATCAACATTAGCACTAAAATAGTGAAGTTAATATATTACATAACCCATGTTCTCGGCTAAGACCGATTCATGCAACCTAACAATACAACCCATCCAAATGTTAAACCAAAAAATACATGTTATCCTATGCTGGACATACCCAGGATTCTCTATATACAACAAAATATAACATATCCAAGCTTGTATCCCCAAGTCAAACGTACTAATGGTTAAACTAGCAATATATAAACAAAATACACATCTACAAGGGCTGCTTGATGACAACTAACCAGTATTCTCACTTTGGCAGTCCTCATGCATCATAGCACTAGAAATTGGAGGTCCACACTGCACATTCTTGTCATTTCCACCTTCGAAACGCGTTGAAATCTGAGCGTGTGAGCTTCCACACCCTTGCTGCTGATATATATATATATATCTTAGAATGACATTCCACCCCCTCCTGCCAATATCCTTTTAGAATGACATTCCTACCCATTTGCAAAACAAATTACAAACAAATCATAAGAGTATCTTCATTCAGAAAACCTGACTTCTAAACATGTCAATGTCCAAAATTCTCCCATTTTCAACATGCATTTTTCAAGAAGAGACATACACTGGCACACATACAATGAAAATCATATGAAAAAAAGAGCCAAGAAATCACATAAAAGTATCAATCTTTGAAATTTTATTTTCCTTTCCCCCATCACAGCCAAAAAATAAAGGGTAAGTCTACAAATATCAATTTTCATGCCACAAATTTGTGATACATTACAATCTAAAATCACACACATACATCATGCATATACATACATCAGAGGAAAGGAAGCAAATATTTTCAACAAACGCGATGTAATTCCTTACCTGAGAAAGGTTTGGCCCGGTGATGTGTACTATCCAAACTTTGCACATCCAGAAAGTGAAAAATATGACCTACCAAGGAAATCAGAGCATGCATGTGTTAGGTTTATCATTTGTCTGTCAAACTGTGCAGTAGAGACCAAAATCAAAGATATTGGTGTGTTTTACCTTTGAATTTTCCAGTTTCCAGACTGATTTGCAGTGGTGGACTGCATACGAAGTTGCAGGCCTCCTTGATTTTCTTTTGTTTAGTGTCGCTCAATTTCCAATTTGTATTAAAAGCCTGAATTTTTACTTTCCTTCCATTCCCCTGTGCATAATAGTCTAGTAGCTCTTGTTTACCTACAACAAATTGAAAACCATTTGGGGAAAATAACTAAGCCTTTTGTTATTAGATTCTTGGTAGGCAAAGCAAGAAATTTACACACAACAAAACTATTAAAACTTTAAAACCCAATTCCCAAATTAGGTTCTCGATTGGCTAATGATCATATTGGATGTAAATTATTATACCGAACACTGCAATGCTTGATTTTATTTATTTATTTATTTATTTTTTTGGAACATTCTAGTTAATCATTATTTAACTGAAGAATACAATTCGTAGAACAATAATTAGTATATAAAACTAAAGGGAACAAAATACCAAAATTTGCAGTTAACAACATAGAGCTAAGTGAAAAATACAAAAAATAAGGACAGGAAGGCAATCAAAATGTGACTCTTATCTGGGTTTGGTTATGCTTCTATCAACTGCTGCCCTTAACTAACGAAATAAGCAATCTCTTAACGTAGCACATTTAGTCATCAATCCCTTACACACACACACACACACACACAAAGATATTATGTATTACATTCTAATTTTTCTTTACTTACATTTTCATTCTATTTCTTCAAGTGTGTAAATTTACACTAATTCTCCATAATTTTCAGTCAATTCCATTTTAATTAAAATAAATATTGAGTATATACGCACTTATAAACACACAAAATTCAGTTTTCCATACGAAAGCACATACGTCAAATCAATGTTCCTACTGTATTCATTTAATCAAATGACGCATCAAATATAATAATTAAATTATACCTCTAATTTATAACCTTTTTATTTCGCTTCATCTGCAGCTAAACCCAAAATTTAGACAGTCCCCAATATAATTCTATCAAATACCAGATAGCAACACCATGTAAAAGTTATATTGGGTGTCCACACCCACACTTATACTTTACAAATAAATTTGAACTTTGAATCACTTGGGCTTCAAAACTATTTGCACATAAATTTGAAAGAAGACGAATAAATTAAACAAAAATCATATCTACTCGCAATTCAGACTGACCTAGAGTTGTTATCGAGCTCTGCCGAAGACAACTCTGCACTGTTGACAAAGTCTAGAACAACCTGAAAATTTAAAGAGATCAAATTTAAAACCAAATAAGCAATCATTTACTGAAAATCTTCACAAAAAAGTGCTAGTTTCACAAATAAATGAAACCCAGATTAAATTTCTTGATAAAAACTAAGAACTTCAAAGCTTAAGAAAACCCATGAATCCAACCATAAAAAATAAGCAAACTTTCACACTGGCAAACCATTCATAAACCAAAAATGATATCTTAAACAAAACACATGAATCCAACTCAAAAAAACTCAAATTTAAAACAACCAACACAAATAAAATATCAAACATGGTTCATTGTCTCTCTTCGCATTTTAAATCACATAGTGTTGCCCAATATATTATCGTATTAACATTTCATATACTCATGCATTAGATAAAAAATTATATCTATGTTAAAATTACATGGACTGCTTTATCATGGTTTAAGAAAGCAACCACAAATCTTAGTATCTACATGTTCCTCAAATTATCTAAAATACTAAAACAAAACCGTCACTTCTCACTACATGTTTAAGATACATGAACCCATACAAACCTCTTCACCATTCACCAATACCATTGGTGCTCAAAAACCAAAAGAAAAAAAAAATCATTAAATAAGATGGCTACTAACCAAAGCATCCTTTGAACAAATTAAGAAATTCAAATAAAATTAAACACTCAGAAAAAAAAGAAACACAAAAAAGATATGCTTGAATTGTCAAGGAAATGAAGATACTAATAAATACAAAGATAAGTTTGAATTGTTAATCAAATAAATAAATAAGACAAAGCATTTCCAAACGTTGATTATGTCTGATGAGTTAATGCTATGTGATTGCCCTGGATTCGTCTTTCCAGCCTTTTCAAGCCATGAGATGATTGCTTCTGGTGTATTACCAAGAATATGGAGACTGCGCTGATAGTGGCCAGTTGAGTTCCAAGACATGTTATTGAAGCGGTTTGCAGGATTGATCTGCCCAAACCTAAATCCTATGAAATCGATAACGAAGAAACAGAGAATAAAAGGAAAAATGTCTTATAGCATACTATGTCCTGCTTCATACATATTTAACCCTTCAATTAAACACATTTCCTTTTCATGAAAATTAGCATGAATATAATAGTGCTTCCAGCAGAAAATAAAAGGAAAAAATGACAACCGAAAAAAATTGACAACCCAAGACATATAAGTTTAGAACAGGCCAAACAATGACAACCCAACAAAACCAAGGATTTAATTAAATGAAGCATAATTCAGTAAATCTCATAATTTATTTATTTCATTTTTTGACCAATCAAACATGCCATCACCGGAGAAAGAACCAGCACCAAAAAAAAAAAAAAAAAGTTAAAAACCTTGATCGCAAACAGCTTGCCAGGTTGCAGACAGAAAGGCCAAAATTCAAACAACTTCTTTTGCTGAAACCAAATATGAAAGCAGATCAGAAAGGCAGACCCAAAGCACGAAAAAAGAATCAAACAACATACAATCAGCAAAGCAGAAAACTCACCAAAAAACCTTAGATCGCATTGATAACTTTTCCTGAAACCAAAAATCAAACCGCATCGCAAAGCCACACACACCCAAACAACGAAAAAAAAAAATTGAAATTAGACACGGCAAGAAACGCAAAAAACTCACCAGAGATCGTTAGTTTTCCGAGAAGAAAACGGCCGTGAATAATCGGCGAGACATAGACGCGAAGGACGGATAGCGATAACAACGAAGGCGTGGGAGAGAGAAAAAACCTAGGCTCCAAAATAAGGAAAATCTGAAAATGGTGAGAGAGAGAGAGAGAGAGAGAGAGAGAGAGACGGGAACCCAAAGAAAAGGCAGAGTAGAACTGGAGCGGAAGAACCACTGATGACAGACGCGTGGTTTCCAAGGGTAAAATCGTCATTGTACTGTAGAAAAAGCTAAAAGTTACAGCTGATGGGAAAAAATTTGGAGGGCATTTTCGCCACTCCACTGTCAGTTCCAATTCTAACTCCACGACGTCGCCTGTCCGCCATTGTCAATGATGTAGAACTTGCTCAAATTCAAAAGAAACATATGTGTATGAAGCAACCTTCTTAATTTCCATATACAAATTAGTAAGGGAGTGTGTGGACGTTTTATAGTAGAATAAAGGCACAAATCCATAATTGTGCCAACATATTCTTTTGCTATAGAGTATTTATTATTTATTAATATTTACTGGACACAATTTCTAACATTTGTGTCAGAAAAGAGGAATTTATAATTATTAAAATATATTCTCTATTTGAAGACCCAATGAGAAGTAGAGTGATTTATTATTTATTAATATTTAGTGGACACAATTTCTATCATTAGTGTCATAAAAAGGAATCTACAATTATTAACTCATTTGTCTATCTGAAGATCAACTAACTTTTGCACAGAGACCAACCCTAAGGGCACAATTGTTGGTTATGTGTCACTGCAGGTAGGACTTTAAAACCAAAAACCATATCACCAAGTATAAAAAACAAACCTGCAAGAAGATAACAATCCAAAAAGCAATTCAAAAAGATACGAATCTAACAAACATTCATTGCACCTGGAAATGATCCTTTGTAAATCTAAAACATGCCACTTAGTACTATGGTGTAGTGGTATTCTTCTTTACTTGTAAGTGAGAGATCTGAGGTTCAGCTTTCGGGAAAAACAAATTTGAACAACATTATTGCTAACTTATTTTGAGGCTAAAATATTGCACGGTAATAAACAGCTTCATACCATTATTTACCACAATTTTATAAATTTTAATTATTGGTGTGCTAGTGGAGGTAAAGACAAACGAGAGAGAACATATAGTGCCTTTGACAAATAATTTTTATAGACACAAAATATTTTTTGTGCCCATTTTCAGTAAAAAAGTTGTCATGTGATCCCACTCGACACAATTTCCGTGCCCATTACTGTTTTGTGTCTGCTTTTTTTAACATTGGGCACAATAGATGGTGCCCTCTATGGAATGGGAATTGTTTAAGCTTTTTGGTGGTCAAACTGACACAAAATTCTCAATTGTGCCCTTTATTTTGTACCCAAAGCTCATTTTTCTTGTAGTGATGGAGGCAACAGTCAAGTTGATTTCAAACTTTGGTTGGGTGCTTTGTAACTAGCAATGGCAGTGGAGGAATTTTGATTGTTGAGTGTGGAGTTATGGCTAATGAAGTTAACGGAAATTTTGTTTTTGGGTTTATATCATAACGGACTTCACTACAAGGGTTTAAATCTGAATTTTTTTTACCACGGAGGTTCCCTTCCAAATACTCTATCATCATGAGGACGATTTATCTAATTAGGCCTTAAAATTTTGCTCCCCACTCGATATATCAAATTAAATTATTGTAATAAATGTTTTAAAACAAAAAACAATAGTAAAAATAATAAAATGCATTTAATAATCAATTAAAAAAAGATTCGAAGTTGTAGTCAATTTTGCGTGTCGAATGCCAATTCATGTCATGCCACATCAGATTTGACTTTTTGGTTAAAAAACATTATTGCTGCTTTGTTTTTTAACTGTCCAGGTCCTCCATTGAAGATGCTCTTAAGTGTTTAAATAACAATACTCATCATAAAAATCTTTGAATGTCATTGGAAAGACGCATTCTTCACCCATTTACCAATCATAGACAGAAAATACGTTGTCTTTGGTACAATTTTTTTTTTCTTTTCCAAATCCTCCATGGTACAATTTTTTAAATAGAAAAACAATATTATCTACATTAAAGGATGTAAGAGTGGTCTAAACCTCATAATGAGCGAGGCATAATAATGTGATTTAAATTCGCATTTGTACAAATTTAGCTACCAACTTTGTTTTTAATGACAAAAGTTATATATTTGTGTCTATCTCACATTTATTTCTTTGATTTGTTACCATTAAAACTTATATATTTTTCACCTCTGCCATCTCAAAATTTACCCAAAATATACACACAGGCAACTCGATCAGGTAAGTTAGTTCTTCCCAACCGACAAACCGATCCCATCTCCTTCTCACTCGCCTCGTGTGAGGAGAATCACCAAAATTCAAACATAATATTTATATCTCCTTGAGCACCTATATAACTATATCCAACTGTTACAAGGATAGCAGCCTGCAGGTTCACATAAAATTTGGGCCAATAATTGCACAAGTTCAACAAGATATCAATGGGACATTGTTTTCAGCTTTTTGTTCAATGAAAATTGAACACTAAAAACTGAAATGGTTATCTAATGAGTCCAATACATAACGTTTGCTTACTGAGCGATTGACTTGAGGACCAAGTTCGACTCGGGTGCCATTGATGATTACACTGCCTTTCTCATCGTTGGTTGAGTGGTAGGAATTTGCTGGTTTCTTCCCAAAGTGTTCAAGTCCAGTAGCTCTCAGCAAGTCTCGCCTTTGAATTCTCCTAATCGGAATGGTTCCATCTGGACAACTACCACTCCTCTGCCAAATTTGAGATAATAATTGCTGAGAAGAATTATGATCATTTTGTACATGATTGCTTGCACTGGGACTGGGACTAGAACTAGAACTAGGGCTTGGAGCAGAAGCCTCTCGAAAATTCGGCGTTATCTGCAATACATAATTAACCTCATTAATTTTCCAATCATAAAACATTAATACACATAAATCACAACGAAATCCCTCACAAAATATGTAAACAATCAAATGTTCTATTAACTCAGTTAGATGTAACTGCCAAATGCTTCTCAAAAAAGAAAAAAAAAAACACACCAAAAATCCGACAGATTTCTTCAAGTTTTTGTTTCATACATTCTTCGAATTAACATAAATGATTGAAGACCTGAATTGTGTGGTTCCGCAACGCGGGATGATCAAAAGCAGGCTGTTTGTAGATGTCAACACAATCAATGGTATCTCCATCTTCACTCTACAAGAAATCAAAAAATCTCAAAGGTGTTAAAGTGAGATTAGTCTGCAGAAAAGATAATTAAAATGGCGGAAAATCGGACCTTAATAGTCTTCACCCGGGGCTTATTGAGAAGCTTCAACTTCTTATGAACTTCCAAAGTAGATTGCTTTGCTTTAGAATTCACATGAGGATGATGATATGCTGCTCCAACACTAAAAACAAACAATCCCATTACTAACAAGAGCAATATACTCCTTTTCCCCATCATCGATCTCTCCGCTTCTGACTCAAAATCTTGCAGAGCACAGAGAGAGAGAGAGAGAGAGAGAGAGGAATGTGTCTGGTTTGAGAGGAGGAAGATAAGAATGTCTTGATTATGTACTGTGCGTGCATGCCCTAATGGCTTCAGTTTTAGTCCACGTGTCAAATGAGCAATTCATGCAGGTTTAAATAGTGAGCTGGAAAATTTTGCGTGTATGGAAAGGAAGAGGGGTTACATCTGTATTCAGTGAATCAAGCTGTTGTCATTAATTAGAGAGACAAAACTTGCTTATTTATTGGACAATTGGTTATCTTTTAATTCAACAAATTCTGTAAAAAAATGTGCAAATTCAGAGAATCCATGTAAGAATTATCCGTAAGAGGAATGCTAGTTACCTTCTTCATTCGTATTTTCGATTCCATGGATGTCATGTGGACCTTATTGACACTTAAATCTATGTATTAATTGTTTATAAAATTTCTTTCTTGTTTCCGTGTATGCTCCTAAGTAAATTTCGGGTGTCAACCAGATCATTATTATTATTCATCGAGCTCTCTTCCCTACTTGCATTTCAAAGCCACGTGGGCTTTATTTACATTTAAATCTATGCATTAATTGCTGATAAAATTTATTACTTCTATTTTCACTTACACTATGTTTAGATGAGGGAAATAAACTTAGGATTTTGATAAAAGTTAGAATTTATGAATTGACATGCACCAATTCCCTTGTTTAAATTCATAAACATAGAAATTTAGAATTTCCTCGTGGAAAAAAACTTGAAATTTGGGACCTCCAATTCCTAAGTTTAAATTCCATGTAAATATGTGTCATTTCCAAATTTCTAGGGTGATAGTTTAAAAATAACAAATTCAGTTCAAATTCTAATGTTCTTTAAGGTAAGAAAATTCACAAATTCTAGAAAATTGAATACTGTCATTTCAATTTCAGTCATTTTAAAATTCCTTAGTAATCTTAAATTTCTTCATCCAAACAGAGTGTTATGTCCCTGATTAAATTCCGAATTTCAACCAAATCATTGATATTATCCATCAAGCTATGTTCTCCATTTGCCTTTCTCACTCAATGGAGGTCATCTCAACCTTATTTACACCTAAACCTATATTTTAATTGTCTATAAAATTTCTTTATTCTCTTCCCACTTAAGCCCCTAATGAAATTCTAGATGTCAACCAAATCACTGCTATTATCCATTGAATTTGACAAATTTTGTTATTTTTAATAAACTGTAATTGACATTCTAAAAATGACACACCCCAACCGAGATCGGGGCATGCTGGCCGTCACGTGGAAGTGACGTAGCCATGTGCACAGTGCGGAAGCTAAAGGACATAATATAAAAGTACGAATAATTTAAAAACTAGCAAATATAATGTGATAAAGTATGTGCTAGCGTAAGTAAGTCGCTGAATTCAGAGCCTAAAGCCTACAGCAGTCCAAAAGAAACGATACAACAATAGTGCACCCGAAGGTGACCCTACATAGGTGAGTGTCTGTCAGAAATGCCGGGGCGTCCTCTGGGAAAACCACCAAACCCGCTAAGCTACTAGAACCTGGAGGGGCGCAAAACAAAAGCGTGAGTGGGCAAAAACAAATTCTTTGAAAACCATTTCATAAAATACATTCTAACCCCTCGTCGTAAAACCTGTATACTTCCCAGAAAATAAACATATATACGTATGTACAAATATGCCAATCATGCTCAAAGGTATGCCATCATAATAATATGCAAGTGCTCAGGTGTAAATCACATCAATAGCATAACATCTGGCAGCCGGAGTCCCCTAAGTGACCTGTACGGCTGAATCTAGAGCTCAAATCTCAATCTCAATCACTAAACCTGCCCACGAGTCGGAACCACCTATAGTGGTCTGTACGACAAGACTGGGTGTAATACATATAAAAGCTCTAGTGCTACGATCACGTGAAGGCTGTGCGAATAATCACAGGTCACCTACGAGTCGGAACCACCTATAGTGGTCTGTACGACAAGACTGTGCACCTAACTTGGATCCAAGCTGAGCGTGTGGTGCGGGAGGTGAACAACACGTGAAGGACTGTGCCCTACTCTGGGCGGGAGCACTAACACCGGGGGTGCAGGTTATGAGCTCTCTAAGCATCTCTAACGACTATTTAATGCAATCGTTAAATAACGCTTACCTGGCACTTACCTGTGCCTCCACAGCACCAAATATAAATATGCATATGTATGCCACTACTAATGCATATGATAATGCGTAAACGATAAGGATATGGTGCATGGCATAAACAAATAACCCTTTTTAAAAGATTTCTAGGAATATAAATGTATATAGGTATATACGGAAAACCAAAAGCCCACTCACTGGTATGTGGAAGGGTTGTAGCCCCCCTGCCTCGAATGTGCACGCTCGTCCTCGGGATACGTGTCACCTATATGCGAATTAACTATAAAAACGTTAACTTTAAAGCACATAACCTTCCGTTCAAAATAACTTCTCATACATTGCTCAAAATGGACAAATGAATATACCAACGTGATCTACACAACCTCAGGATCACACCCATATTTTTAAAATAATTTTTGGACCCCCCACGCGCCCCCACGCGCCGAAATAGGCACGGACCCACGCGCCCCCCACGCACGGCCACGTACCATGCACACTGACGGCGTCAAGTGACGCCGTCAGGAATATTCTGTTGAACTAACGAAATATTCCGTTAAACCTAAACTGACGCCGTCACTGTCGTTAGGAATATTCCGTTAAACTTAACGGAATATTCCTGTTTCTTCTCCGATCAGCCTCCGTCGCCGGCGCCGTCGCCGGAAAACCTACAACTTGGGTTTTCTCGCTCGTTTTTCAACCGTTTTTCAAGATTTTTACACCATTTTAACCCTTAGAACTAATAGAACACGTCTAACCAAGTTTTAAAGGCTAAAATCTACGAGAATTCACCTGTCCAAAACTCCAAAACTCGGCCAACTTCGAACCAAGCTTTCCCGACGTCCAAATCTGTCCAACGAAGCACTCCCAAGCTCCTGGGAACCTCACAAACACAACTACAAGCTTCAAAATCCCAAAAACAAGCTAGAATAACTTTGCATGAACAGTGTTCAAAACGGAGTTTACGAGATCGACGTGAAAACGACTGGTTTCTCACCTGAAAATGGCACCACTGGACTCCTCTCAGCCTCACAAGCACGATGGTGGTCTTGGTTCCTTCGATCTGTGAAGATTTGGTGGGTTTTGGGTTTGGTCCGTACGTATATGGTGAAAAGGAAGGGGAAAGGGAGCACGGGAAGGAGAGAGAGAGACAGGGAATGACAGTGAGAGGGATAAGGACAGGGTGTGTGTGTGTGTGTGTGGTCCAACTCTGGCCAACACCACACCAAACAACCAAAAACATAACAAAAACAAACTAGGGGTAAAATGGTAATTTCACACGTACGTTAACATGAATTTTGGGACGGGATGTCACAAAAAATCTTACATAAAGTCTATTACATCAATTAAGTAGGAAAAGCAAGTAAAATAGATGGCCAGCATTCCCCAACAAAATATAAACTTATTTGGAAACCTCTTGTAAACATTCAAAAACTGAATCTGGTTCAAATGTGGTGCAATCTTTTGGGCATAAATGGAAAATATGCCACTTTGGTAGAACTTTAAGATGTTAACTAATGAATTTTTTTGCAATGTATATGGAATAAATATTTCATTTCCATACCTCTTAACTGTTGATTTGTTAAATCTAAATATAAATCTAAAGGTATTTGGATCTAAATAAGGTAACTTAGGAATAAATAAAAAAATCGACGGAAAAAGAAAAAAAGAAGAAAAGAAATAGAAAATGATACGATCGGTACTTTATTACATATTCACTACGAATAGTGTTGCTAACAAAGGAGCGACGATAATCAATTTAAATCGCCAGCTTCGTACCGATCCATCTTTTCAATTTTAACTTTCTTTTTTAGTTTTTTATTTTTTTATTTTTTATTTTGTGTGTGTGTGTGTGTGTGTGTGTTAATGTTTCTTTTGTTTCTCTTACCATAACAACAAATATCATATTCATGTTCTTTAAAGTATATTTTTTTTCGTGCAAAATCTATTATAATTCATATTTAAACACTTGAGATCAACGACTTAAAACCTAAATCTAAGATATTTTTCTATTTTTTAACTAGTTCAAATCATGAAGTGGTTTGATTTTGCATTTTGAGATAAAACTCGCTACCTAGTTAAATTTTATTCTTGGTTTTTTATACAAGCAATATTGAGAGGAAAGAAATTTGAACGCATGGATCAAAACTGTTTATATTATGGATCACTCTATAAAGATCGTCTTTGCAAAAAAATAAATTAAAACTAAGGTCGTTTAGTCATCGAACTGTATAAAAAGTTAAAAACAGGTGAACGAAATTGGTAAAAGCATACGAACCATCCATTTATTTGCTACAATAGGTTGACTAAACGACCTTAGTTTTAATTCATTTTGTATAGAGACGATATTTACAGAATGATGTACAATATGAACATTTCTGATCATAAGCATGAAGCTCTATGATTTGAACATGAAATTTTTTTAATAAGAATCCCTACTCTTAAATAGCCAAATATTATTCATTACATTCGTTTTATTCGAGGACTTAAATCTTGTGCAGCTCCTCAGTAAATGATATAACTGCCTATAAATAATTAGTAAAAAAAATAGGGAATTGTTATTAGCACTTTAAAAATCTCGTTCTACACTCCAAACTTTCTATATTAGGAAAGAAAAATACACTTGTGAGGAGTGAAATTTTTAGAGTGTCAATAACACTTCTCAAAAAATATTGTAAAAACTTAACAAAACCGTTGTCAAAAGAATCTAAGCCGTTGCACAAAACGACTCCATTTAGTCAAGCGAATAGATTTAGCGCGGTTCCGCCTGACCCAAGTCACCTTCATTTATTACCAATCTCGCCACTCTGTGGTACAAATTCACACAGTTACACAGTAGAGAGAGAAACAAGAGAGAGAAAGAGAGTAGCTTGACGTTTACTCCAAGAATCCAAAAATGGGAAGTTCTTGTTTCAGATCTCCGCCTGGCTCAAGATTTTATTTATTTAATTTTATCACTATGTCGGTTAAAACCGACAGTGGGTTGAATACTTTATCTTTTAATTGCTACTTTATGTTGGTTTCATCTGCCATCATGTCAAAAGTGCACGTCACTTTTAACCGACGTAATGTTCAATGTTGCTTTTAACCGACGCATAAGCCCTTTTGTGATGCTAACAATGGTGTCGCTAGTCTAATCCGACATTGCATGGTTTTATGTTGGATGTTTATCAAATTTTCGACAGAAATTGGAGGTATTGTCGGTTTTTGCTTCGCCAGTGATAGCCTAAAAATTTTGGTTTTAATAAATTGTAATTGACACTCTAAAAATCTTACATAAAGTCTTTTACATCAATTAAGTAGGAAAAGCAAGTAAAATAGATGGCCAACATTCCCCAACAAAATATAAACTTATTTGGAAACCTCTTGTAAACATCCAAAAACTGAATCTGGTTCAAATGTGGTGCAATCTTTTGGGCATAAATGGAAAATATGCCACTTTGGTAGAACTTTAAGATGTTAACTAATGAATTTTTTTTGCAATGTATATGAAATAAATATTTCATTTCCATACCTCTTAACTGTTGATTTGTTAAATCTAAAGGTATTCGGATCTAAATAAAGTTACTTAGGAATAATAAAAAAATCGACGGAAAAAGAAAAAAAGAGAAAAGAAATAGAAAATGATACGATCGGTACTTCATTACAGATTCACTTCGAAGAGTGTTGCTAACAAGATAGCGACTATCTACAAAAAGTCGCTAGCTTCATACCGATCCATCTTTTCAATTTTTGCCTCCTTTTTCAGTTTTTTTAATTTTTTTTAATTTTTTATTTGTGTGTGTTAATGTTTCTTTTCTCTTGCCATAATAACAAATTATTATTTTCATATTCTTCAAAATATATTTTTTCGTGCAAAATCAATTATAATTCATATTTAAACACTTGAGATCAACAATTTAAAACGTAAATCTAAGGATATTTTTCTATTTTTCAACTAGTTCAAATCATGAAGTGGTTTGATTTTGCATTTTGAGATAAAACTCGCTACCTAGTTAAATTTTATTCTTGGTTTTTTATGCAAGCAATATTGAGAGGAAAGAAATTTGAACGCATGGATCAGAACTGTTTATATTATGGATCATTTTATAAAGATCATCTTTGCAAAAAAATAAATTAAAACTAAGGTCGTTTAGTCATCGAACTGTATAAAAAGTTAAAAACAGATGAATGGAATTGATAAAAGTATTATGAACCATCCATTTATTTGCTATAATAGATTGACTAAACGACTTTAGCTTTAATTCATTTTGTACATAGACGATCTTTACATAATTATGTACAATATGAACGGCTCTGATCATAAGCATGAAATTCTATGATTCGAACACGAAATTTTTTTAATAGAAATTCCTACTCTTAAGTAGCCAAATATTATTCATTACATTCGTTTTATTCGAGGACTTAAATCTTGTGCAGCTCCTCAGCAAGTGATGCCAGGCAGTTCGCCCCCGTGATGATTTTTTATTTCAGAGGTTTTGTACCTGTGGACTTTGTACTTGTTGGTGCCAGGAGAGCTGTCTGTAAGTTTCTCTCCCTCAAACGGCAACTTTCAATCGTATAACTATAGCATATCGAACGAAAAAGTTCTCATTGTACTTCAGGGTCCGGAAAGTGCCTTCTGTAGGGCCTGTACCTCCTATGAACTTCAGCACATATGTATAAAAGTCTTGCTATTTGGACAACATTCTACTGACCACATTGCTGAAACGGTGTCTCCTATTAGAGATGTGTCAGTAAATGTGATACAAATAACACTATTTATCTGTTGAATACTTTCATTATTCGCCTCTTAACTTCAGTGCTTAAGCATTAAGGATTGAATTATCACCAAATTTATTTGTCTTTGCATCTTTTATGTCAAATTAAACTAGTGTTCATTTCTTTTTTAGCCAAGTGGCATAAATTTTGAGCACATTGACTTGTCGGCAGGGAAGTTTGTTGGGTATGACACAGGGTACCCAGTTATGATTTCTAATCTTCAGGCTGCTTTTGTGGTTGGGTCTTTTATGCCACCTGAAATTCGTCGTGGTTTTTAAAACTTAGTATGTGAAGCTAATTGTTCGTCTATGAATAAGATAAAACTTTAGAGCTAATGTTGCGGCACGTTACTCAGTTGTAAAAAGATATAGTTACGTAGATACGGCATTTTATATTGTTAAACTTTCGAAATGAATACATGAATAGTTCTACGATTCTACTTCTCTTGAGTAGTTTTAACTGCTTGTTTGTTTCGAGCGTGGTTGGATGAGACCACACCTTGCCAGCAGCTTCGGCTATAAAAGCCTATACTCGGTTGTTTTTGACAGTCCATGAATACCGTGGAGACACAGCGTGTATTTCACCTCAAATGGGACATGTAGACAAAAGTGACGATGTCTCAGAGACCTCCATGGGGGATTCTATATCCGGCATGGACATCTCTCCTGATGACGTTGTAGGAATAATAGGCCAGAAACATTTCTAGACGGCAAGAAAAGCAATTGTCAAGTAAGTTTCTTTTGTTTCTTTTATCATAACAACAAATTATCATATTCATGTTCTTTAAAATATATTTTTTCGTGCAAAATCTATTATAATTCATATTTAAACACTTTAGATCAACGATTTAAAACCTAAATCTAAAGATATTTTTCTATTTTTTAACTACTTCAAATCATGAAGTGGTTTGCTTTTGCATTTTAAGATAAAACTCGCTACCTAGTTAAATTTTATTCTTGGTTTTTTATACAAGCAATATTGAGAGGAAAGAAAATTGAACTCATGGATTAGAACTGTTTATATTATGGATCAATCTATAAAGATCGTCTATGCAAAAAAATAAATTAAAACTAAGATTGTTTAGTCATCAAACTGTATAAAAAGTTAAAAACAGGTGAACAGAATTGGTAAAAGCATTACGAACCATCCATTTATTTGCTACAATAGATTGACTAAACGACCTTAGTTTTAATTCATTTTGTATAGAGACGATATTTACAGAATAATGTACAATATGAACGGTTCTGATCATAAGCATGAAGCTCTGTGATTCGAACACGAATTTTTTTTAATAAGAATCCTACTCTTAAATAGCCAAATATTATTCATTACATTCGTTTTATTCGAGGACTTAAATCTTGTGCAGCTCCTCAGTAAATGATATAACTGCCTATAAATAATTAGTAAAAAAAAATAGGGAATTGTTATTAGCACTCCAAAAATTTCATTCTGCACTCCAAAAATTTCATTCTACACTCCAAACTTTCTATATTAGGAATGAAAAATACATTTGTGAAGAGTGTAGAATAAAATTTTTAGTGTGCCAATAACACTTCCCAAAAAAAATTGTAAAAACTTAGCTGATTTTCTCTAGTTGGAGTGGTTCGGTCACTTCCTCATGTACCATTTTCAGAATTTTATTGTTTAACGAGTTTTTTCTTTCGCTTGTCTCGGTCTTGTGAATGTATGTTCATATATGTATATCATATATATATATATATATATACACCTCTGGATGAGTCACAACCAGAGCTGTGTAATCTGAGTATGCGAGATGTTATCTCTTGTATTATGTTATATTGGGAATATAGGTAGCAATGGCATTTGCTATTTTCGGGTAAAAGGTGTAATTGTCCATTTTTGAGTCTGATTGTTGTTAACTAGAATATAATCAAAGCTTAAGGCACGTTTATCTTCCCATAAATTATACCATATATTTGCTGTTCTTCGAATATGATATTTTGATCACATTATTGACGTTGATGTTTATTTTAGGGCGTTGAATCATCATTTAGAGCATGAATTTTAGGCTTTTAGCCTCGGATTTGAATACTTAAAACTTAAATTTAAGCTTCCTAGGATCAAGGTTGAATAAAACTAGGCAAAAACAAGATTTTGCTCGACGCGTCCATCATGTAAGAAAGAACAGATGTCCTGTTGAAAGACCAAACCTCGTACCACGATGAAATTGTACTCATCAAACACGAAGAAACCTCAAAATGTGAGGTTGGCAATAAAGTTACTCTATAATTCGACTCGGTAACATCTGTTAGCACTTTAAAATAATCATCGTGCAATTTTTCACTTTTTATTTTCTTTTTTAACTGAGAAAGAGCATATAATTAATAACCACTAAGCACCCTAATCCGAGGATTTAGAATAATCAGTTACAATCAGGAGGATGTAAACCCGGGCCGCCGAAGTAAAACACAGGTTCTTCAGCAAGTGAAGCTGCATAGTTCACTGCAGCGTAGCAATACTCTTCATCTGTAAAAGTCCCTACCCACTCAGGATATTTGAGCTGCTGTGAGTAATCTATGATCCTAATTTGCTTAATATAACATGCATTCCCCTCTTTATTCCATGCAAAATCACCGCTTCCCATTCCAGTTGCAGTGTGTGGATGGTTTTTCTTAATCTTGGAGCTGTACACCTCCCCACCCCACTCAACCAAAGATGCAGCGCCCTTTGTCAGGTAAGAGAAGAGCTCTCCGGGAAAGTATCCGACGGGGATGTTTTGGCCGACGCGCACCCACCAGTTGTTCGTGTGGAAGTCCTAAGGCAGGAACAGAACTGGTTATAAAATGTTAATTACAGAAAAACAGAAGTGTAACGGACTGAAGGGGGACAAAATCGGTTTATTATTTGTTTAGCGTCAACGAGTTGATATTTCAGACCTTGGTGATGCTGAAGGTGGTCTGATACTGCGGACCCGAAGCAGATGAAATAGGTTGAAGGGCCATGCCGAGGGCTATGTCTTTGTTCGTTTGCACAAATCCTGGGCAAGTAAGATCAAAGCAGCCTGTTGATTTGTATGCGTCCTTCTGAAAAAAGATAAATAAAGGGTTTTTATCAGAAAAGTTCTCCGAGGTTTGGCAACTCATCATTTTCGTCCCTCAAGTTTCAATCAAAATGTATGGAACCAGTGGCATTTGCCTGTTTCTTTTGATCATTTTGTAATGAAGTACTTACAGTCCAATACACGAAAAGTCGAGTTGATCCATCACCATATACCTTCGGATTTACCTATAAGATAAAAAGGAAGATGTATGTATGTATACGTGTTAGACTGTGATTTTGGGACTTAAGATGAAATCAATATTTATTCATTTACAGATGAAGCGTCCAGTATCACTTACCACCCAGCCTGATTCAACGCTTTCAAAGGCGTTGCCAGGTCCATTCTTGAGCCATATTTGAGCAGTAGTGAACTCATCTGGCGATTCAACTTTTGGGTTCCAGATATTTATATCTCCTTGAGCACCTATATAACTATATCCAACTGTTACAAGGATAGCAGCCTGCAGGTTCACATAAAATTTGGGCCAATAATTGCACAAGTTCAACAAGATATCAATGGGACATTGTTTTCAGCTTTTTGTTCAATGAAAATTGAACACTAAAAACTGAAATGGTTATCTAATGAGTCCAATACATAACGTTTGCTTACTGAGCGATTGACTTGAGGACCAAGTTCGACTCGGGTGCCATTGATGATTACACTGCCTTTCTCATCGTTGATTGAGTGGTAGGAATTTGCTGGTTTCTTCCCAAAGTGTTCAAGTCCAGTAGCTCTCAGCAAGTCTCGCCTTTGAATTCTCCTAATCGGAATGGTTCCATCTGGACAACTACCACTCCTCTGCCAAATTTGAGATAATACTTGCTGAGAAGAATTATGATCATTTTGTACATGATTACTTGCACTGGGACTGGGACTAGAACTAGGGCTTGGAGTAGAAGCCTCTCGAAAATTCGGTGTTATCTGCAATACATAATTAACCTCATTAATTTTCCAATCATAAAACATTAATACACATAAATCACAACGAAATCCCTCACAAAATATGTAAACAATCAAATGTTCTATTAACTCAGTTAAATGTAACTGCCAAATGCTTCACAAAAAAGAAAAAAAAAACACACCAAAAATCCAACAGATTTCTTCAAGTTTTTGTTTCATACATTCTTCGAATTAACATAAATGAGTGAAAACCTGAATTTTGTGGTTCTGCAACGCTGGATGATCAAAAGCAGGCTGTTTGTAGATGTCAACACAATCAACGGTATCTCCATCTTCACTCTACAAGAAATCATAAAATCTCAAAGGTGTTAAAGTGAGATTAGTCTGCAGAAAAGATAATTAAAATGGCGGAAAATCGGACCTTAATAGTCTTCACGCGGGGCTTATTGAGAAGCTTCAACTTCTTATGAACTTCCAAAGTAGCTTGCTTTGCTTTATAATTCACATGAGGATGATAATCTGCTGCTCCAACACTAAAAACAAACAATCCCATGGATAACAAGAGCATTGTAATCCTCCATTTCCCCATCTTCGATGTCTCCACTTCTCGCTCACAATCTTGCAGCGGAGAGAGAGAGAGAGAGAGAGAGAGAAAGAGGAATGTGTCTGGTTTGAGAGGACGAAGATAAGAATGCCTTGATTATATACTGTGCGTGCATGCCTTCATGGCTTCAGTTTTAGTCCACGTGTCAAATGAGCAATTCATGCGGGTTTAAACAGTGAGATGGAAAATTTTGCTTACATGTATGGAAAGGAAGAGGGGTTACATCTGTATTCAGTGAATCAAGCTGTTGTGATTAATTAGAGAGACAAAGCTTGCTTAAATATTGGACAATTGGTTTATCTTTTAATTCAACAAATTCTACATAAAAATGTGCAAATTCAGAGAATTCATGTAAGAATTATCCGTAAGAGGAATGCTAATTACCTTCTTTATTTGTGTTTCTGATTCAATGGATGTCATGTGGACCTTATTTACACTTAAATCTATGTATTAATTGTTTATAAAATTTCTTTATTGTTTCTGTGTATGCTCCTAAGTAAATTTCGGATGTCAACCAGATCATCAATATTATTCATCAAGCTACCTTCCCTACTTGCATTTCAAAGCCACGTGGACTTTATTTACATCTAAATCTATGTATTAATTGCTGATAAAATTTATTTCTTCTGTTTTCACTTTTATGTCCCTAATTAAATTCCGAATTTCAACCAAATCATTGATATTATCCATCAAGCTACATTCTCCATTTGCATTTCTCACTCAATGGAGGTCATCTCAACTTTATTTACACCTAAATCTACGTATTAATTGTCTATAAAATTTCTTTCTTCTCTTCCCACAAAAGCCCTTAATGAAATTCTAGATGTCAACCAAATCATTGATATTATCCATTGAATTTAACATATTTTGTTATTTTTAATAAACTGTAATTGACACTCTAAAAATCTTGCATAAAGTCTATTACATTATATTTGGATGAGGGAAATAAACTTAGGATTTTGATAAAAGTCAGAATTTATAAATTGACATGCACTAATTTCCTTGTTTGAATTCATAAACATAGAAATTTAGAATTTCCTTGTGGAAAAATACTTGAAATTTGGGACCTCCAATTCCCAAGTTTAAATTCCATGTAAATATGTGTCATTTCCAAATTTCTAGGGTGATAGTTTAAAAATAACAAATTCCGTTTCAAATTCTAATGTTCTTTTAAGGTAGCCAAACAAGAAAATTGAATATTGTCATTTCAATTTCAGTCATTTTAAAATTCCTTAATAATCTTAAATTTCTTCATCCAAACAAATTGTTACATCAATTAAGTAGGAAAAACAAGTAAAACAGATGGCCAGCATTCCCCAACAAAATATAAACTTATTTGGAAACCTCTTGTAAACATCCAAAAACTGAATCTTGTTCAAATGTGGTGCAATCTTTTGGGAATAAATGGAAAATATGCTACTTTGGTAGAACTTTAAGATGTTAACTAATGAATTTTTTTTTGCAATGTATAAGGAATAAATATTTCATTTCCATACCTCTTTAACTGTTGATTTGTTAAATCTAAATATAAATCTAAAGGTAGATGGATCTAAATAAGGTACTTTATTGGATCTAAATCTAAATATAACTAATAGAAAATGATACGATCGGTACTTTAATACATATTTACTTCGAGGAATGTTGCTAACAAGCTAGCGACTGTATTCAGCTAAAGTCGCTAGCTTAGTACCGATCCATCTTTTCAATTTTTACTTTCTTTTTCAATTATTTGTGTGTGTGTGTGTGTGTGTTAATGTTTCTTTTGTTTATCTTATCATAACAACAAATTATCATATTCATGTTCTTCAAAATATATTTCTTTGTGCAAAATTTATTATAATTCATATTTAAACACTTGAGATCAACGACTTAAAACCTAAATCTAAAGATATTTTTCTATTTTTCAACTAGTTCAAATCATGAAGTGGTTTGATTTTGCATTTTTGAGATAAAACTCGCTACCTAGTTAAATTTTATTCTTGGTTTTTTATACAAGCAATATTGAGAGGAAAGAAATTTGAACGTATGGATTAGAACTGTTTATATTATGGATCACTCTATAAAGATCGTCTTTGCAAAAAAATAAATTAAAACTAAGGTCGTTTAATCATCAAACTGTATAAAAAGTTAAAAACAAATGAACATAATTGGTAAAAGCATTACGAACCACCCATTTATTTGCTACAATAGATTGACTAAACGACCTTAATTGTAATTCATTTTGTATAGAGACTATATTTACAAAATGATGTACAATATGAACTGTTCTGATTATAAGCATGAAGCTCTATGATTCGAACACGAAATTTTTTTAATAGGAATCTCTACTCTTAAATAGTCAAATATTATTCATTACATTCGTTTTATTCGAGGACTTAAATCTTGTGCAGCTCCTCATTAAATGATATAACTGCCTATAAATAATTAGTAAAAAAATATTGTAAAAACTTAACAAAACCGTTATAAAAAGAATCTAAGCCGTTGCACAAAATGACTCCGTTTAGTCAAGCGAACAGATTTAGCGCAGTTCCGCGTGACCCAAGTTACCTCCATTTATTACTAATCCCACCACTCAATGGTACAAATTCACACAGTTACACAGTAGAGAGAGAAACGAGAGAGAGAGAGAGAGAGAGAGAGTAGCTTGACGTTTACTCCAAGAATCAAAAAATGGTGAAGTTCTTGCTTCAGATCTCCGCCGAGCTCAAGATTTTATTTGTTTAATTTAGCACTATGTCAGTTAAAACCGACAGTGGGTTGAATACTTTATATTTTAATTGCTACTTTATGTCGGTGTCATTTGCCATCATGTCAGAAACGCACATTACTTTTAACTGACGTAATGTTCGGTGTCGTTTTTAACCGACGTTAATTCGTGGCGGATTAAGTGGACAAACCAACGTAGAAGCCTTTTCGTGACTCTAGCAATGGTGTCACTATTCTAATCCAACATTGCATGGTTTTTATGTCGGATGTTTATCAAATTTCCGATAGAAATTAGAGTTCTTGTCGGTTTTTGCTTCGCCAGTGATAGCCTAAAAATCTTGGTTTTAATAAATTGTAATTGACACTCTAAAAATCTTACATAAAGTCTATTACATCAATTAAGTAGGAAAAGCAAGTAAAACAGATGGCCAGCATTCCCCAACAAAATACAAACTTATTTGGAAACCTCTTGTAAACATCCAAAAACTGAATCTGGTTCAAATGTGGTGCAATCTTTTGGGCATAAATGGAAAATATGCCACTTTGGTAGAACTTTAAGATGTTAACTAATGAATTTTTTTTGCAATGTATATGGAATAAATATTTCACTTCCATACCTCTTAACTGTTGATTTGTTAAATCTAAATATAAATCTAAAGGTATAAATAAGGTAACTTAGGAATAAAAAAAAAATCGATGGAAAAAGAAAAAAAGATAAAATAAATAGAAAATGATACGATCGGTACTCTATTACATATTCACTTCGAAGACTGTTGCTAACAATATAGCGACTAAATTTGATTAAAGTCGCTCTCTAAGTACCGATCCATCTTTTCAATTTTTACTTTCTTTTTCAATTATTTTTTTATTTTTTTATTTTTGTGTGTGTGTGTGTTAATGTTTCTTTTGTTTCTCTTACCATAATAACAAATTATCATATTCATGTTCTTCAAAATATATTTTTTCGTGCAAAATCTATTATAATTCATATTTAAACATTTGAGATCAACGATTTAAAACCTAAATCTAAAGATATTTTTCTATTTTTCAACTAGTTCAAATCATGAAGTGGTTTGATTTTGCATTTTGAGATACTACCTAGTTAAATTTTATTCTTGGTTCTTTATACAAGCGATATTGAGAGGAAAGAAATTCAAACACATGGATCAGAACTGCTCATATTATAAATCACTAATTAATATCGCCTCTACAAAAAAATCAATTAAAAATAAGGTCGTTTAGTCATCAAACTATATAAAAAGTTAAAAACAGATGAACGGAATTGGTAAAAACATTACGAACCATTTATTTATTTGTTACAATAGATTAACTAAACGACTTTAAATTTAATTCATTTTCTACAAAGACAATATTTATATAGTGATGTATAATATAAACGGTTCTGATCATAAGAAGCTCTGCAATTCGAACACAATTTTTTTTTAATAGGAGTCCCTTCTCTTAAGCAGTCAAATATTGTTCATTACATTCGTTTTAGTCGAGGACTTAAATCTTGTCCAACTTCTCAGTAAATGATATAACTGCCTATAAATAATTAGTAAAAAAATATTGTAAAAACTTAACAAAACCGTTGTAAAAAGAATCTAAGCCGTTGCACAAAACGACTCTGTTTAGTCAAGCGAACAGATATAGCGCGGTTCCGCGTGACCCAAGTCACCATTTATTACCAATCCCGCCACTCTGTGGTACAAATTCACAGTTACTCCAAGAATCCAAAAATGGTGAAGTTCCTGCTTCAGATCTCCGCCGAGCTCAAGAATCTGACCTACCTTCAGCCGCAGGACGGCTGCGACGACCCGGACTACTCCTATCTCTTCAAGGTAAGACCTACATTTCCCTCCTTCCTCTTGGTTTTTGCCTCCAATGCGTTTCGCTTTGCTATTTCGGTTTGCGTTCTTGTTTTCTAGGGTTTCTGGCTTTGAATTGATGTCGATTTTTCTCGTCGCTAAATCTGCAAATGGTTAGTCGACGCATTGACATGATTCTATTTTTTTTTTGTGGTTTTTGTTGCTGAGATGTGAGTGGTGTGGAGAGCTGAGCCTAAGAGAAACTCGTGTGAGCTTGAACGAGACTGTTCCTCTTCCAGCCCGCAATAAGAGAACCGCTAATGTCATCCGCAAGAGAACCGCTAAGGTCATCCACAGGAGAACCGCTAATGTCATCCAGAAGGTAATCCCTCCATCTCTCTCTCTCTCTCTCTCTCTCTCTGTCTGTCTCTCTTGATTACATTTGTATGTAAAGGTTTTAGGGTTTGGTGAGAAAATCCAAGGATTCTTGTGTTTTCGCGTGTTCTTGCTTGGATGAGTAAAATGCTGTGTTTGTTTGAGTGCCTAGTACGGTCTCGTATCGTTTCACTTACCCTGTATTAAATCAATATGATGTATGCCTCCGGGGATGGGATGTTGGGTAATTCTATGCAGTTTATGTGAAAGTGGTTCTTATTCCATTCGTTGTTCGACTGATAAGAATTGTTGTTGATAGTTGCACTCGCCACTCGGTTTAGTGAGCTCTGATTTTACACACTTTTGCCACCGTGATTTGTGATATTTCTGGTTGAAATTGTGTTTGTTACATACAGGGAACTTATCGATTTTGTTGGCTACATTATTCCTGTTTCATAATTTGATCGTGTGTGGATATGGGGCTTCTTCTAATGTTTTGGTTTTACACAATATTTTCTGGTTAAGTTTGTTGCAAATTTTTCCCTTGTAGTGCAAGCTTTGTGAGCGGGTTGGAATGATCCTGATGCACCCAGGCCTTGGCAAGCCACTGACCCAGGCAGCAAGTGATGCCAGGCAGTTCGCCCCCATGATGATTTTTTATTTCAGAGGTTTTGTACCCGTGGACTTTGTATTTGTTGGTGGCTGGAGAGCTGAGTCTGTAAGTTTCTCTTCTTTGGACGCAACTTTCAATCGTATAAAAGTGCCTTCTGTAGGGCCTGTACCTCAGGGGCCGTAAAGTGCCTTCTGTAGGGCCTGTACCTCCTATGAACTTCAGCACATACGTATAAAAGTCTTGCTATTTGGACAACATTCTACTGACCACATTGCTGAAACGGTGTCCACCCCTATTAGAGATGTGTCAGTAAATGCGATACAAATAACATTATTTATCTGTTGAATACTTTCGTTATTCGCCTCTTAACTTCAGTGCTTAAGCGTTAAGGATTGAATTATCACCAAATTTATTTGTCTTTGCATCTTTTATGTCAAATTAAACTAGTGTTCATTTCTTTTGTAGCCGAATGGCATAAATTTTGAGCACATTGACTTGTCGGCAGGGAAGTTTGTTGAGTATGATGTGGAGTACCCAGTTATGATTTCTAATCTTCTGGCTGCTTTTGTGGTTGGGTCTTTTATGCCGCCTGAAATTCGTCATGTTTTTTAAAACTTGGTATGTGAAGCTAACTGTTTGTCTGTGAATAAGATAAAACTTTAGAGCTAATGTTGCGACACGTACTCAGTTGTAAAAGGATATAGTTACGTAGATACGGCATGTTATACTGTTAAACTTTCCAAATGAATGCATGAATAGTTCTACGATTCTACTTCTCTTGAGTAGTTTTAACTGCTTGTTTGTTTTGAGCGTGGTTGGATGAGACCACACCTTGACAGCGGCTTCGGCTATAAAAGCCTATACTTGGTTGTTTTTGACAGTCCATGAAGCTGATGTACAAGACAGACTTAGTTGTCTTACATATACTTCTGTGATGTATTTATTTCAAAATGTATATATCTGTTGTGTTGTGTGCCCCATTGCCGTGGATTGTAGTAATACTATGTGATGGTGCGATGGGTGACAAATATACAAATTCTTCTCGTGATTTGGGTTCGATTTGCGAGTGAAGGTGGGCTTACATGGTTTCTGATATACCACCTTCTCCTAAGAGTCCAGTTTCTCCAAATCACGAGACGAAATTGTAGAAGTCCCACTTGGGCCTGCAGTCTATATACGGCCTTTCCTCTAACACTACCATCACTAGTAAGCACACGAGCGATTTAAAACTATCCGATCTTAACAACAAGGCAATTTAGATTATTTAAATTCGATTCAATGGTCTCTATTAACTTATTTTACTAGTTCACTTTACACAAATTAAATACTCTGATCTCTTTTTCACACAAACCAAAGATTCAAATTTTCTAATCCTTAGCCTCCAAACACCAAGATTCGAAGAGAATCCTAATTCTATTTCGTAGTCGGAACACTTTGAGCACTGTTTTAAAGGGAAAAATTCTTACTAACATAAGCTACACAAAATTAACCGCATTTAGATGTTTTTTTCTGTATTTTTTTGGTTTTTGAATTCAATAACAAGACTTTTTGTGGTTGAAGAACCTCTTAATCTCATCCATAACGTTCTATTAGAATCAATTTTAAGCATAAAATTTAAATTTGATACCCTATATGGCACTTTGACATATTTTAAAATTTGGCCTAATTGGATAAATGCTCATGGTGGTGATAAAGTATTCGGAAGATAGCTAATGTGGTAAAAAAATTCGGATTTAAACCTTTGTGGTGAAGTTCGTTAGGAATTAAGCCCAAAATTAAAATTTTCGTTAGTTTCACCGTTAAGTTCCTTTTTCTTTTTCAATTAAGGGGAAGGGGTGTGATATCCACACACCCTATTTTACTTCTCACATACTTTTTTAATTTTCAGCAGTCAGATCGAATGAATTGAAGAAGATCAACGGACATAAATTATCAAAGGTGTGTGAGAAGTAAAATGGGTTGTGTGGATAGCACACTCCAAAGGGAATTCGCTTCAGGGGTTTGTCAATTCTAGAATGCCAAAAAGTAATGCTAGCTGCAAAGCCAGGTGGAGAACCTTCGCCTGAGGGTCTTCTATGGCTACTTTTAACCATAAAGGTTTTGGTGATAACTTCGGTGTTGTTGGTGACAATAGCTTCGGCAACCCTGACGCTCCATTTGTTTGGTTTTAGTTGAGAACAAAATGGTATTGGGAAAAATAAAAGCCCTTTCTCTGGATTATGGTGCAAATTTCAGTTTCTTTGGTTTTAGTTGAGAAATTGTTACAGAAAACCTAAACACACACACTCTTGAGCTTTTTCAAGTACTCAGAAGAAATTTTGAAGTGAAATGGAGCAGGGTGTTTTGCTACTCTGTTAATAAACTGATTGGAGTTATTCGAATAAAAAAAAGTGCAAACACATGGAGGCAACAGTCAAGTTGATTTCAAACTTTGGTTTGGGTGCTTTGTAATTGGCAATGGTGGTGGAGGAAATTTGGTTGTTGAGTGTGGAGTTATGGCTAATGAAGTTAACGGAAATTTTGTTTTTGGGTTTAAATAATAACAGACTTCACCACAAGGGTTTAAATCTGAATTTTTTTACCACGGAGGCTCCCTTCCAAATACTCTATCACCATGAGGACGATTTATCCAATTAGGCCATAAAATTCTGCTCCCCACTCAATATATCAAATTAAATTATTGTAAACAATAGTAAAAGTAATAAAATGCATTTAATAATCAATTAAAAAAAGATTCGAAATTGCTGTCAATTTTGGGTATCAAATGCCAATTCATGTCATGCCACATCAGATTTGGCTTTTTGGTTAAAAAACATTATTGCTGCTTTGTTTTTTTACTGTTATTGCTGCTTTGTTTTTTTTACTGTTATTGCTGATTTAACATTTTGACACCTCCAGGTCCTTCATTGAAGATGCTCTTAAGTGTTTAAATAACAATACTCATCATAAAAATCCTTGAACGTCATTGGAAAGGCACATTCTTCACCCATTTTACCAATCATAGACAGAAAATACATTCTCTTTGGCACAATTTTTTTTTTTTTTTCCAAATCCTCCATGGTACAATTTTTTAAAAAGAAAAACAATATTATCTACATTAAAGGACGTGAGAGTAGTCTGAACCTTATAATGAGCGATGCATAATAATGTGACTTAAATTTGCATTTGTACAAATTTAGCGACCAACTTTGTTTTTAATGACAAAAGTAGATACTTGTGCCTATCGCTCATTTATTTCTTTGATTTGTTACCATTAAAACTTATATATTTTTCACCTCTGCCATCTCAAAATTACCCAAAATAAGGCAACTCGATCAGGTAAGTTAGTTCGTCTTCGTTTCTTCCCACCCGACAAACCGATCCCATCTCCTTCTAACTCGCCTCGCGTGAGGAGAATCATCAAAATTCAAACATAATAAACTTTCTTAAAATCTCAGAGATTCCTCTTATCTTAAATCTCACACAAAACGCACGCTCTCAAATAATTCAGACAACCCTTGTTGCTGTCCCTCAAGCCTTCTCTGCGTGTCCGCCTTCTCATGTTCTTCATCGAAGTGACCACTTCTCGTACTCTCGGGCGCAATCCAAGCGGTGAAGTTTAAGGATCCAAACCCTCCTTTCATGTCCTTCAATTCGGCCTCCAACCTTTTACAGTCACATGGTATGTCATGCTTCTTTTCTGATTCATAAGCAGTTCGATTCGTTTAACATTCGATCCCAGCTTAGATTCTTGTTTTAAGCTATGACCTTGATTTATCGACAACCCATGTGAAAAAGTCAAGATTTTTATGCAGCATGTGTTGAGTTTAGATCTTGGTATGCTGTAGAATTAGTTTTCAGATCTGCCAGCATATAGTTTTTGCTTGGTGGGGTTGTAATTTCGGAGAAAAGTGAGTTATTTCGATTGGAATATGGTTAATTTTAAGTCCAGTTTACTATCTGTGATACGAGTTGTTGGACTCTGCAATTTGTGCTGGTTTGAGAGAAGTTAGTTCTTGTCAAAAATTTTGATCTCAGACACTTGGAGGTACCCTGTAGAAATCAGAAGAGTTGAGGAATTTGATTCTGGTGGGGTGTTTTTATCGGGATGCAGAACTTGCAATTGAGGGTTGTGCCGGTGGAGGAAGGCAAGGACGCCGGTGTTAGTAGCAGCCGCCCAAGCCAAACGAAGGCCTTGCCGATTAGGCTACTTCAGTTATTCGCGCTGTTTCTGGTTTTCTGTATTACTTTCTCAGTCATTAGCATATACACAATTCGGCATTTTGGAATCAATGGCATGATGACAACAGTTGCGGCCTCTTTCCAGCCGTGCCCTGAGGAACCAAAAGGTTTGGATCGATGGATTAAGCCGCCATCAAGTGTTAAACACACCATGAATGATGAGGAATTGTTGTGGAGGGCTTCTTTTACGCCTAGGATAAAGAAATATCCTTTTGAAAGAGTACCAAAGATTGCATTTATGTTCTTAACTAAGGGGCCATTGCCGCTGGCACCCCTTTGGGAGAGGTTTCTGAAGGGACACGAAGGGCTTTATTCAGTCTACGTTCATTCACTACCATCGTTTCAACCCCATTTTAATCCTTCGTCGGTTTTTTATGGGAGACATATTCCAAGCCAGGTATGCACCTATCTATGTAATATTGAATCCGTTTATGATATTCCATGTTCTACTAAAGATTCTGCAATAAGTGCACAATATGTGTTTTTGGGTTTGGTATTCGTTCAATATCTTTTCTTCTTTCAATGGTTTCTCTGGCGTTTTCTTTTTGCACATCTTGATTTTCTCCGTGGTGAGCACACACACCCCGGTTGCTTGCATTAGGGTGTGTATCCAAAGCTTAAAATATAACGAAAATGGAATGTGTCCCTGCAAGAGGTGGTAATTTTTCGAGATCACCAAAGAAAGGGTTAAATCTGTGTATTGGTAGAAAAGGGGCAATTCAACTTTAACACTTTTGGATATACAGTGATGTAGGATACCATCTCCGGGGGAGGGAAAACGTTTTAGATCTGGAAATATGTAATGCAATATCTCTAATATATCAGCTAAGAGTTTTGGTGTTCCCCTGCGCAGGTTGCTGAGTGGGGAAGAATGAGTATGTGTGATGCCGAGAGAAGACTCCTTGCTAATGCATTGCTTGACATATCCAATGAACGGTTCATTCTTCTTTCTGAATCATGCATTCCGCTCTATAATTTCAGTGTCATTTACCACTACTTGATGAAGTCCAAGTACAGCTATGTGGGTGCATTTGATGACCCCGGGCCATATGGAAGAGGACGCTACAATGACAACATGGCACCTGAAGTGAAAATATCCAAGTGGCGTAAGGGCTCTCAGTGGTTTGAAGTTAACCGAAAGCTTGCCATCACCATTGTCGAGGATACAAAATTTTACCCCAAATTTAAAGAGTTCTGCAGGCCCGCATGTTACGTTGATGAGCACTACTTCCCCACCATGCTAACCATTGAAGCTGGGAATTCTTTAGCAAATAGAAGCATCACTTGGGTAGATTGGTCAAGGGGTGGTCCTCACCCGGCTACCTTTGGAAGAGCGGATATCACCGGGGAATTTTTGAAGCGAATTTTTGAGACTCAACGGTGCACTTACAATGACCGGAACTCTACAATCTGCTTTCTTTTCGGAAGGAAGTTTGCTCCAAGTGCCATGGAACCTCTTTTGCATTTAGCACCAAAGTTTTTGGGCTTCTAAGCAGATAACTTCTGGAGCCGAACGAGCGTGCGAAATTCGACCGGTGTGTATTACTCGTTACCATAAATTCAACCTCAGTTGTAATGTTTACTAGTTTGGGGTGTCACTTGATAGCACTTTGGCAAACTATACTGTTTAAAACTGTATCAGATGTACAGAGAAGTAGGCGCCCAATTTAGCTTTGGCATTCCACATTTTTGTATTGAGAATTTGATATCATACATACACTGTATTTGAAATAACATTTTCTTGATTCTGTTCTCTTTTTTCTGTGCGCATGAATCATAGCATATTGTACCAGTGGCGTAGCTATGATTTTTAAATAATGGGATCATAATATCAACTAAAAAGCTTCATTGTGCCATTTCGTTAAGTACCTAGTTGGCAACTGCCAATTCCTATCAGCATATGCCGAAAGTTATGCCAACATAAGTAGACAACTATTATTATTTATAAAGGCTTATTGAGGGTGGATGCAGGATACTATGGAGAAATGTTGAAGACTGCCAATGCTTTTCAACTATAGTATTTAATACAAGAAGAGAGAAAATGAAGACAAAAATGATAGAAAAAAATAAAATAAGTAAGCGGAGAAGGTTGAAGTTTGGTTTGTCTTAGCTATTTATAGATGTCAAATATAATATACAGACAAATATACGTGGATTTTTAGAGTTATTGGAGTCAATAACAACCAATGACTCTATGTTGAATTTGCCACTATATGCGACAGTCAGACGCTCACAATTCACATGCCTGTGAGTGATTGCTAGCAATAAATCTATATAGCTTGATGAGTAATATATAATTTCTCTATATGCGAAGGCGACTGTCCGTAGTTTTTTTGACTGCGTTGAAGAAAAATCCATTTATGTTAGGTGCAGGACCAAACCTCTTCATTTCGATGTGACCAACAAAGAATATGTTGGGCCCACACAAGACCCATTACCCTCTGGATACGGCATGGAATGTAGAAATTTCGGAAAAGCCTTGGAGCACATTAATGGACCTCAAACCCATTTAGTTCCACTTTCTTTTTGGTACACCAATTCTTTTTCTTTTTCCTTTAATTTTTAGAAAAACGGACTTGAAAACTTTGAGTTTTAACGATTAGGACAAAATAAAGGATAAAGTGAATAGTACCAAGATTAACTTTTTAGTGTAAAAATATGATTTTTCGTTAAAGTGAACAGTACCGTGGGCTTTTCGTTAAAACTCCCTTAATTTTTTTGAAGTCGCATTGCTAATTAATATTACAGTCTAGTCATATATTCTTTTTATTTGTATGCAAGAATTCTTAGGTTCGATTTTTATTAAAGGTGAATTTGAACCATATTATTGCTAGTATATTGTGAAGATCGAGACTTCTTGTTTTATTCTTTACTCATTCCATACTAGGATAAACCCATCATATTCCCCTCAATGTAAATAATATTGTTTGTTTAAAACAAAAAAAAATATAATAAGCATGAAATGGCAAAACTATACATTTGTAAGCTGAACAAATAATTTAGAGCATCTCCAACCGAACCTTCAAACCGAAAGTGGACTACCACGGAACATAATTTGAAAGCATGAAATAAATTCCAATCACACGTCATTCCTACATGGATTACCATCAAGAGTGTATGTTTTTAATTTAATAGCAGATATAGGTAAATCAATTAGACAGAATGACAACAATCACAACGATAACCAATATAATCGAACAAGAGAGCTTTATTTACCACAGACGGAAAATACCTAATCTAAATTTAAAAATATATATAACTTTGAAACCTAACCTAGTAACCGCATTCGTCACAATTTGATTGAGTATCGTCATCACACTTACAATATCAAGTAATATATATATAGAACAAAGTACGACCTCGTAGAAAACTAGGTCTTCAACAACTCAACTACCTCTAAAAGCAAAGTCATTTATTTATTTTTCTTTTTTGGTAAGCTGTACAAGTTTATTTCTTTAAATTGAAAACAAATTTACACTATGTTTAAATGAGAAAAATAAATTTGAAATTTTGATAAAAGTTAGACTTTATAAATTGACGTGCACTTATTCTCTTAGTTGAATTCATAAATATTTTGTGTGGGAAAAAACATGGAATTTGGAATATCCAATTTTCAAGTTTAAATTCCATATAAACAGGTTTCATTTATGAGTTTGCATGAGTGACAGATTAAAAAAGTAAATTATGTTTCGAATTTCATTGTTCTTGTAAGTTAATCAAATAAGAAAATTCACAAATTCAACAAAATAAAATTCCGTCGTTTTAAAATTTCTTTATCAAAACAAAGTGTTAGCAGTCCTACATTCCTTTATTATTTCATATGTAGACAATCATAGGCCATCCTATGACGAATGTGAACATAAAAATGCCATACCCCATCACCTGTAAGGGTACTATAGTAACTTCCACTCATGCATGTGCGCCCCTCAACTTCCAAACAAATGATGCCAAGCGAATGTTCCGGAAGCAAGCAGAACCAAATCTCCACACTACACCTGTCGTATCTTTTTCTTTGCGATTCAACACCCTGTCGTTTTCTCACTTCCTACGTGTCGGCCACCCATTGGCGCCGAGTTGTTAACCAGAAAGTCAGGCAATTCTACGCTGTAATCCCTCTGATTCCGTATTGTGGGCCCTTTTTTTTTTCCTATTTAAATTTTAAAAAGGGAACAAATAAAAAACCAGTAATTCTTACCGCGGAAAATATTACAGTTTCTTCCTTTTCCGCGTGCTTCCACGCGCCCATATCCTTCGTCAATTTTGCGGAGTCACCTGATTCGGTGCGTGTAGAATCCGATACGCGCGAGTAAGATTCATACGCGCGTCACTGTAAAAATACCCGGAATATATTCTCCACTTGGACTAAAACAAGAAAACCCCTGACGTTAAGGTATGACCGAATACGTCGTCGTTTAGGTTTTACTGTAATTGCCAGGAAAGTTAAAACGACCCACGCGTGCACAAATGAATTCACATGCCACACGCGATGTGTTTAATAGTGGGGCCCACAGAAAAAATGTGGCTGAATTGCGACATTAGCACCGTAGTTTATTCAAATTTCACTCTCTTGCCTTTGATGTTTCTTTTTACACATTCGTCCTTTAGTTTTATTGTGTTAGCACTTAGAACCAATTGTTTACGAAAAATAATTTCCACCGCCACTCTTTTCTTTCTCTCTATCCTAATTTACTAGAAGTTTAAAACAAAGAAAAATCAAGTAATGTATATAAACAAATATATATATATATATATATTTTTTTTGAAGAACAAAACGGACCGATAGTAAAAATTTTGCATCGAACCCGATATGAATGACAGTCTAACTTATGACCTTTCATTTCAAAGCGAAGTGATTAACACTAGACTACAGTACTGAGCAAGAAACATAAAACTTTTGCAAAAGAATAAATGAAAGCCAGGTTAAATGACAGATTAGACTGAAGTGAAAATTATACGAATATGTGTTGACAGAATTACAATTAAGATAAATTCCAGGGCTATTAGAGAAATTACTGAAATTCTGACAAAATTTACCATATTAAGCAATGTGAGCTGTCGCGCAGTACCAATAACAATTGGCCAGCCTGTTTCCAACGGGCAGCTGCCCGACCTGCCCGCCACTCCCCACAAAAAACACCAGCTATAAATCCATTCACCACGGCCACTTCCTCCCACCTCTCACCTCATATACGTTGTGCTTTCAGTCTCAACGTCTTCTCTACGTCTTCAAAAACCCTAGATTCCCGAAAGAACACAGAGGTCCAAACCCTATCAACAATGGCAGTCTCAAAGGCATCATCCGTCCTCGCTCTCGTGGCGGTCCTCTTCGCCGTCCTCTCCGCCATCGGCGCCGCCCAGGAGTCTCCGGCTCCCAGCCCAACCTCCCCCGCCGCATCCATCTACCCCTCGTTCGTCTCCGCCCTCGTCGCCGTCGTCGCCACTCTGGCCTTCGGATCTGCGCTCAGGGTTTGAGGTCTCGGTTGCTGCTTGTCTGGATGTGGCTGTGTAGAGCGGTTTGGGATTTTATGATTCGTTTTGTTTGATAGCGAGTGTCGTTTTAGTAGGTGGTGGTTATGGATCTATAGGGATTTCGTTTACACATGATGGATTTTATTATTATATTATTGCTACTGTGATGGATTTCTGAGTATTATTATGAGTAAATAATTCATTAATTTTATTTCGTTTATCTAATTTTCTTCTTTCTTGTTCTAATTCCCTGTTCGATGAGTGTGATTAGCTTTTGATCTCTCAGTTTAATCTCTTAATTTAATTTTAATTTTAATTTCATGATAATCTTGCAATTAAAATTTTGCAAATTGGAGTTGCAGACTTCTCAGATCTGTATTAAGTTAATTTAGTTTTCGTATTTTCTTAAAGAAATAAACCGGAATTATTTATTTATTCCAACATAGAGAGCGATATTTCCAGCTGCAAAAATAAAAATAAAATAAAACACGTCTTTTTATTTGTCAAAAAAATAAAATAAAAGTACACCACATGGAATGTTGTTTTTCAATTTTGTGGGCACCGACAATTAAAATTATTTTCTCTGGCTGAGAAATATAAATCCTGAAAAAATAAAATGCATCAAGAAATTCTTGTGGTCAGGTTCCAATTGATAACCTCATGCAAAGAATTTGAACTCAGGAATAAGGTTCGAATTAACATTTTGTCAAATGATGTCGGTATAATTTTTGTTGTCATAACTTAGTATCGTCGTTTTTAACAAACGATATCATTAGAGGATTAAATTGTTAGTTATATAAGCGAGAAGGACGAGCAGAGTGCGTGGACATGATTGCATTTTGCACTACAATAAAACGTCATTTGAATACAAATTTTATTTTGATGTATACATTACGGGTCATCCTCCATCCTTCCGATTGACATGAGTAGGTGACGAATATTTTGAAGTGCGCATAACACTTCTTTCAATATTTGAATAACTTCCGCTGTACTTTGTGGCTGCGACAATTAACGTTAGAATATGCCGTTGAGAACCAGTTCGATGATGGGTAGTGGGTCACGCTCTGATAGCAGATGTTATTCCTAATATTTGATTATTTTCGTAATGGCATAATTATGTATTTTTAAATTGAGATTAAGAACTAAATCACAATGGTGAATGTAAATATGAACCAACCTAATGCAAGTGAACTTTTACTACAGTGATAAAGAGGAGTATTATTCTTGTACCATGGTATGAGTACGAATTTCATTAGCTCTTTAATTTAGCATTTAATCTAACCAATCCGACAAAAAAAAAAAAAATATGAACCGACCTAATAATTGAACTCCCCCATATTCTTCCCTTTGACCTCCACCATACGACTCATGTTTTCTGTCGTCGATATAGTAAAAAGGGGATAATACGGTTGGTAGGATACCGTTGAAATTGTACATTGCGTTAAGAAATAAAATTATTACTAACACGTCTTCCTAATGACATAAAATGCCAATTAGAGATGCCACGTTAAATTTAATGTGACATTGACAAATCCTCATATTTGTTGGCCCTTCAATTTCCTAATGACTAGGTCCTTTTCGCCTAGTTTTCAGTTGTCATTTTCTTAACAGCTGCCTATCAAGTATATCCTTAAGAAAACTATAACCACATCTACCATTATCACCAGGTGGTCTAATGACTAGAGACGAATTTTAGGCTCATATGTTATACGACACAATATAGGTTCGATTTGTGGCGTTGGTGAATGACACGATCCTGGTCAGAAGGAGGCTGAAATGTCTCTGTGAGTCTTCTCGACTCTCAAAATAGGTGGATACCGTAGCGAAGTCACTAGCTGATGCCCTTTTTAGAAAAGAAAAAAGAAAACTATAACCACGATAGCATTAGAATGTATGTGATTTTTTTTACTAAAATATTGTCACGTGATACAATATTTCATTTAAATTACAACACACATATTTATTTTTTATTAATATATTATTTTATACGTGAGACCTATCAACATATTAGCAGTGGCAGATGCACATTGGGACCAAGGTGGTCCCATGATCACTCGGAGTCCAGAACATATACATGTGTATGTCTTTTGAGGACCCTTCGAATATTTTGTACGAGACTCTTTTGTGCTCACCAAGTGTTTAATGTAATGCATGCTAGGCATATATCGGCAGCACTCGACACGTTGTGTCAAGAGGACTCGACAAATTCTCTACTCATCAAATTGCTTTGGCATATGTCAATATCTATTGACATGTGCACAACATGATTCGGCTGACGACAACAAGCCCACCAAGTGTTTGACAAAACGCCTCAGTGAATAAACTAAAACTTTTTTAAGCGCTTCACACTTTGTTTCTATTAAAAAACTAAGACCTTTAATATTGAGACCCCCTAATATTTGAATTCTAGATCCGCCACTACATACTAGTCTATCTATAGTAAAATGATCACGTAATGTAAACGGGTATGCAAACACAAATTTCTCCATCACAAAGCCAGGAGAAAATTGCCCACATCGTGAGAGCGATTCCATTGTCAATGAGGACCATGATTCATGAGCACTCAACCAACCAAAGCGCACACTCCCCATAACCCATTTACGCATTAACCAAGTTGTCAATTCAATGCAATAGTCAATTGGTCCACTTAGCTTTTATTTAGTTGAAAAGGTGGACTAATACAACATGGTTATAGGATCACAATTTAACATGCATCATGATAATTACAAGAAGAAGATGAATGACACTTACCTGCACCAATTGGAGACATGGTGGCTTGAGTTCATAGGTTGTCTTCTACTTCCAGTACTTTAATAATATCTCTTTGCTATATGAATAGGGTCCAACGTATCTGAGAGATTAAGCGTATGGAAGCAGGAACTTAACCATAGTCTTTATATCATTAGAGTTTAATCACAATCGGTCTATTATTGGTTGTGAAAATCAAACCCTACCCTATCACTTAAGTGATTGAGTCCTACCATGATTCTATATCTTTGTAGCGGAACCTATTAGATTTCTTTGAGGTCAATTGCAAAGGTTGAGACTCCATAATCCTTATTTCACTAGGACTATCAGATTACTTATGACGTTAACAACTCGATAAACAAGTGACTTACAACACAAGTAATCCAATACATCATTCATTGGCATTCACAACTTTACAAGTATTACGTTCGACTCACACGAATAAGATAACAATAAATTTGTAGTGAGTGTCATACTTAATTGTTGTAAAAGTGGTTTTGTAAATATCATATCGTTTGTTAAAAAAAGAAAGGTCATCAATTCAACGGCCAACCACATGAGGGCTTTCATGCAGTGAAGAAACTGATGAAGGGATGCTCACCCTCAATTATTCTCTTCTTCAATTTTTTTCCGTCAAACAAATAAGTTCAAGAAAAGCTAAACAACATCGACATCTCTTTGTCACTCAATCTTCATCAATGACCACCGAGAGGTGGATATCCGAGTTGGTTGTGACAACTCATGAAGAAGAAGAACATCTGAAAACCTATATGTTTTTAGTGAAGCGACACTGTTATTTAGAAAAGTATAAAGTTAGTCATTTGTGCTTAAAATAATAAATGGTTAACGTTCCATCCTTCCAATGGTTTTATAAATTGAAGCTCCCGACCCTATACATATATGATTAACTATTTGTTTTATTAACTATAACAATAGACCAAAACACACAATTAAAATAGCACTAAAGGGCGGAATGTGTGCTAAGCACACATTAGTATGAGTCGGTCAAGTGCTCGACGAAATGTCTAATTCAAAAAATTGAAAAAAAAATATTGGCACCTGCGTGTGGTTAGAGTCCCAATGAACTAACTTTCTAGCTTCACCCCCTACTTGCTGCAATACTATTGTGGCGGCATCTCAAGTTTCGCTTGTAGGTAAGCTTCTCTCTAAACACATTGGTGACTCACATTCTCTAATGTATGAACACCTCATTGTGAAACCTAAGTCACTCCTACACAAAACCAAACCGTCCAAGCTTTGTCACTACCTTTTCTTTTCTAACTTGCATGACACGTGAACACAAAAATTGTGTAAAATCCCCGATAGAAGCTTACACAACGGGTGTTCGGGAGTTTCAGACCGGAATCGAAAAATGGAAAAACAGAGTCTACACAAACGGAAATAAAATCCGTTCATTATTTCCGATGGTTGAAAGGTGGAAGATTTACAAATTTCTAACATTTTCTCATACCTTCAAAAGGAAGGCAAAAAAAGAAGAAAAGAAAGAAAAAAAAAAACTAACACAAACCCTATAACTCTACATTAGTAGATGGCTAGAAGCTCTTTTTTTACTAAAGCTCGTTTTATTCAGAGTCCGACTCCACCACATTGCCCATTGCCTTTAACCCTCTTGGTCTCTGCATCATCAAAAAAGTAAAGATTACTAAGCAAATAATGAATATCAATCCTCGAAACTAGAGAAATTTGAGTAGGGCAGCTCGACCAACTAGATTAGCGTTTAGACATGCACTCTCACAAACGAACAAGCCCCATTGTATACCCTCCGGCCCTAAGTACGTATAACTTCCAATGTACACGGACCTACTGTTTGTGAGAGTGGCCTAACCACCGCGTAGGCGTGTACCCTACTTTCTCCCGAAATTGAAGAAATTTGCTTGAAATATAAGATAATTGAATACCTTTTTCGAAATCTTCTTCTCACGGACCTCATACCGTTCCAGCGTCAAATCACATAGCCAAGCTCCCGGGCTTACAAGCTATTAAACATAAATACACAAAAATCATGAGGAATTAGATTAATCTTCCAGCTAATCACAGTTCATGGACTTCATGTTTTAACGTATAAAACCAGAGGTCAAGTCAAAAGCAAAAAAACAAAAGCAAAAGGGTTAAGCTTTTGCTTTAAGCAACGGGCAAAAGTAGCATAGGCTTTTCTGAGAAGCACTTTTATCTGTTTGGAATATAAAAAAAAAATTAACAGTACGTTGGTGCTTTTGTGTTCGGAGGAGTGTTCTCTCTGCAATTGGCAGTGCGGTCCAAGCCGGACAACAGAAAGGTGCACGTCGCCACCCAACTAATTATGAAACTTAAAAGTACCTATATGCCCTCCACACGAACTATATTTACCAAAAGTAACAGGCGCAGAGTCTTTTGGACCAATATGCCCCTCTCTGTCTTCTAAAAATTAAGGCCCACGAGCCTTTAAAAGTCAACCACTAACTACATCACGTGCGTACACGTGGGAGGCCACGCACCGTCCAATCACCACACCCACCCACAAGCCACCACCATCATCTATTGCCACGTCCACTCCTGATCCACTTTGTGAAGATTTTAGAAATTCTTACATCTTAACCGTTCATCGTATATCGTGAGATCAGTTTTCGTCAACTATTATGCTTAATTTTCAATAATTTTTGACCGCATGATACACATTGAATGGTTAAAATATGAGAATTCCTTAGATCCTCACAATTTGGATCTGAATGGGATCCAATTCCGTCTAATTAATACCAACAAGATCCTCTCTAGATCATTTTAGTGAGGATCATGCCGATCCATAAATTGTGTTTGTTTATCGTACATTATACGATCAATTTTTATTAAGTACTGTTTATATTTAATTTTAAATAAAAATATTTAAAATATTTCTAACTGCACGATGTACAATAAACAGACAAGATTAACGAATTCCAAAATTCTCACAAAAAGAATCCGAGAATCCGGATTCTAATTAATATTTATTCTAACAATTTATTTGTTATTATTTATTACCGCAAAAAATAATTCTTAAGCCCAAAAACCAATAATTCCTCATATTCTTCCACTTGGACAGCTGGCAAACTTTTAGGCATGATTAGGTATAAATTGATGCCTTGCGTGACACGTGTACGTCTGGTTCATGCTGTCACTTTAGCACACTCCTTTTGGCCTTTAGCTAAAACTAAAAAATTAAAAAAATAAAATCTAATACCGAAAATGCTACATTATTATTCTATTCCTATCCGTTTAGTCAGAGCAATTTGTATGGTACGGATATCCTGCTGAATAACGTTTCTCATGTCAATGCAATATGGCTATGTAAATAAAAATTAAACACCTATCTTTTCTTTTGGAACAAAACCCAATGATGACGATCACGATGAAGATGAGGATGTACCGATGCCAATATATTCCATGCTTTTATCTTTAACTTTTATCGATTTATATTTTTATTGTACTTAAATGTTTTATTTTCCTTCCAAGTAATGTAGAGCTAGTCCACATTTTGTCACAACATTGCATATATACAAATAAGAATCCAACCTCAAGAAGCAATGTAAATTTCTAGCCAAAAAAACACAACCATCCGCTATGCTGACGTTAATCACGCACAGTTTCCTAGACAAATTACTTTTCTTCTAAATCAAGCAACTAGTAATTAAACTGGGTTTTTGCAATGGAGTTCAAAGCTATTTAAATTCTAAACCATTAATTAAGGAACTATTTAATTAATTTCAGATTAAATTATAAACTGTTAGAGAGAGAGAGAGAGAGAGAGAGAGCTTACATTGAGGGTGCGTTGAACGAACTTGGCTCGCTTCTTTGGTCTCTGAGGCAATTTCGACCCTTTGATTGCCATAAAGTCCTCTTCTTTCTCCTTATTGGTCAAAGCAATCACGAACTTCGGCGGCCACACCATCTGTGGCCCCGCCGCCGCCTCTCCGCTCCCCGATGAAGACCCGCCCTTCTTGCTATCGTGCGCTGTGTCCGAAGACGCCGCGGACTTGTTATTGTGATGATTAGTCTCATCATTATGGTGGTGGTGGTGGTTTTTCTTATCGTGCGCACCCCTGTCGGGCGAGGCAATTCCCCTCAGCCCTCCTACTCCGCCGTTGCTCTGGCCTCTCATGGCAGCCGCGCTCGTAGTCTCTGAGTTTCTGCAGAACCAGATATATAATCAAATCATCAATCAAATAAATGACAGTTTTGCGAAAAGAAAAAACAAATTATATTAAAATAATGAGAGAATTAAAGTTTGATTGTGAGGGGCGTGAAATTACGAGATTGACCTCGATCGATCTAGTTCGGTGGGTGCCAGAGTAGGCTACAGAAAGAAATTCTGGGGGCGTTTTGCGTACAAAATGCAGCGTGGTCCTTCTTTGGCTTCGTTGCTTTTATGGTGGGGAGTTGTTTATTTTTTTATTTATTTTTTAAATAAATAAAAAGCCAGATATTTTAGAGAGAGAGAGAGAGAGAGAGAGAGAGAGAATTCTCAGAAAAGGGATGTGTGATGTACTGTGTAACGTGCACAGCTGGCTCTACGGCAGGTTTTGGGCCGTTGGATCATAGGGGACTTTTGGGAAGGTTAAGGACACGTGTCGGATGTGGAAAGGGGTAGACCTGTTGCCTGATCCAATCAGGGATCGGACGGCCGACGAGGGGTTGGGCTGTGGGGATTCGGTTATGGGATGGACACGTGGAAAGGCTTGCCCATTCCATGTTTCCTGAGGCCGTGGAATCAGGGTCCCGGTCGTTGTGGATCGGATGCTTTCGTGCCAAACGACGGAGTGGGAGCTCCGATCTGGTGTGATCGCAGTAGGAAAGAAGAATAATATATTGCCAGAATTATGATCTATTCAAATCAGCTTCAACAATTCCTATGAAAATCAATGACACTAGGGTAAAGGAAAGCATTGGGACGAAGCATGCGCGGATAATCCTCTATCATTGATGTTGTGGGCCATCATGCCCTGCATCAATGGCTCAGAATCATCCACACGTACATCGTCCCTATAGCTGAAACTCAGAATCAAGTTACTAGATCTTACTATATCAATTCACTCGACAGACTTGGGTCCACAATCTTAAGATCTAAGTCATGAGAAAAGCAGGAGTCGAACTCTTACCTTCCAAGATGCGAGAGTGTAAACGCTCCTTGTGCGGTTCGAGATCTCTCTCTAAGATCAGTTTTTGATGTGTTTTCTGTTGCACAAAGTGAGTTGTGACTAGATGAGCAACCTATTTATAGTGATTGAGCTACTAGGTTTCCTACAAAGGCGAGGAAAGGAGGCGGCCTCATGTACTTACCATGAGCTCTCTCCTCCTGGAACTTGCACATCGCTGCACCCCCACCTGACCAATTGGAGAGTGGGTTAACATAAAAACCTCACAGCAAATCCAACCAAAATTCTGTATTTAAAGACCTAATCCTCTCGAAAGCTTGATTAAACTACAGATTAATTAAGCTGCAAAGTATGATTAAGTGAATGAGACCTTCGGAATATAAAACCAGTGGTGTATGGCAAAAAGATCAAATAGAACTTACTCTCTAACTTTCTCCAATTGTATATCAATCCTAGCCACTCGTATAAGGGAGAAAACTTGGATGGAGCAGTTGATCACACCAATTCGTGTGCGTTGAGAATTGTACTTAAATTGGTCGAATGATACCTAAAATAATGGGATTCGTTTCTTTGTTTAGAGTGTCTAATCATCCAAGTGATCACATTGCCATACCAAGTTTTTGTCCAACTAAACTGACATAGTTGCACGAAGAAATTACACGAACAACTTTTAAATTGCAAGTGGACTTACTATTGACCATGTCAATAATTCGACCTTACAATTGCTCGTATGTATTCTCACAATTTCGTCAATAAACTTGACTGTAAGTTGACAATCAGATCAACAAAACACTTAGCTTAACAAACCTAAATCATAAAACTTTGATCAATAAATTGTGGATCTAAGATCTGATGATTTGATTGCGCTAATGGACCAAACACGGAAAGAGATCCTCTCCGGATCCTTTCTATCTAATCCACCAAGTCCGGATATCCGGACCATTGAAATTTGATCTAACGACTAAAGTTATTATAACTTTTAAAATGGACCCCTGTTTGTAACCGTTGGATTAAATTTTAAATGTCCAGATCCCCGAACTTTGTGAATTAGGAGGAAGGGATCCGAAGAAGATCCCTTTCCGACCGAACACATAAACCACGAAAACATGACCAAACAAAACTCCACAATTGCAATTGCCTTGTAATTGAAAACTTCACAATTGTTAAGAGTTTTCATCCTTACAACCAGAGTCCGGTATTCAAACATCCCACTCTTAGTTAATAGGATATCCTATCATTTGTATGAAAGGAAAATCTACAATTGTAAACGTAGGCAAAATAACTAAATAAAGGACAAAACCCGAGCATATGGCCGACGCGCCTCTAATTTAAAGGAAAGAAGATTCTTTCCGGATTACTTTATGGGGATATTAGAGATTCCTGCGTTCTAGTAATTTATCGTAAATCGTACTATCAATTTTTATTAGGTATTATTTGTATTTAGTTTTTAAATAAAAAATCAAATAATTTCTAACCACACGATGCACGATAAATTATTAAGATGTAAGGATCTCTATGATCCCCACAATTTGGATCCGGTTGGGATCCAAATCCAATTTAAAGCGCTAAAACCCAGCATAATGAATGAGGTTCCTCTCTGGATTCTTTTTGTGAGGATTTCGAGCATCTTTTAATTGTGTCCCTTCATCGTATATCATACGGTTATAATTCATGTATATTTTTTAAATTAAAATTGAACACAAAAACTAAACGTACGATGTACGATATACGGACACGATTAAAGAATTTTCGAAAGCCTCACAAAAAGAATCTAACGAGAATCCCCATTCCAACACTATCACGAATTTTTTTTTAATGTGCCAGAAATACGGTTTGGTACATCAATTGGTTGAAATTATTTTTTTTAATTTTCAACTAATTATAGTATTATATTTGGTGTACCCCCATTCCAACACTATCACGAATTTTTTTTTAATGTGCCAGAAATACGGTTTGGTACATCAATTGGTTGAAATTGTTTTTTTTAATTTTCAACTAATTATAGTATTATATTTGGTGTACCAAACCGTGTTCCAGACATACAAAACTACACATTAACAAAGAGCAAGAGAACTAAACGACGTCGTGGAGTAGTAAATGGTGAGGGACTGAGAGTAGTAACCTGAGAATACGCTGAGGTAGCGGTTGCTGGGGAGATAACGGCCGTTGACGGATATTCAAATAGCCGTTACTCGTCTGATTAACGGTGGTGGAAAGGTGATTCGCCGGGTCCTTATCGGGTCGAACAACCCGGCGACTGATGCGGACCGTGGTTCGAGTAACCGGAGGGCCGCTGGAGTCGTCCTTCTCCTTCACCTGGATCTTCATACACCGGAGGCGCTTGCGGTTCCCCCACTGCAAGACGAAATCCGACGTCGTTTGGTGTCGGATTTCAACCGAGGCGGAGACGGAGGCGGATGCGTCCCCACCGGTTCTATCTCTACCGCTGGTACAGTCCCTTTCCATCTGCATTTAATTACCACGGTTAGTTGGTCAAACTGGTACTTTTACATTTTAACCCGGGGTTAAATTAGAATAAAAGAGGAGAAAAGAGGCCAATAAATAAAAATTCAAACAAAAAAAGGAGTTTATCCAAATAGACGGAGAAGATGAAGATCCAGAAAATGCAGGGAAAGGACAAAGCATTAAAATTTCATCCCCTGCCTTGTTCTTTTTTTTCTTGCTCTCAGTTTCCCAGGAAACAAACAGAAAGTTTCCTACTTCTTCTGGTGTTTGAATTTCTGAAAAACTAATGGAGGAGAAGAACATAAGCATCGGAGTTCGAACTGGTAACAAAAAACTCGAAAGATTGGTGGATTTTGACAGAAAGGGCCGTTTCTTTCAATGCTGAAAAAAAAGTAACGACAGTCGATGGAAATTACCCAGACAAAAAAAAAAAAGAAGAAATAAACAAACAAAAATGAGAAGAATAAAACAAAATCTTCACCAAAATTAAGGTGAATTAGTTGCAGAAAACTGGAAATTCGACAGAACCCAGAAGTAGAAATTGAAAGAGGATTCGAACCCGGAGATGGATTCAATTAAAGATGCAGAGAGATTGAGATTTTATGAGAGAGAGAGAGATAGAAGGAATTGTTGAATTTTTCATTGGGAAAGCTTAAATTCTGTTGTAAAATCCAAAACCAGAGCTAGAAACATACAGATTGCTTCGACTCGATCGAGATGACGAGAAAAAGAAGAAAACAGGTGGAATTCACATCCGCCAGTAAAATCCAAAGACGGAGACTTTGGTTCATCTCTGATCTGTGAACCGGAAGAAAGAATCCTCACCTGTAATGCTCAGATTCCGCGACCACCTACAATCCTGAATTTGCAGAAGAAAGTTTGCTTCTTCTGAGAAAATCTTGTTCTGCTCGGCCCTTGAGACTACGCAAATCGCAAATCTAGAGCCAAAAGTCGACGAAATGATCGGAGCTCAGAACTTGTCTCCCTGACACTCATGAATCAACGAGTTGAGATTTCTTGAGAAAACGGGTCAAATCTCTCCGAAATGCGCCTGCGAAACCGAAACCGAAATCAAAACCAAATGATGAATTAGAACAGGGAAATAAAACAAAACAACGAATTTCTTCGCCGTTTCTCTGCCAATCCCAGTGAAATGAGATCGGGTGTTTTAATTACCGAACGAAATCGCAATCGATTTCCACTTCGGAAACTCTTTGGATGTATCTGCACCACTGAAATTACACCAGAAAAACAAAAACCCAAGTTAATTTTCCGAAATTAGATTCCATTAAACCAGCAAAAATGGAGTTCTGTTCTCAAAATTCAAACCTCTCCAAGCTCCACAAACTCAGAGGAAAAAGCTTCGATTAGATCCTCAACATTCACACAGTCCAGGTCTACGAATTCGAATCCAAATACCCAATTCAAAAGGCAGATGAAAATCGAAGGCCAAAACTCTAGAGAGAGAGAGAGAGAGAGAGAGAGAAAGTTAGAGAGAGAAAGCTACGTTCTTCTTCCTCTTCTTCCTCTTCTTTCTTTCTTCTGGTTTTTCTGATGAAACGAAATGAACTCTCGCCTTTCAAACCAATTTTTATAGCAAGCCCGTCACTCCCTCCGTGACACATCGACCGTCCAACGCCGAGCGCCCTCCACCCTTCCGCAATCCAACGGCTCCCGCGTGTCGCTCTCTTAAACCGTCAGCTCCGTCTCTTTTAAACCCGGTTACGTCGTTACGTCGTTCTTATGAGCCTTCATTTCTTCACGTCGTTACTTGAAACTAACAGAATCTTCTGCGCCGTTAAGTTCCAATTATTTACAATTTCCAAGGAAATAAATTTTTTTTCTGTACCTTTATTTTTAATTTTCTCTGGTGAACCGGGTTGGATGGCGTTTTCGTTTGGGTCATATAGATGTAGTCAGAGTGAGATAACTATGGTTAAATTTTAACCGGGGTCGTGGGTTTAACATTATCAGAAAGTTTCCCGGAATGTCCGGTTGCCCTGATCGACAGTACACCGTATGCAAGCCGGCCTTTAAATGTTGTGGGTGCGGCTTTTGACCAAATGCAATTTTTGAATCTTGAGCGTCCATCAAAAATAATAAATTAGAAAAAGATCTTGAGTGTCGGTTCTGCCACCTTTGACCAAATGCGTTAAGCGGTGTTTAAATTGAGTGATTATTTTACATATATAATTTTTAGATGATGCTAAAAAGTAAATAAATTCGATTATGATGTGCGTAAACTTAAGACACGCTAATCTATGTTGAGAGATAAATAGGTTTTTCCGTAGAAAAAACACGGATTTTGATATGCTCATTCGACCACGATTGATTGCAAGCATGGGAGTGATTTAAGACCTTTAATTTTGGGGCTCGAAATTGTGCATGTAACTTAGCGTAACATTAACTATAGTCTATAGTATAATAATGATGATGAAAATTGAGAAATTCAAACTTGAAAATTCTTCCAGCATTAGAAAGAAAGTATAACTAGACGAATAATTAGGTGTGTTTGTATCGTACTTGCTCAATCGTCAAATTACCAAGTACCGGTCAATTTCATACCTTTAAGAGCCTACTCAGAGGTTCATGCTGAGGCACCGCTGTCGAAGCACAAGAGTTTCCCTCTACCCAGGAGGCCAATCACAGCATGACACATGTCAATGGTAGAATAGAGCTCATAGAGTTCCGCATCGACTGCGGACGAAAGCTGGAGACTTTCCTCAACTATAAAAGAAGATTATTCTCCTACAATGAAATCCCTAATGTCATTATTGTATTTAAACTAGTCATTAGAACTCACTAATGATAATTATGCTTAAACATATGTATTTGTGTAAACCCTTTACTATTAATGAGAACTCCTCTACTACGTGGACGTAGCCATACTTAGGGTAAATCATGTACATCTTGTGTTTGCTTCCCTATCTCTATTTCTTTACACATCATCATCACTAGGTGACTGGCACAATCGAGTGAATGTCATTAACTTGACACTTTATGTTGTTCCAAAGTCTTCACTGATTTTGTGCATCAACAAGATGCATGCAACTTAGCTAACATCAATGGATGGAGCTACCATAGGCTTAGAGGGGGCAGATGCCCCCATTTAGTTCTTCATTTTTTTTTCTCACAAAGATTGTACAGTTTTGCATCCTAATGACCAACCTTAATTAAAATACAATTAAACTCTATATGTTAATTAGTACTATAAGAGAAATGCTAAGGAGACTCTTTTAAAAGTGGATATCTCCATGAACTCTCTGCCACCTCATGTTTTTGGCCCAATTCCCATATCAACATTATAAAACATTGTGTCAAAAACATGAGGTGACAGAGAGTCCATAGAGAATCACACTTTGAGAGAGTCTTCTTAGCATTTATCTTGGTATCAATATGATTGACTTCTCCAACAATGATTCCAAGTGTTTTGTATAAAAAAAAACTTTATGGATTACTATATAAGTGTTTTGTTCAGTAAAATTTTTAACTTTTTAATTGTGACTTTGTTGATTAAGAATGTTCCCATTCATACAAATCTCTAGCTTCGTCCCTAATAACATCAACTTTAGCTAATACATGTTTTAAACATTTTCCATTGTTTTTTGGGGTGAACATTGTCACATGCTTACGACAAAAGATATGCATTATTAGGAGCTTATCTTTTGCTTACATTGCACGAGTTAGATTCCCACTTGTCTTATTAATTATAAAATCACTATATTTTCATTTCAAGTTTTCACGGTTTCTTTTGGTCGTATGGTTAGGAGAGTTTGAGCTTCAATAAATAGTAAATGATACTGTGTAACTTTTCAAGAATTAAAATTACTTTTACATTATATTTGGATGAAAAAATTTAAGATTACCAAAGAATTTCAAAATGACGGAAATTGAAATAACGGGATTTTATTTTCTAAAAGTTGTGAATGTTATTGTTTGGTTAACTTAAAAGAACAATAAAATTGAATACGAATTTTTTATTTTTAAACTCTCAATTATAGAAATTGAGAAATTACACCTATTTACATGAAATTTAAACTTGGGAATTGGAGGTCCCAAATTACAAGTTATTTTTCCACGCAGAAATTATAAATTCCTATGTTTATGAATCCAAACAAGGGAATTGGTACATATGAATTTATAAATTCTGAATTTTATCCAAATTCCAAGTAGTTTATTTCCATAGTTCAAACATAGTTTTATATTCATCTCTATAGGAATCGGGTTCAAGTTTTTCCCAACCCCTTACTCATCAAGGTATGTAGCCCTTATCTGCGCATACGAAGAAATAAGAACATTTTTTCATCAAGCTCTCAAATGGTCAAACCAACAATGTCCCCCATCCTATTTATCATAGCTGATAAATTTAAAATTTGATATTTGTGTCTATCTACTACACAAATATCGAAATTTAAATTCATCTAACAATGATAAATAAGGTGGTGAGTATCAACATCACTTGGAGAAATTTTCCAATATGCCGAAAACACAATCCAAAATACCACTTAATTGTGGTGAGCAAAAATATTCTCAACTCCATTTGTGTAAGGTGCTTTGTAGGACCCACAGCGTTTTGGCGTTGGAGCAAATTGAGGAAGGAAATTTGGGGATCGGGTGCATGTATGTAGCCCTGGTATCTCATGAGACAATGACGTAACTTTAGCTCCGAATCAAATTAAAATAAAGCTGGTGACTTACTTTTTGCTTTAAATCAAACTATACGCCAAAACAAAACCGATGAACTTCCCATGTTAAGTACAGGAGATGGGAACGGAAGATTGTATCGGGCAAGTCGCTCTGATAAATTGCAAACCTTTTTATAACCAACCAGGTACAGATTCATACATAACAAACGTGCTAAATATTACTTACAAGTTTTAAGTACGTCCATGACAAAGCAATCCAGTACAGGGGAGGAGCTTGAGCCTTGAGTTGGTATTTACAAAGTTACACCCAAAGCAATCGAAACAACAATCATCGAAATGCAACCTTAGATGTCTTTTTTGCATATAGATCGTGACCACAGATTGGTTATTCAAATTCCACATTAAGCATCACGCACTGAATCCCATGTGCAGGGAGCTCCAGCGACCAGAAGGGACGCTGACGCAGGCTTGTGCTGAAGCCTCCGCCATCTGCTCCTTTGTCATGCCGGCGTTGCAGATGTTTGCCAGGGAACGCATGTGTTTCATTCCGTATTGAGATAGGGATCCACAATGTGTCTCAAAACTCCTCACCTGAACGACAAGTCCCATCATGAAGGCAAATAATTGGTGTAATCTTGTAGAATTGGACAGGTTTTAAAAGCATTGAAAAATATTAAGTAGCAGAAGTGTTACCATTGTCTTAAGGCAGTCCCAGTCATCAACGAGCGGCTGGCCAGCTGGTCGAACAGCGTTGAGAACTTCTGGACCTTTTTCAATTCCAAACAGGAGTTTCCCAATGAGCTTCATGGTTTCATCTATGTGCATTCTATGAGACATTGCTTCAACAAATTCCTTTTGAGCTTGAACTTTCCTTGGTGATCCTTCGGGAGCCTTGCGATACTGCATCCAAAAAGGCAGAGGAAAACGAAACCAAGGGGATTAGATCTTCCAAAAGATGACCAGTACACAAATTATCAGAGAAGGCAAGAGAAGTATTCACGGGTGAAAGAGACTAAACCTTATGCCAGAAATGAACAAGATCAGCATCACGCTGGTTGACAGCTTTTGAAGATGGCCTCAAGGAGTTCTGGCCCAGAAAAGTAAAGTTCTCGTTTGCAGGATTTGTACCCATGTACACAAAGAGATTGTTCTTGCTGAGCCCTACATCGCCGTATTGCATGACATGAGAACCAAGGCCAGAATTGTCATTTGCTGTCCTTGTTTTAACCTGGGCCATCACAATGAAACCAAAGAATTGCCATTAGCAACTAGCAAAAACACGTTGAAGGCTATCAGATACTTATTGGCTAGACATTCAAAAATCCTCAGAGTACAGGTTACTTTTAGTGTACAACAATAAACAGCTAGTCTGCCTGAATTATCAAGTGACTGACAAATTCTTACCAGTTCATACTGCTGGCGCAAGGTTTCTGACTTCAAGTTGTGTATGTCACTGTTCACAAATTAAAATGTCAAATCATAACGTGATAAGTAGAACTGAAATTTGAACGGTTTCTTTGTGTGTTTCAAAAAGAAAAAACAAATGGAAAGAACTGATGCAGTTTCGAAATTTCTAGCTCTCATACCTGTCTTCCATCCACGCAACACTATACAAGTCACCCAAGCAGGTTTCATATTCTGGAGGAGGACTGGGATACTCTCCAGGGCAGTACGTCCCCCAACTGCTCTCTTCTGCATTTGATGCAGTGGTTGCAAAGATATTCAAACCTTCAGGAAGAAGGCCCTCGAAGATGCTTCCAGATTCACAAGCTTCGAGATAAAATACCTGCAGTTTCAAGAATTAGGCCAACTCTATTGGTACATGCATCATCTATTTACAGTTGAACTAATAACTTACCATGCTTTTATAGGTTCCTGCAGCATGCTTCTTCTTCAGGACTTCTATCAGATCGTTGGCATAAATATAAGGACTGATCCCCGGCATCCCTAGGAAAAGAGTAAGTAGATAAGATATGCAATACGGGCAAAAGAATATCAGTATTTTCATGCATAGACTTGATATCTCCTAATCAAACACAACAAATAACAGTCATAACAACATTGATAAACTATAAAATCTTGAACATATATTTCAATGTCCATTTTTAAATCTAATCACTGCAGTCCCCCACCATGCTTCAGCTATCAGTTTCGATTTTTAAATTCAAGGGTACAAGGCTACACAAAAAGTTGTGGTATTTGTGGGAGCGCTATGCTATCCACAATACATATGAAAGTGTTGGGGTAATTGCTCTTCCAAACTAGCATAAGCCATCCACCAATATCGCCCTTACAAACAACACCTAAAGCAGGCCAAATAAATTTATAGAAGTTGCTTCTCAAGAGCTACTAACCAAGAACTCCAGGACCACCATGATCGGAATAGTATATGAAAATATGATCGTTTGGACCGCTATCCACAACCTTCCCACTACCCCCTGTAAGAGCAGATTTGTCCCCAAGGATAGCAGCAAAAAAGTTGTTCACAGTAACATCTTGCCCAGTGTAATCCTGCCACAAGAAAATCGACCGACATGAGGGGAATTTTTACAACAACTCAAAATTAAGTGAACATGTAAAGGGGAAGGTATCGGACCTTTGGAACTCCTTTGTAAACGTCACTCCCATGCGGGCTGTTAATGATGACTCCTTGCCTAGGGTTCTCTTCATTGTAAGCAATATCATCGTACATGAATACAACAATGTTTTCATCTTTCAACCCTCCTTTCTTCAGTAGTTGATAGGCATGACAAATATCAGCCTAAGAACAGAAATAGACAAAAGGGTCAGTCAGAATATCAATTAAGAAGTATGGGTTCCATTCGAATATATACAAACAACGACAACAACAAAGCCTTATCCCACTAAGTGGGGTTGGCTGTATGAATCCTATATCCCACCACTGCGCTCGGTTTTGCACCAAGAAGATATACAAACACAAGAACATAGTTATCGACATTCATTACATGACGATGTACACAAAAGTATCAATTTTTTCTTTGACACAAAAATCCGATTCCAACATAAATATCGCAAACTGAGAGAAAATTTTTACCACATGTAAATTTAAAACTCTGTTACCTACAAATTAAAGATTATGTCAAAGTTCGATTCTTTCGGACTGCGATGAGATTCATATTAGTTCTAAAACAAATTCCACATGTAAATTCAAGCTCTGTGCTATCTATAAACCAAAGTCAATGTCACATCACGACGTGTTCAAGGAAAATAAGAAAGAATCAAGCTTGAGGTTAATTCGTATTAGTTCCACTTCCATAACAAACTCAATTTTCCTAAATTAAATTTGACAAATTCAAAAGCAAAAAGGTGAAATAAACAGAAACTGGATCATTTAAAGTCAAATTCAACGAGATTATACAATCATGAACTCAAATTAAACGAGATTATACAATCACGAACTCAAATTAAACGAGATTATACAATCATAAACTTGCCAATACAGAAATTCAGATATTAAACAATAGCAAAAGTGAATTTAACATCCAAAATTACCTCAAATTTCACTCAAAACTAAATTAAGAAATATGATATGATTGATATGGATGGGGATTATAACCTGATGTCTGTAATTCCAGTATCCATTGGAGCCGGCGATCAGAACAGCCCATCTGGTCCCGACGGTGCCGTCGTCTTGCTGATCGGGAGCATCATCGCCTCGCCCAAAGAATCTGGAAGCTTCCGAAGGTAATCGCAAAACGTCTCCGTTAAGGTCCCGGCTACCGGCTGCAGAAGCTAAGATGGAGGCGAGGAACAGGAGGACGAGGGCGCTGGCCAACCGAGTCATGGCTGTTTCCGGTGAAAATTGGGGGCGTCTGATTGGTAGAGAAGGAGGTTTGAAGGGTGGGTATTTATTGGTGGTCACGTGGGCCTATCCGTGTCAATAAGACTTTCAGGATCAAGTTGCGGGCCCCATCAGAACGCTTTGATTGAGGAGTTTGTGCAATCTGAGCCGTACACGTCAGCCCAATGTCTGGGGACATGTTACTATATTGCGGGAATTGCAAGCGTTGGCGCCGTATAATTCGACTGTTTTTTTTAACCTGGATTTTGGAAAATATGATCTCCAAATAGCGGTAAATTCCTAAATTATTTATATATTTCTATATTTATTTTACACAAATGATGGTCCATCAAAGTATTTTTCAGGGTCGGATTTGAACTTAAGTGCAAATGAGGAGCATGAGATTTTAGCTAATGTAATGAAGCCTTGACTTGAATTCCCAATCATTTATGAATTAGTTTAACATAAATTGATGTGATTTCAACCTGCAATTTTGTTTACGTAGCATGTAATTCCCAATTGTTTTTCGGTTGGTATTTATTTTATGTTCTTTTATATGGGTGCTAGAGGATGGAGGGTCGAATTTAAAACTTCAAGTTTTTAACCATGGGAACTGCTATCAGCATTTTAAAAATATCATTCTACACTCATCATAAGTATATTTTTCTTTCTAATTATAGAAAATTTGAGGTGCCAAATGAGATTTTTGGAGTACTAATAACAATTTATTTTAACCATTTCAATTATGAGTTCTCAACAGTCAAGGTGTGGTTTAGTATTGTTGTTCATACATATCGTATATATCAAACGACTAAACCTTGATAAACAACATTACATCACTTTCGATCCATAAAAATAAAACTTAAATATTTTGTTTTTTTTCTTTGAAAAAAAAAAGAAATTTATTTCGAAATATGATACAAAAATATCACTTAATTATGCATTAGATTTTATGAAGTAGAAGACAGGATTATACATAATTGCGTGCTCAAGGAGAACAGGTATAAGATGACAGGGGGCCCACCCAAGGGCTCTCTTCGCTGGCTCCTTCTCTAATTCAAAATCTCATGCTCCACCCTTCACATCAACTCCAATTTGTTCTGGACTTCTTAGCTCGGACTGCCCAATGGGAGATGGGCCCCTCGTTAAAATAATCCAGTGTGGACGGATTCAATGAACTTTTAAGGATCTTCTTCGGATCTTCTTTATGGGGATTAGAAGATCAATCAATCACAGTCGTTCATTATACATCGTACGATTATAAATCATTTAAAATTTAAAATTTAAAATTGAATATAAATAGTATTTAATGAAAATTAACCACACGATGTATAATAAACAATCATGATTGATGGATCTCCGAATCCCTACAAAGATGATCCTTTTCCCAATGAACCTACACAAGACTTCATTAGCGGTTGTTTTTTTTTTTGGGGTGGAAAAGTCCAGTTTATATACAAATAGCTGCTTGATAAAGAAATTGGCAAAAACAAAGATAAAATTTATCGATCTTTACGTTAATAGTTACTAGCATATGGGCACAAACAAAAGCGTGTGAGAAAAAAAATTTATTTTTGTTTTTGAAATAGAAGGAGAGAGGAAGAGAGTGATAGAGAACGTGGGAGTGAGATTTTATTTTTTTTTAATTGGAGATATGTTAGGATTACATGTAGATGAGGCTTTGAAAAAAAACAGTAAAATTTGGTTGTGTGAAATTAAATTTCTGCCCCATATTTCTTATTCATGTTCTGTTTCAATTAGAGGGTTAATCTGGTAAATTCATAATATTTTAGTTGACAATGAGTGTTTTATTAATTAGTAAAGATTTCGCCAATTTAACCATCAAAAACATTTTTTCTTCCCAAGTAATACTTAGTTAGGCCAACTCATGCGAACATGTATTGTAGGTATAATATAGATAAGAATTTTTCAAAGAAAATCTTAACGTTTTGGATACATAGCTAGATAAATATCAGTGATGAATAGGTAAATGATTGACTCACAACTTGAGGTGTGACTGTGAACTTTGAAGCTTGACGAACAAATTAGGTAATCGTAACAATTTGTAACTTTAAGAGTTATTTATGCCTCTAAGAGATTAGTTATTTCTTTCTACCATGTCTAAAATACATCAAATTGTTATGTATCCAAAGTTTTGTGTAAGTTCTTATTGGAAAATTACTTATGTGTTGTAAACTTTCCTAGTTTAAGTGTGATTGTGTAAATCCTAGATTAGATTTGATTCTAATTATCTTTTCCTAGTACAACTGGCATTACTTGGGGAAGAAGGAATATCTTCTCTCCGTTTACTACTATAAATAAAAGCACAATGTAAGAGGGATAACAACACACATTCCCTTACAATTCTACAAACACATCTCTCTCAATCTCTCTCTCTCTACCGCCAGCCCCCTTTAACCTTGTCAGATAAAATAGACCACAACACGTTATTAGCACGCTCCTACCACTACGCTTAGGAATATGACGTTGAAGAATTTTTCTGCATCAAACTAGTTCATCCATATCATCACGCAATTAAGTTCTTCCAAAACTTATTTCGATATTTTTGCAGCCCTGATAGCATGAACATTCACCATAATACATGACCCAACTTTACGTTTTTTCAAATTTTAGATTCTACATAAATTGTGTATGCATTATATTCATAATTATTGAATTATGTGAATTTGATATCTTCCATGAATTGCATCAAATATATGTACATGCATTATATTATTGCATATGTTTTGAATTGAATTATATATGAATTGAATTGAAGGAAAAAAAAAAAGCAAAAAAGGGAAACCAAATCAATCGGTGCCACTAAGGTTCTTCGAACCCCTGATCTTGCGCCGCCAGGCCTGCAGCCTGCGCCGAGCCGCAACCTTCTGAGTTGTAACATTGCTATTTCTCTTTGGAACCATGTCAAACTTAGGGGGAGTATCTTGAAGATACTTGTTTGATCTTAATGTACTATTTTCCTCTACGATTAGAAGCATTTTTCCCACTAGATTTTTGCTACCTAACAAGGTTTTAACGAGGCACCCACCTTGGGCTAGTCATATCCCTGATGACGTCTCGCAGACGTTTCTTTTGACTTTACATTTCTCATGCATTTTTCCCTAGACTATGGATTTTGTCCCTCCTTGGGTTTTTGCCATAGCCTTAGGGTTTTTTTTAGTGAGACTTACTATTTATGCAAGTTCCTACCTTATTGAGAATAAGCGTTGTTCTTTAGAATCAGTGCTGACAAGTCGACTTCCTCAACTTTTGCATGATACTAAATCTACCTTGAGTATTTACACACTCAAGGGGGAGTGTTGTAAACTTTCCTAGTTTAAGTGTGATTGTGTAAATCCTAAATTAGATTTTATTCTAGTTATCCTTTCTTATTACAACTTGTATTACTTGGGGAAGAAGGAATATCTTATCTCCTTTTACTACTATAAGTAAAGGCACAATGTAGGAGGGATAACAACATACATTTCCCTGCAATTCTACAAACACATCTCTCTCAAGCTCTCTCCTTCTACCGCCGGCCCCCTTTAACCTTGTCAGATAAAATAGACCACAACATTATGAATAAATTATAGTTGACCTAAAGAATAAGGTAAACAATATTGTGCTCCTGATTCGCACTCGGGTGGAAATCCAATTCCCAACAATATCTATTAATCAAAAATAGACTATTAGAAGACTTGGAAATTTTGAAAATAGAGTACTTAAAGCTAACAGAAGACTTGGCGTAAAACTAAGTGTAGTAACATTTTAAAATTCATACAACCACTTGTTGGGATAAGGTTTTGTTGTTGTTGTTGTTGTTGTTTTAGACTACTGTTTATATAAAAAATGAGAAAAAATATTAAAAATAATACTAGTAACAATCATGCTCTATGAATGCCTCACATTGGGCTTTTGTAGCAGGAAAGGCCCAATCTAAGTGAAAGATAAAAGAACTTCATATGCAAAGAATTCTCTTTGTTTATGTTGGCCTGGAGGCAACAAATTGTTCTTCCCCTGGTGAAACAGCTTTACTGAACAATTTCGGCGTTACGATATTGTGATTAAAAGTAATATTTCAATGAGTCTTCTTCCATATTCATTTCAACATCATTTATTAGCGCACGTTCTGAAAGATGCATCGAAGGATGTGACTAAATTGGGGAGAGTTTGAATCGGAGATACACTGCTTGCTAGTGTCGTTTTGGATACATAGCTAGATAAATATCAGTGATGAATATGTAAAAGATTGACTCACAACTTGAGGTGTGACTATGAACTTTGAAGCTTGACGAACAAATTAGGTAATCGTAACAATTTGTAACTTTAAGAGTTATTTATGCCTCTAAGAGATTAGTTATTTCTTTCTACCATGTCTAAAATACAAGTATCAAATTGTTATGTATCCAAAGTTTTGTGTAAGTTCTTATTGGAAAATTACTTGTGTGTTGTAAACTTTCTTAGTTTAAGTGTGATTGTGTAAATCTTAGATTAGATTTGATTCTAGTTATTTTTTCCTAGTACAACTTGCATTACTTGGGGAAGAATGAATATCTTCTCTCTGTTTACTACTATAAATAAAAGCACAATGTAAGAAGGATAACAACACACATTCCCCTACAATTCTACAAACACATCTCTCTCAATCTCTCTCTCTCTACCGCCGGCCCCCTTTAACCTTGTCAGATAAAATAGACCACAACACGTTATCAGCACGCTTCTACCACTACGTTTAGGAATATGACGTTGAAGAATTTTTCTGCATCAAACCAGTTCATCCATATCATCACGCAATTAGGTTCTTCCAAAACAACGGTTTTATTTCGATATTTTTGCAGCCCTGATAGCATGAACATTCACCATAATGCATGACCCAACTTTACGTTTTTCAAATTTTAAATTCTACATAAATTGTGTATGCATTATATTCATAATTATTGAATTATGTGAATTTGATATCTTCCATGAATTGCATCAAATATATGTACATGCATTATATTATTGCATATGTTTTGAATTGAATTATATATGAATTGAATTGAAGAAAAAAAAAAAAAAAGCAAAAAAGGGAAACCAAATCAATCGGTGCCGCTAAGGTTCTTCGAACCCCTGATCTTGCGCCACTAGGCTTGCAGCCTGCGTCGAGCCGCAACCTTCTGAGTTATAACATTGCTATTTCTCTTTGGAACCGTGTCAAACTCAGGGGGAGTATCTTGAAGATACTTGTTTGATCTTAATGTACTATTTTCCTCTACGATTAGAAGCATTTTTCCCACTAGATTTTTGCTACCTAACTAGGTTTTAACGAGGCACCCACCTTGGGCTGGTCATATCCCTGATGACGTCTCGTAGACGTTTCTTTTGACTTTACATTTCTCACGCATTTTTCCCTAGATTATGGATTTTGTCCCTCCTTGGGTTTTTGCCATAACCTTAGGGTTTTTTTAGTGAGACTTACTACTTATCCAAGTTCCTACCTTATTGAGAATAAGCATTGTTCTTTAGAATCAATGCTGACAAGTCGACTTCCTCAACTTTTGCATGATGCTAAATCTACCTTGAGTATTTACACACTCAAGGGGGAGTGTTGTAAACTTTCCTAGTTTAAGTGTGATTGTGTAAATCTTAAATTAGATTTTATTCTAGTTATCCCTTCTTATTACAACTTGTATTACTTGGGGAAGAAGGAATATCTTCTCTCCTTTTACTACTATAAATAAAGGCACAATGTAGGAAGGATAACAGCATACATTTTCCTGCAATTCTACAAACAGATCTCTCTCAAGCTCTCTCCCTCTACTGCCGGCCCCCTTTAACCTTGTCAGATAAAATAAACCACAACATTATGAATAAATTACAGTTGACCTAAAGAATAAGGTAAACAATATTGTGCTCCTAATTCGCACTCGGGTGGAAATCCAATTCCCAACAATATCTATAAATCAAAAATAGACTATCAGAAGACTTGGAAAATTTGAAAATAGAGTACTTAAAGCTAATAGAAGACTTGGCGTAAAACTAAGCGTAGTAACATTTTAAAATTCATGCAACCAACTCCATTTGTTGGGATAAGGTTTTGTTGTTGTTGTTGTAGACTACCGTTCATATAAAAAATGAGAAAAAATATTAAAAATAATAATAGTAAAAATCATGCTCTATGAATGCCTCACATTGGGCTTTTGTAGCAGGAAATGCCCAATTTAAGTGAAAGATAAAAGAGCTTCATATGCAGAGAATTCTCTTTGTTTATGTTGGCCTGGAGGCAACAAATTGTTCTTCACCTGGTGAAACAGCTTTACTGAACAATTTCGGCGTTACGATATTGTGATTAAAAGTAATATTTCAATGAGTCTTCTTCCATATTCATTTCAACATCATTTATTAGCGCACGTTCTGAAAGATGCATCGAAGGATGTGACCAAATTGGGGAGAGTTTGAACCGGAGATACACTGCTTGCTAGTGTCGTATTAAAATGTATGAAAGATCGCAAGGGATTGGTTCAAAAACTCGCATCTTTACGTTCACAACAAGATCAGGTAATATTTTCTTGCAAAAACAAACAAACAACAGTGCAGTCATCCCTCTTAGCGTTAGGGAACTTCTTCCTCCACATCGCTGAAGCTGCCTCAGTCACCGCCCTCGTCGCTGCTTGTGCGCTCTCCGCCTCCCACACAATGGACGCAACTTCACTGTTGCTGAGCACGTCCCAAACCTAAAACCAAAGCACAGAACTGCGATCAAAAACCCGGTTCACAGAGAACGCAAAGGAGCCCTACTTGCGTAACACCAAAAGTCTTATCAAGTAAACGTTATGCTTTCGAGGCCTTACCCCGTCGGTTGCAAGGACAACGAACTGATCGTTGGAAGTGAGACGGTGGTGGGAGACATCTGGGGTGGCAATGATGCCGTGGTCTTTGAGTATAAAGTCTCCGAAAGCTCGGGACATGGCTAGTCCCGGGAGGTCAACGTGAGGCAGCCACACTCTCTGGATGTTAGGTTCTTGCTTTAGTGCAAGCACTCGACCGCCACACGCCCTTATTCGTTCTGCTTCACCTGCATTAAAAAAAAAAAAAAAAAAAACATTCATCAGTCAGATAAAACATAGAGAAAAAAAGGTAAAAAAGCACTTAAGAAAGTAGCTTAGCTTAGCAAGGATGAAAGAACTTACTAGGTACACCGGGCTTGAGATCAGTGGTCAATTGAATGGCCTTAATTCCGTTCTCCGTAATTGTTCCTAGAACTGCCCTTGAATCTCCCAGATTTGCTATAAAAAGATCCTCACCCTGTTCGATTCTTATATTAAAATCCGCACAAAGATAGAACAGATGGACGCTAAACAAATAATAAGCCGTAAATAAGGAATTAAAAAGTGTCTTCTGAGTTATGTTTTTGATTAAAAAGTTTGTAACCGATTCTGTTTGTGCGTATTTCGCTGTAGTTTTTTCGTACCTGTTTGACGACTACAACAGCAGTGGTTCCACTGCAAGAGCTGTCCATATTCTGTTGAAGCTTAATCTCCTTGTCCATAACTCTGAAGGAGCTAACAAATGCTTCTTTCCATTTCTGAAACTTCTTGCTTGTTTCTGAATCTTCTGGTTCGTTGTCCTTGCAACTGACGGGGTTTTGGGAACCATCAACCTCGGCTTCTGCAGTGACTCGTTGATGATCAAGAGCTTTCATTTTGTTCAGCAAAAGTGATGGAAGGTTGTTTCTCACCAACTGACTCACCTGGTGCCCGAATTTCCCATGCCCGTCGAAAACTCCACACACAGCTTCATCTTCCATCCCATAGCCCTATCGAAAGCGTCAGATATGAGATCAATAAATATACGAAAGAAAAAGTACACATAACAACACGAGGATTTATACTGGTTCGGCGTTAACAAACCTGGCAAAGCATGGCACTATCTTGGTTTACTCCTTTGCTTCCTTCCATGGAATGAAAGGAACCAAGCATGGGAATCCCACTAGAATCATTGTTCTCTTCGTATGGCATTGAAGTTCGATTGCCGTCCTGAATTTTGTGAGAAGAAGAAGCACAAGATATGCAGAGTCCCATTAGAAATGGAAAATGGGGGTTTCTTAATTTTCCACTTATCAAATCCTCCTATGAATATAAAGGGAACAACATTTTAGCAGAATGATTATCTATTGAATCTAATTAATTAGTTAAAATTAATTGAGTATATTTTAGTGGTTTGCGTGTACCTGTTTATTTTATATGCTAACCCAAGATTCATATACAAGTTAAAGGAATTTGTATTCTCTCCGGATCTTACTATTTGTAGTCTAAGGATAAAAAAATCCGGAACCAGGATCTTGGTTTGTGTGAAGGAGAGATTGGAGACCTTAATTTGTGTAAGGTAAACCAATGAAATGAGCTAATAAGATTGTCGAATTCAATTTAAGTGGTCCGAATTACCTTATCCTTAGAATTTGGACAATGAAATCCGGAGAAGGTCTATGTCCCAACTTAAGTTGAAAGGACTTTAAACTTGCTATAAACAAATTAGGGTTAGTAATTTAGTATATGTTAGTCATTTACTTTTACATGCAAACATTGTAAAATGCTAACCAACTTGGACTTGCCACTCATAATGGCTTTAACCTTGATTTTGGTCTAAGATAACTGATTAGATAAGCTTATGACTCGAGTGGTTAAGAATATTTTTATTTCTACGTTCGAGGTTTTGTATTTGATTTCGACATTCTCCAACAAACAATTTGACATGTGAACATAAACTTCTTCGTTTATTTGCTTAGTAAATTATTTGTATATATATGTCAAATTGTGATTTACGAATACACACGATAATAATTTAATTGTGAAGAGTCAAATGGTTGAACAAGAATAAGTGACCCACAAGGCACAACCTGCAAATTTGTTTAAGTGTTAACCTTGTTAACCCCACAATCACTAGTAAAAGGAATGAGTAGACATGAACAACTTGATACGTTGATAAGCACTTTACAGAGAAGAGAGATTAGCAATTGCAATTAAAAATAGACCAATAATTTGTGCATAGAAAAGAAGATCAAAACCGGTGATCAAGTTTTAAAAAGAATATAATAATCAATTAAATAGATATAAAACTCTTATTATTTTCAATAATTAAAAGGTAATATAATCAAGCATGCACACTTCAAAACACGTCATGCCGGCAGATTTTTTAAACTAAGACGGATTTCTCTATTCAAGTTTTTTATGAGCGAAAAGAATGTCATATGAATCCGACCTTACAATCTAAAAACAGACACTTTTACTCAAACTTGTTTTGAGTCAAAGAAAATATCATATGAATCTAAAATCGTATAATATAAATCTGACCTTACAGTCTAAGAACGGACATCTCTACTCATATTTGTTTAGAATCGAAGAGAATATCATATGAATCTGACTATATAATTTAAGAATTCATTGAATAATTAAAACTAATCATAGAGATGTCAAAGATAAAATGAGTGAATTGGAACATACCTCTAAAGTTGACTTCTACTTAAAATAATTATAAGGATAATGAATTTTGGGTTTGCATTATGCTATTTCAATTAGCTAACTAATCTATTGACTTTTGACCAATTTATTTTAATTTGCATTTTTGGGACTAATATCGAAGGGAAAAACCTTAACCCAACTCCAAGGGGCAAGCAAGCTTTTCTCTTTGCCAGAAGCTTCAGTTTCAAAGCTTCACCAGGTTTTCTCCTTTTCAATCCAGTTGCATTATTAAACTATGAGGAGGGCTTACTTTTTTTTTTCTTTCTTTTTTCTTTTTCCTTTTTAATTCCATATTTTATTTTTTCAGAGCAAGGAGGTTCGAACACGTGTCTCTTGGTGAGAGTAGCAAAGTGGCAGCTGAGTTTTATTCCAAGAATTTAGTTCTATATGGCAAAAATTAGCTTACAACTTCCTCATTTTCGGAATGTTTAATTTTTTTTATGTAGTTTTTGTACGCTTTAGTTTTGTCTCGTTAAGGAGTCGAGAGGCATATTTATAGGCGATTGGAGTTCATCTTCTGAGTGCTCTGCCAGCTGCCTGAAGTGTTAGGGCAGTTGGAGTCAGAAGCATGGCTCAGTGTGCTCTGATGCATCAGCAACATGGGTCCGAGCAGTCTACAACAAGTGCAGAAGGATCAGAGTGCCATAGTCTGACCAATCAGTGCCCCCTTCCCTCGAATGCTGCATTGGAGCGAGTTCTTCCACTGCCGAATCCAGTTCAGGTAGCCATTCGTTCATGCTTCGTCGAAGCGTTCCTGATAGCTGGTTGACAAGCAGCTGAAAATTTCTGTATACTGGGATATCGAATCTAGATATCCAAAGATGACCGCTTTCTTTGTACTCGGCCTCGTTGTTTTAGGCCTCCAAGACCTGTTTGCTCAGAGTTCGGGGCGAAGATCCTTCGTTGAGGCTCGTCGAATGAAGTTGGAATTTGGCAGTTGGGTTCTGATTGGTGACTTATGGGATCTCAATGGAGAGTGGTTAGGTGTGACATGGAGAGCCTACGCATATGCACTCCGATCAGATAGCCTACTTAAGACTCATTTCAGTAACCACCCTATGTTGTCAGGTTGCTATGGTGTAGCCGAATCTCCAACTTTATATTTACACTATAAAGTTCGAGATTCGGTTAAAGTCATACAATGAGCTTATCATAATAATTTGAGATCTATCTCGCTATTCACAAAAATCGAATATAAGACCTCCCACTTACAACTGAAAAATAAAATATCACTAGATCGTTAGTATTGAATGACACCGTTGAAGTCTTTTAATGAATATTGCTGATTTGATAACAAAAAATAACTTCCAATCAGGTTATTTATGTGAGAAATTGAATCGTAACAAGGCTTATCAATATTTAACAGAAAACATTATAGAGGTTAAGATGATCACTGAGATTCATTACTTATAATCCATTCACAATACCATGATAAAATGTTTCACAATTTGTTCATACAGATGCAATTAAGATCAAACCAACTACACTAAAACTACATACATACGGGACTTAAAGATCGGAAGCAACACGACCTTAGTAGAACTAATTTCTAATGATCGGATTTGCCCCCGGATACAGTTACACTATCTTCACCGTTCACTGTGTCTGCTGCCGGCAACCGTCTTGAGAGAGCCTTAGGTATGTCCAGGTGGTCTTGCGGGCATCGCTGCTGAGGGTGCGATAGCAGCACACACATGTGACGGAAGAGGACTCGTGTTAATCCCTGGCCACTCTCTAAGATGTATCCCTCGAATTCGCTAACATGTTCCAGGGAATCCACAAGTGCATCATAGACCTCCTGGGGGCAGTTGTCAGGTCCAGGCTTGTCATGAAGGTAAACAACATCCAGAGTGAAGAGTTTCTGGTTTACCGGCCAATTATTTTGCGGTCGTATGGACGATCTACAGTAGATCAGAACCTAAGGGCAAGCATGTCAGGCTTTAGTATTCAACAAATAAAATTTCAGTGTCCAGTAAGGGATAGGATAATCAGCCTCAGTTGGTAAGTAACAAATTTGCATGACTGCATTAGCATATAGGTATTGATGAACACATGAAAAAGCAGGTAAAAGTGAAGCGAAGCGCTACTTACCACCCTCAAAATTCTGTTTTGAGCGCGAGATTTCTTTGCTTCATGAGATGCTATTCGAAATAAACCCGTAAGATCTGCATTACCAGAAGAAGGAATGGCTGAGAGTATCCGAAGTGCAGCATGAGCAGACTCAACTTCACTGCTAAACTCTCTTCGAAGCTTCATGCAGAAACAAAAGGTTCCAAATCAATTACAGAAACCTAAAGAAAACCAACAGACACAAAGGACAAATCCAGTGTGTGCTTACATTGCATAGATAATTTAGGAAATTTGGTTTACTTTGGTCTAAAGCTATATGCAAACATAGTTTCTCATCAATTCCTAATATTGAAAACGTTTTTTTGATCGAAAACAAATTATCCCCAAGTATTTATCACTAAATTTAGAATAATGCGCAACAAACATGAGGCAGATGGACTTCTTTTTCCGAGACTTATGTGCTCGTATCCAAAAATCTGATTCCAACAGAACTGATGATGAGGCTTTTCAATGCCGATTTCCTAGCCCTATGCATTGAAAACACAAGATTACAACAAGGTATCTGAGTGATTCTTGGTAAAAGTTAGTGAAGGAATTGATTTCTCACCCACATTCAGTAAAAATGACCAAATTCGGTACAATGGGTTGCTTCAAAATTATGATTGAAAACTAACTTTCCTTCATTCATCCCGCAACCAAAATACAAGCCGCGGAATTTTCTTACGCTTTCTCAGCCGCCAATCAAACTATAAACGATAACACAAATGATAAATTCAATCTACCCATAAAGCTATATATCACAGAAAGCCTCCAAACAATCACCCAGCGCAACAATCATGGTTTCCAGAAGCTTAATTACTCAAAAATACACAAATCCCAGAAAACCCTTTTTCCCCTGATCGCACATTTTCTCGGAAACCAAACAGAAACCAAGCAAAAGAGGACGGTAAAAACAGAAAACCTACCCAAGACGCGGCCTTTCCGAGAGTGGCGAATGCAAATCGGTGTTCCGGATTGATGGTAAGCTTGGCGTTGATGAAGAGAAGTATGGCTTGCTTGATCGAGTCCAATCGGGTTAAGGGTCGCCCGTTCGGGCCCATCGCCGCCTTCATCTCCACCATCGACTCTGGGTCAACGTCTATGCAGAACAGTATGTCCTCGTTGCTCAGCCTTTCCGGCCGCAGCGTGTATCTGCCCGCACCCGATCCGCCCCCCTCTACTATTCCCTCCATCTCTCTCAGACCTCCGAGCGCCTGAACTTTCCAAACGAAAGCAAAGAAAAAAGCTTTGTGAAAACAGTGGGCATTTTCGGAATTCCATTAAAATTGGAATAATCACACTTTGCAGTTTTGCACCTTTTAGTTTTGAACCGTTATAATTTTGGTTATTATCTTTACAAAACTAACACTTTACAACCCTTAATTTACAATCTCTACGCGATTGATCCCTCTGTTAGTCTAACCGTCAAGTTAATTTTTATTCTTTTTGACGTAGCACTTCATTTACCCATCTTATGCTACATTGAGATGGTTTCGTCAACGACAAACCATAAATTACATTGAATTATTTCGAAAAGAATGGGCAAGGAAGGCAAGATATTCGACCACGTCGAGTCAAGGGAAGCAGCGTGAGAGGACAATTTAGTTTTCGTCTTAGCAAAGTAGGCATATTAAGTTCAATTTTTAATTTTCGTCTATCAAATAGAATGAATGGAAGACGGTCAAATGACATAAATTAACACGGATGTGTGGAAAGTGAAAAAAAAGTGAGAGAGAGCATCAGAAATTAACATGTTGGTACAATCTGAACCGTCTAATGAGTTTTAATGGCTGAGATTAAAAACCTTGCATAATCATGCACCCAAAAAAACATGCAGAGAATCCTCATCCAACACTAACAACTCACAACCGGAGCTTATAGGCATATCCGGCCGGGTTGAATCAGAAATACAATTCCACTTCAAAAAATTTCTAACCAGAAAATCGTAATTTTGGAATTCAAATTTTTCTGAATTTTCAGATACATTTCATTTCCGTTCTTGATTTCGGAATTTCAGACTTCAAATTTGAATCGTCCAACTTTTGGATTGGAGTCGGTCGGAATCCGAATACATGACAATAACAGTGAAAAGTTTGGGACAATTCCTAATCAAAGATCAATCAAGACTTTTCTCTACAGGTAAAATTGTACACCTTGACAAATCCAGTCAACTTCTACACGAAGTTCTACTCGAACCAACCCATCTACGGATACATCTACCACAACAGTTTCAATCAGTCACAATATGGAACAAGTAGAATTTGAAGATGTTAGTCACCTCGGAATTGCCATGGAGAGGAGGAGAGCAATTGACCCTTCACTGATGTGCATCGCTGTGTTCCTCTTCCGTCATTCCACGCTCAGTTAAGTTGAAAAAATCGGCAAGTCAAATATGTCCAACTTGCTAGTGCTGATCTTCAATTTTCAGCGCCACTAGTTCACTCTCTTGCTCTTGGTTCCTAAACCTTGAACTGTTGGGGAACCATCTTTTAAGCCTGTCTGGCCAAAACCTAATGGTTTCCAAATACAACCATTTAGTTAAGAATACTGCATCCTAAACCCGATATTGAAAACTCTACAACAGTGATCACTGTAAAATCCGATCTTTAACTATTGAGAGATTGATAATTGGAAAAAACACAAAGCAACTGTGACTTACAAATCCAATCTTTCATATATTGCCCGTCGCACTGAGGAGTTCAAGCCAGTAAGCTATTGAGTTGAACAAGCCCTATAACAAGTATTAAAGTAATAGATGTCTTATCAGAATGATAAAAGAACCTAGTAAAGTAGCCGTCAATTATACATGAACAGTGTTCTTCCAAACACGAAATGCCCACTATACTAAAAAACAGACACTAATTTGCCATACAAAATTAGTAAGTTACCATGAGTGCAGCTGTTCCAACATCAAGAACTGAGAGCCAAAATATTTTGTGACTTGGTTCAATAAAGTCATGAATGCGGTTGATTGTGCCAAAGGCCCATGATCCTATCAGGATGAGTGGATAGTACCCCCACCGGTTCAAAGCCTGTTGAATGAAAGCAACGGAAAACAATTAAGATGAACCGCTATTGGATGTACATTTAAATGATCTAACATACACCAAACATAAGACTACAAAAACAGGATAAATAAATATAGATTTTTACGGATTTCTATGCCTCTATATATGGGAACACAGTCTGAGTCTGACCCTAGGAAATCAGCTGCAGCACAATATACCTTCATGTCTGCTCTAGCATCTGATTGGTAAGTCCGGTCTGACATGCCAGCTGCCATCTATAATTTCCAAACCAGAACTATGATCTCAACAAGTGTAAAAGCAAATGGAAATTATTTTTTTGAAAAAAAATAACAGAAATGATACCAGGAATACATACACGTCTTGCATTCTTCAGCATGCTTATCACTTGAAAGTAGGTAAAACCATTGTAAAGAATTGCACCCCAGAGTGGCATATAAAATGTTATGAGGTGAAGTGCCTGTAAAAATGGGTGGAAAAATTAGAGTGCAGTAAAGAAAACTTAAATACATCAGGCAGCTATAGTCAGAAATCCAAATGGGGGAATTGGACAATAATGACGAGGTAGTTTTAATACAAATGATGCTTACACTTGCAAGGTACTACATAAATGAATTATCAGTTTCGTTATCGTATGTAAGGTTGTAAAGATACAGGTTACTATAGAAATTAGAATCTATAAGTAGTATATATATCGAGAATTGACGAAACGTAACTATTAAGATGCAAAGAACCACACATAAAAACATTAATAGATCTTCATGATCAATTTGGTCTAAGTACAGATATTGTTGTTCATGCAATTACCACCACGAGTAGGGCACAGATTTTACCTCATTATCATTGGTTATTACGGAAGACTCTAAGAAAGACTAAAGAGCACTTGGATCTAACGGAAGACATGACACAGAACCAAGCACAATGGCGTTCTAGGACTCATATAGCCGACCCCACTTAGTGGGAAAAGGCTTTGTTGTTGTTGTTGTTGTTGTTGTATCATTGGTTATTACATGTTTAATCTAAAGTTATGGTATCTGACCAATAAATCAATCAAAACATTATTGATGACAGCAGGTTTGACATTAAAAATATCCTCCCAGACATCATAAAACTCCTCTCTTCCCCTCTATTTTTTTATACAAGCACGTTGCACTACAGTAATAAGCAAACAACCAACAACGAGGTTCAAGGAGTATTATTGTAAAACCAACTAATTTGCAGAAGAATTGTAGATCCTACTGTCTGGAAAACTAAAACATTCAACCAATAAGTAGTACGTTTTACCTTTCCACTACGCCCTGATTGTGACCAACACCATGTACCCAGGTGGCTGTGGTTATTACCAATAGAGCGCACAACCGTCACAACTAATGAAGTCCCTGTGAAGAGGAAAAAAAGAAGCTACTGAACTCTAATGTGCTTCACAAATTAAATATAACTAATAGCATGATGCATTACGAAGATAGAAATCCAAAAACGAAATCAGAATCAATCATTCAGAAAAATAACAGAAAAAAGAAGCTAACTCTGCATCACTGAAAGTAAAATGAGAGATCTTTCAGTAACAGATAACAAAGTCATACCCCAAACATACAAATGAAACATTGCCTCCATATCTTCAACATCAGTTTTGTGTCTAACAACCGTACGGTGGAGTGTAAAAGCAATCGTGGTAGTCCATAAGAAAGACGCTACACAGAAGAAATGAGTGCTATAGCCGTGCGAGTAACAGAAAAATCCTCTCGATGGATCCCTGCGCACGAAAGCAACTTACTTTCTAATCACTTTGAACCCAAATCAGATAAAAACTGTTACATTATCTAAATGCACTTGTCTGGAGAGAGAAAATTGAGCTTACCCAACCATGCTGAAGAAGCTACAAAGCATATCCTGCATTCCAAAATAGCAAATAGCAATAACATTAAAGTTGGTTTTTCTTTTCTGCTTCTATTTTACTCAAAATTTAAGTTAAAAACTGGAGAACAACAAAGCCCTAAACCCTAAATTTTCCGAAAATTTATCCCGAATCCTTCAGGCTCAAGTCATCAAGGTAAATCCACTATATAAAGCTAAGAGCTTCACATTTTCTAGCGATTCTAAATCAAATTAAATGCTAATTTCTATATATTTTGTTTCAATTTTCGAGTTTTTACAAGTTTCCAGATATAGAACACGCCACGTCACCGGCAATTAGATTTAACAACGCAATCAATTCCTATTATTTTCAGCAAATTCTAGAGATAGAGATAGAGAGAGAGAGAGAGAGAGAAAGAAGTCGTACGGAGAGCGCGAGGTAGAAGACGAGCTTGAAGGAGAACTTGCGGAGCTCTTTGAAGAGGACGTAGCAGAGGACGATGAACCCCGACCCAACGAACGATAGGCTCGCCGCTCCGGCGTTTACTGCCGTCAAGACGTGGCGATCGTACGCCGTCAGACCTCCGGCGACTTGCCCCGTCGTCGCCATTTTCTTCACTCACTCTCTTCCGATCGCGCCAATACAGTGCCAAATACTCGCCCTCCCTCAGTCTCTGAATTTGTCGGTACAGAAACTTCAAGACGCTCCGTTTCGTGTTTTGACGGCAGAGGTCGCTTTATGGCTCCGCGTGCGTTCGAATCTTACAGGCGAAGGAGTTTGAGTTGTTTACATGTTTAATTACAATTTTAGATATGATTCATGTGGGCAAATGTGTCCATTTGAATTTTGTTGTGACCATTTTGGGCTGCTTTCATAAATTAAACCATATGCATATGAATTTGATCATTTATTTTTCTAATTGAAAAATGGATTAGTTGGTGGTTTCACCATGACAATCTAGTCTTTTAGGCACTGAAAAGACTTAGAGACATTTCAGCCTTTTTCTCGCCACCATCGTGTGATTCACCGGTGCCAAGATCAAACGTGCCATGTGAAATACGAGCGTGAAATTCGTCCCCAACCACTGTTGGATATTTATTTGACTGAATAGTACGATGTAATTGAGTTTATTTATCAAGTCATTATCATAAGCTATTGCAACTTATAGTTTAATGAGATTATGAGATTCCGCACAAACCTGTTTTGTATTTTTGGCGATTGTATTGTGTTTATGCTTGCGGTCTATTTAAGAGTGGTTTTATAAATGGCTAAAAGCGTTTTTATAAAACAAAAATGTTTATGAAATTGTCTAATAAAAAATGTTAAAGGTGGAAAGCGCTTTTCAATACTTTTAAGATGAGCATCGACGTGCTTGTACCGCAAACTCTTCTAAAAAAGCATGGTGTGGGTAAAAAGCTTCATGCATAACCACTTCCAGTGACTTTTGAGATTTGCTTTCAGGAAGTTAAGGATCTGTTTGTTTGGTAGTTTACTTGAATCTAACATTTTAAACTCAAAAATAATTTTCAAGTTTTAGGCCTTAAAAACTTGTTTGGTATAACTATTTTCAAAAACTGAACTCAAAACTAATTTAAAAATATAGTATATTCTCTAAAAACACAAAGAATCAGTTGTTAGAGTTTTTAAATTTAAACTCACTAATTTCTTTTCTCTTCCTCATCCCCTCACTCCAAATCTATATCTCTTTTTTCTTCTTTCTCTCTCCTCCTCTCTTTTTTTTTTAATCTTTTTCGTCTCTCCTCCAATTCGTTTTTTTCATTCTTTCAGTTCTTTCTCTCACTTCTCTTCCTCGATCATATCTCTTCTTTTTCTTTCCTCCAATCATATCTTGCTTTCTTTTCTCCAGTCATCTCTTACTTTATTTCCTCCTCTCTCCTCTTTCTCTCTTTTCTGTAACCCCTCTTTTTGGATCTCTTTGTCAAGTGTAAGTTGTAAGATTTAAAAATTTTAAATCACATACCAATCAAGTTTTTGAGTCTTAAAAAAAATTGTTTTCAAGAAATGTTCTTAAGAAATATTTTGAGAAATGATGAAAATTTTCGAATATGATACCAAACAGACCCTAAAGAATTTGTTTGGATGATTTTAAAATGATTACGTTTTTATGAAAAATGCTTTAGATTTCAAAAATACTTGAAGTGCTTCCTACAAAAAGTAATAATTGTGTACAAAAAGCACTTTTGAATTTGATCATTTATTTAAAACTGAAACGTTTATGATATTGTCCAACAAAAAAAGTGAAAGATGAAAAGCACTTTTGAATACTTTTTAGAGAAGCATCGATGTGCTTTTACCACAAACGCTTTTAACAAAAGCATGGTGTGGGTAAAAGGCTCCATGCATATAGCCACTTCTTATAACCTTGTTTGAGATTGCTTTCGGAAAGATTAAAAACACTTTCGAATTGCTTTTGACAGAAAACTAAGAGCACTTATATTTCGGAAAAATTGCCCATTAGATACTTCTCCATGAAAAACATTTTATTGTATCCAAAATCGCCTATTGAATTTTTCAAAAACATTTTAGTGAGTTCTTTTAAAATGCTTATAAGCAGAAATGTTTTCTACAAAAAAAAAAAAAAAAAAAAAAAAAAAGCATTTAAACGAGTCCAAAATTTCACCATTTTGGACTTCTGAAAGGGAATTTTAGACTTCTGAAAGGGAATAAACAACTCATCATGTGAAACTTTTTTCAAAGAAGTGTCATCTGCTTTTATCTCACATCAAGTGGAGGTAGTTAACCAATTCTTCAATTTAGTCCTCAAAGTATATTCTCTCCTGAAAGAAACCCCTAATAGTTTCTAACTAATTTTTTCACTGTTAACTTAATTATACACAAAATGAACATCCAGAAAAAGACATGCTCATTTAATTTATAATTTTATTATGGTGAATATTAAAAAATATTGAAGTTAGGCTCCTCTTTGGGAAGGATAGTTTTCAAGGTAGCTAGGGACTGGATTCTCTCTGCATTCCTTCTACCCGGATCTTCCAAATCCTTCAATTTTGGAGTTGGAGAGAGAGGTGTGGAAGAAAGAAGAAGATGAACAGGAGAAGATGAAGATGGAAGAAGATAAAATGTGAACAAAGAATTAATTCCCCGTAGTTGAATTTTTGGTTGAACAGACATAATTAAAAGATCCAAATGAAAGGGATTCGGAGAGGATACTATTCCCTAACAAGGAATCGGTGGGGCAGTTGTTGAAATTCCTGAGATTACTGTGAGGACGTAATTAGAAAAGGAGGGGTCTGCATTCTTCTCTTGTAAAATATTTTGGTTGGAACTTGGGGAGTCTGCCTTGATTAAGATATATGCGATTAAGTATTGGTCTATTCTTAATCAAGTGTTTCCTTTATTTTAATCCTGGATCATTAGTCGACATGATATCATTATTTTAGTTTGTGAACAAAAATGACATTTCTTCTTATAATGAATCACAGTTTGACATATGTACATAAACTTTTGTAACAATTTTAACGAGCGACTATAATACTTATTTATGTCAGTTTATGATTTGCAAGTCATGAAGAATGATACTCATAGCACGAAAGAAGCCAAACAATACTTACTTTGACATGAGTGCATAAACTTTTCATTTTATGTTTTCAATAAATCGTTTTAGTACATGTCGATTAATAATTTGTAAGTCATAAAGAATGACTCATTATAGATAAGAAGTCAAAAATGTTCATTTGACACGAGTATATAAACTTTAATTTTTTGTACCTTAACGGGTCACTTTAGTGTACATGTCAACTTATAAGTTGCAGGTCATGAAAAATATAGTTCCTTACCCGTAAAAAGCCAAACAATGTTCTTTGCAAAGTACAATATTACTTAAAAAACTTGAATTCCTTTCTTTTTCTCTCAATCAATGCAATTATCATTTTTTTGTTAAAATTTTTGCCTCATTTGTTTGAGCATTTTCAAATAAGATGTCAAAATTGCCACATAGACATGTGACGGTAAAAAATAGTAACACAAACTCTCTCCAACCAAGCCTTGAGTTTCTTATGTGGCATAAAGCCAATTGAAAGCAAAACCTTTTGTTGTCAAATTCATTTAATAAATTTTTAATAAATGTGAAGGAATATATAATAAATGTTGTTGTGTATTCCATCCATTTGATTGATTGTCTCAATAATTGGACCGCACAAAAAGATGAAAAAAATTATAGAATGCCATTATTATTTAACATATCGGGTGAGGCAAAATATTTACAAAATGTCAAATTGATAGATAAGAATATCTTCAAAAGAGATGTCAAATTTTAAACATAAAATTTAAATGTGAATGCTTATGTGGCACTTTGATTTTTTTTTTTTTTAAATTTTGTTATCCACCCAATATATCATTTTAACTATTATTTATTGCATTATTTAATTTTTACAATTGTAATAAGTCTTTCTAGAACAAAAAATAACAATAAAAATGGTAAAAAATATTTATTAATCACTAAAAGTAGATTTGGAGTTTCTGTCAAATTTGACAGCAACCATCTCTGATGTCAATCCAAGTCATGTCACGTAGGAATTGGCATTTCGGTATCTAAACTAGGCAGGATAACTTGGCTAACTTTCCTACTCTGATAGCATCTCTGAACGGCAGGTACTAAAGCTGCTTTTTTATTGTTATTGCTGATACAGACTTTTTGACTTCTCCTTTGGAGATTCTCTAAGCCATCAAATATCGTTTTGATGTTTTAAATTTGACATCTCCTTTGGAGATGTTGTTACAATGCTTTTGATGCTACTATTACTATCCTCATCATTTGGTGCTACATAAACAAATGGCCTAACTAACTCCTCATTGAAGTCCTGAAGACCCTCCAATATCACAACCACATCACTCATCCTAGGCCTTTGCTTTGGATTGTGGCTCAAGCAACTGTAAGCCAATGCAGCCGCCTTTCGAGCCCCTCGGGTCGAGTACTGTCCCTCCATCATCGGGTCTATAATCCGGTCGAGCTTTCTCGGGTCCTTCAACCGAGGTTTTGCCCACTCCACAAGGTTCTGTTCGCGTTTGGGACGGCTATTATCTATGCACCGTTTACCCGTCAAGAGCTCTAGTAGAACAACTCCAAAACTATAGACATCACTCTTGGTCGTCAGGCAACCTGTATTCAATTAAGTACTAAACTTGATTAGTTTATGACTAATGAGAGTCTAAACAATTAATTAAGTACCAAACTTGATTGGCTTACCAGTCATGATGTATTCAGGGTCTGCATACCCCCGTGTCCCTATTCTACGTGTTGTTATATGTGTGTCTTCTCCTTCTGGACCGTCCCTTGCTAACCCGAAATCTGAAAGTTTAGCTGTATGATCCTGGAATGGGGACAAATTAATTCAAATTCAATCTTACAACTATTTTGCAGTTTTTGAATGAGCCTCCTGAATGTTTGCATCCGATTACTCATGTTGATAGAGTCACGTTGGATTGTTGCTTAGTTGTTTTGGACCTTTCTCGACTTATGTAGCACGAAAAAAGAAGTGACAAAGATCACATATACATCAGAAAAATGTAAAGGAGTTCCGAAGGAACATACAGATTCCAGCAGAACGTTGGAAGTCTTGAAATCTCTGAATATGACAGGCTTATGATCTGCTTCATGGAGGAACGCAAGGCCCTTCGCCGCCCCAACGGCGATTTTCATTCTTTTCGACCATGACAGAGGAGTGGAATAACCTGCATTTTTATAGCACTTGTTGAACAAACTTTGCAGCTGATTAATGAACACAAGTTTTTCAAGAAAAAATGGAAAAACAACTCACTTCTGAAGAGTTGATTTTCTAAGCTTCCTCCTGCTATGTATTCATAAACTAGAAGCCTGTGCTCGTCTTCACAACAATATCCAATCAGCTTCACAAGATTTGGATGCCTCAGTTGCCCAAGAAATATAATCTCTGTCTACAAACAAAGAGAAAAAAAATCCAATGCCATTTAACTGAAGAAGGCCATTATGGTCATTTAAAATTCAAGCGTAGTGATTTTCATATTCTCAGTTTCTCCTTGATCAACACTCTCCTCCCCTTATTTTTTTCGTTATTTTCCTTCATTTTATTCAATCATACAATTAAAAAAAAAAAAAGAAAAAAGGGCGGAGAAGAAAATAAGAGTGCAAAAATCATTTCAGACACGAAATATATAAATGTGTAACAAGTAGGAAACAAACCAGCCATTCTTTGTGGCCTTGCAAACCATCCAAGTCCAACAGCTTGACAGCTACAGGCTGAGCCTTCAATCCAGGCCTAAGCTTGTCACCAACAAACCCTTTGAACACTGGTCCAAACCCACCTTCCCCGAGTAGACTACTCCGTGAAAAATTTCTTGTGACAATTCCAAGCTCCACGAGCGAAAACACGTGAAGGTTGAGGCCGATGAGGGGGTTGGAGAGATCGTCTGCGAAGAGAGTCGAGCTCGGATCATCGCTTACATCCGAGATGGAGAGTCTCGGCTGCAGCAAAGGGGTTTGCTTAAGAACTGGCTGCGGCAGGCGGCTCTCTGGATCTGCAGTGCTCTTGTAACAGCCTAGGATGATGCATTTCCATGTGAGGATTTTCGTTTTAGTCATATCTTGAGAAGAAAAAAAAATTTGGAAATTAATTAATTAATTTGTTGTATTGATGAGGAAGTTCTTATACGAATGTGAAGGCGGGTATTATATATACACCCACAAATATATATATGTATATGTATAAATCTAAGCATGCATATCCTTATATAAATAATTAGAATTTATACGGGGGATTATATATTCTATATGTAACAATTCTACCAAACCATGTGCTGCTTTGTAGTCTTTTAGGGACGGCTAATCACTTGCCTACCTCTTTGACTTGTACACCAGACTTCATTAGCAAAATAAGAAACAAGCTTTACAGACAACATCAGCCCCAACCAAGTTCCAGTTTTAAAAAGTCCTAATTTCCAAAATTCCGATAATAAACTGGCAATGTTTAGGGGTGTAGTCAACCTAAGATATTTAGGAAGATTTTAAAAGATTTTAAATGTAATAAATTTGATAGGATTTGGAAACTCATACAAACCATATATGGAGTTATATGTACGACTTTATATATATATATATATATATATATATATATATATATAAGGCTCTATGGAGTTATACTTTTGATACAAGCGATATCTAAGATCAGAGCGAATTCGAATGCATGGTGGTTTCACATCCACTCTAACCTAAAATCCATGGGATTATACTTATTTATTTTTATAGTTTAATTATCATGCCTTGTGGGGTAGGTCAGTTTGGCAGTGCTGAATTATTTAGGTTAATAAGGTGTTAGCACGTCAAGATCAGATAAGGATTGGCTTGCATGCAGGAATTTAAAAATGTCTCTGAGTACTTAATTACCTTCAAGCATGTCGAGATTGCTTAATTTACAGATTAATAATATGATGCATGTCATATACAAGTCTAATACGTTATACGTATATGTCTCGTAGTCAGTCAGAGTCAGAGTCATGCATGCGAATTGATGAAGCTGGTAAAAACTGGAAGGTGCCGAAGATGTCATAGTCAAAAGGGAGGGAAGGGGGTGAACAAATCAATCTACCTGCAACTATTAGCGTTCAAATTCATGGGAATTTTACCAAACTCCTCGCGCATGCTTTGAAAAATGACAGTTTAATTAGTTATGAGCATATTACGTTTGGGATATGCTTACGTGTAGGGAATGAATTTCTGAGGTATATATAATTCTTTTTTTGACATATCATTTGCGTTTTCTCACTCATAAATAACAAAAAAAAAAAAAAAGAATCTACATTATAATTAATTATCCCAAACCTAAATCATACAAATCAACATTTTTTTTTTTGTCGAAAAGATACAAATTTATTACAGCCAAATGGCAAGGTTTACATCTGCTACAAGAATATTAAATAAAAAATCCGGGCCAATCTCATCCCAAGGAAACTCATAGCCATGCTTGGTAGTAAATGAAGCCACCTCGTGAGCAGCAAAATTACATCAAAAAATTATTAAACTAGTTGCAAGAATGATAATAGATCTAAAAAAACGATGTTCTTAAACTTTTACAAATAATAAGAATACTAGAATCAGTCATGCATAATTCGATCCATGCAAACTTTATTACGAGATACTTAAAATTTTATTATCCGAAACTAATCACGCGCAAAATATTCATATAATAAGTTGACTCATGATCGCTCCACACAAAATTGAACGATTTGAATCGCGGTATAACTATAAGTTCCTTGCGTGCGATATCGGTTTTGATTTTCCCTTTAATTTGGTCAAAACCTTCCTTTGATCCCTCTCTCCTTGCTTTTTCCATCACCATATACGAATTCAAAGTTGTATTATGTGCCATATTACAGAAACCCAAATTCTTTCGCGACAGAATTAAGTCATGAGTGGGTTGTTGCCCTGTGTCAACCACATTTGGATCTTAGTTTGTCACACATTATATTATCAATTAAATGTCAGAAAAAATGAAAAATAAAACGACTTGTTCCTAACTATATAGTAAAGTACATGCAATGACGTCCCATGGTCTTATTTCCATCTGATATGATCCACCTTCTTCTCCTTGTACTTCTCTTCAGTCCAACGGTGGCTTGCCAATGCCAAGTGGCAAGACAAAGAAAAAAATTCTGATTTCTCTTTGTTTGATCACACTTGCCACGTGTCATCTTAGTACAATTAAGGATCAATCCATCTAGGCTGCAATTTAGTGTAAAAGAAACTAGAGTTGTTGGTTTGTGTGTGGTGGGCTAGCGAAATAAGTTAATGCAGATTGTTGGATTCAATTTATGCGACCTAGATAAGTTGTTCCTTAGGCTCCAAACACTCAGGTCCATAGCGGATCCAATTCCCAATAATACCCCTAACAGCGTTTCCAGCTGCTGCCACGTAGAAACCAGCCACTCATGATCCGTTAAATCCAAAAATTCGCTTAAAACTCATTCGGGCTCCAAATTTTTTTTATTTTTGTCAAACGATATATTTTGTTAGATTAGCCACCGACGGATATTGTCCTTGCATGACGTTATATGTTAGATTAGTCACCGATAGAGTTTGAACTCACTTCGTCATGCAATGCCACAATACCTTTCCACCACTGTGACAAATGGCCATTTGTTTTGTGCTCCAAATATTAATTTAAAAAATGCAACAGACTCGTAATGACCTTTACTTTCATCTCATGTGATTTCCAAATTATCATATAACCTCGAGGAACACTAAAGGGGAGGTGTTTGCTTAACCTCACAATGAGTTAGTAATAATGTGTTTCAAATTTGTCTTTTGCAATCATCGAACCTAAGACCTCTCACTTACAAGTCAAGATGAATACCACTAAATCATAGTACTAAGTGGCAACAACGCTTTTTAAGCACTATAAAATTTTTAGAATCTCATAAAATCACATGCGATTAAATAAAACGAAAACTAATAAAAAATACTTGAAAACTTTGAGTTTTAATCAAAATGACAAAAAGGTGTTGTAAGTGAATAGTACCAAGAGTGATTTTTTAAAGTAAAAATATAATTTTCGTTAAAAATGAACAGCACTGAAAATGTTTTGTTAAAACCTCTTTAAATAAAGCACCAACCCAATGAAATTGTTTTCCCATCGCACCACTAAAATTTCTGAAATTAGTGCAAAGAACTGCTCAAAATTTTGTTTGGCCCAATGGACTTATACCCACCCAACTATGGCCCACTTGTCCCTATCATTCAGTTAGCCCAATTTTATTTTTTGAGCAAACAAGTATTTGTTTTTGGAATATTATTGGCACTTCCGAAATGTTTCTTCTCAATTCGTTTTTGGTAATAAAAAATAAAGTAAAAATTGAGGGAGTACAAGATGAAAATTCGTAACAAAAAATTTAAAAAGTATAAGCAAATTGATGAAAACTGCAAACTGACCTCAGAAGTTCAAGTGTATATTTATTATAGCGTAGTTTTGATTCAACATGTCAGTGAAACTTGATACATAATAATTTTTAGTCTCCTTCAAACAAAAATGAGTTTTTATTCATAATGATTATTTTAATGATACTATCCTTCTCAATATTTAAATGAATTATGAATTGTACTCATTATGTGGATGAAATGAATAAAGAGTAAATTGTCGTTTGACCTCCTAAATTACTACCCTAGTTGAAGTTGGTCACCTGAACTATATTTTTGGTAAATTAACCCCTATGATCTATTTGAAATTAGCCAATTAACCCCTCATTGTTAGATTTTATGATATTCTAGTTTGCCATTAAATACAGGCATGTGACAAGCACATGATTCACTCTTAAGGGTAAAATCGTGTCAATATTTAACAACAAAGGTGATGAAATTTCATTGAATCTATGAGATCTTAGTTGGCTTATTCCAAATAGTTTAAGAGTTAATTTACCAAAAAAATAACTCAAAGCGTCAATGTTAATTTCAACAGAATATTCGATTAGGATGTCAAACAATAATTTATTTAGAAGAATAAACCAAGGGGAAGAGATCTCCTACAAATCTCTCCCACCAAATTCTAGGGATCCGGAGATCCGGACCCTTGAAATTTAATCTAACGGCTACAATTATTATAACTTTTAAAGAAGCCCCATGTTTGTAGCCGTTAGATCAAATTTCAAGAATTCGAATCTTCGAATCCCTAAGATTTGGTGAGAAAGATCTGGAGGGAATCTCTTCTCTAAACTAAGGTCTTTTGACACAAAAAGTTTCATCTCATCTATTCCAATCCATGATGGATAGGCTGGCAAATCATATGCTAAAATATAATTAATGTCACAAACCTTTTTAAGGATAAGGATGGGAGAAGCTACTAGCATCCCCTTATGACTCCATGACCCACCATTTTGGTGGCAACCGGCAATCTTGTCCCTAACTCCAAACCAAACTCCCAAAAATATACACCAAGAACGATCCATCTATTTTTTTTTATTTTTTACTTTTCCACTTTTAGTTTTCAAATATTATTAAAAATTAATTTATTTTTCAGTAATATGATTAAATAGGTGAGACTCGCTCGAATGTTATATTAGTACCTAACAAGAAGTTTGATAGAAAGCTAATAGAGCTACCAAATTGATTTGCAAAATCAATTTAAAAAGCTATAAATTCTATGTCACCTCATAATTTAATATTAATTTTCTTACCAACATCATAAAATTTTATAACAAAAATATTAGATGACAATTCATAAAGATTCGTCCCACTTTTACCAGAATTCCCTAAACATTTCTCATCTAAATATGTTATCGAGCTTAGTACGGCCCAGTCAACAGACCGTGTATTCTCCCAAGAAGATAATATACACTATTTTACATAAAATACAAAAATTAGAATCCAATTTTTTAATTACAAATATAAATAATAACCTAATATTTAATTTTTAATTGGGGCCTGCCTTTTCCAACTTTGACTGAAAAGTGTGAGAGGAGAGAAGGTGGAAGAATCATCCGAGAAGAAAAACAGAGCTTTGCAGCTTTCGGCGCTCTTTCTTTTTCTTTCTATTTTTTCCCTTTTTGTTTCCAGATTTGGCAAACACTTCGATAACCATTTCGCTTCCTCATAACTTTTCATACATTTATATACAATTCCCACAACATTCATTGGTTTCAAATTCCAATTTTCTGCTCTGTTTGTATTAAATTTTTTAATTTAAATACACACCCAAAAAACACCATTTATTGCCCACGTTTAGCACAATAGCACTTATACAAAAAGCAATTTCGATTCAGCTCAATCTGCTTCTGCTGCTGCTGCTTCAGTGCAAAACTCCACAGCCCAGAAACGAAAGGTGGTTTCTTTTTCATCGGGTTAGCTCACTGAAAGCTCCTTACTTTCTGTGTTGTATTGTTCTTCTGTTGCTCTTTGCTTTTTTGGGATTTTTTTTCTTCTGGGAGAACAGATCTCTGCGTTTGATCTTGCTTGAATGGATTAAGATGTTAGTTTGATTGAATACGATTTTGGGTTGTTTTTGGATTTAGTTTTCTTTGATGGGTTGCTTTCAAAATCTTTCCTTTTTGTGGAATGTCAATTATTTTAGTTGGTGGTCAATTTTTGATTTATTTAATTTGTTTGGTGTCCAGCTAAATTGTTAGGAAAACAATATATAGTTGTCAATTTATAGGTAGACCAAAAGCAAATTTGTAGTTAATATATGCTAACTAATTATCTTTGCCTAACTTGGGCCTTGGCTGATGGGTTTATTCTTAATTTCGTATTGATGGTGGCATTGTATCTTAATTGTTATATTTTGTTTTTTGTTTTTTTTGTTTTTTTTTTGGGATTTCTGCCCATGTTCTCTAGTGCCCCCTTGATTGTCGTTTAGGTTTGTGATTAGGTCCATTTGATATAAGTTTTTCGGAAGGGAGTTGAAGGTACATGGTACACGTCGTGCACTGTTTATGCTGTCTATTTTGATCGAAAATATGGGCATACTCTGCAGTAGAAGCAAACACTACAACGAAGCGGGCAGCGAAGAGAATGCTCAGGTGGATTATGCATGATAGAATACAAACTTTGTAATGCTTTTAAGAATGAGTTGCTGGAGAACTTTGCGTTTACAAATAGGCTCTAATTTATTGTCAATGCGTGCATTTCCAGACTGCAGAAATTGAAAGACGAATTGAACAAGAAACGAAGGCCGAAAAGCATATTCAGAAACTTCTCCTACTTGGTACATATCATTTAATGGATTTCTTGTTGACTTTTATGATTCACATGCTTAACAACCACGCACCTTCTAGTTTGAGTTTTGCACGGTTGCAAACTTGCATTTTTATGACCGAGGGTAGCATATAGTTGTGTTGTACTTTTTGTGAGGTGATGGTTTCCAATCTCAGGGAAGTAACTAATATAACTTTAGTATGTATTTCTGTTTGATGTTAAAGAGTTTGCACCTGGTGCATTTTCATGGTCATTTTGAGAATACAGCTTTAATTTTCTCATTAACCATGGTTTTCGCTTCCACAACTAATATGGTCAACCTATTTTTTTAAGGAGCTGGGGAATCCGGGAAGTCCACAATTTTTAAGCAGGTAAGACATTGTATACGCTTGTTTATTTAAGTTTACTGTCCTTTATACAACAGCGTAAATATTTTTACTTTCGTTACACATGATCTATTTGCAGATAAAGCTTTTGTTTCAAACTGGATTTGATGAGTCCGAGCTCAAGAGCTACATCTCAGTCATCCACGCCAATGTATATCAGACCATAAAAGTACGCAATACTTGAAAGGGTGTGTTGGTTATTTCCCTTTCTGCATTATATAAGGAGTATTGGAGCCCACTCTTTATAGAAGAAAATATATCTTGTGGACTTGTATTGAGAGAAAAAGAATCTGAATGTAATGCTTCTATCTAACGTATGCATATTATGGTTGAATAGGTACTGTATGATGGGTCAAAGGAGCTTGCTCAGAACGACAGAGAAACGTTTGAAATATCCAGAGAACATAAGGTTCGAGCTCATCCTTTGATTGTCTATTACATTGCCTTTTCTCATGTTGTCTTTTAATTTAGCAAACAAGTTGACGGATTTTGATCTAATAACATATGATTTATACTTAAAAATTAATGCACAAGTTTCTTTTATTTAAAAAATTTGGCTTTTTCAGTCCGTTGCTCGAGTCTTATTAAATTTTGGATTCGTTATTAGGAAATTGGAGAGAAACTATCAACAATTGGCAGCAGATTGGATTATCCACGTCTCACTAAAGAGCTTGCACAGGATATAGAGACTCTTTGGAAAGAAGCGGCAATTCAGGTAGCTGTTACTTCGTGCAGCTGACTGACATATACCATTTGTTTGACATCAATCCTAGTGTTGAAATCCAGATATTTTTTACTTCTGCTTTTGCCTTTTGTCCAATGCTCTAAGTGAAGCACTCCCACTCTACAATTGTAGGAAACATGTGCTCGTGGTAATGAACTCCAAGTTCCTGATTGTGCCCACTATTTCATGGAGAATCTTCAAAGATTAGCTGACCCAGATTATGTTCCAACCAAGGTACCTAAAGTTCACAATTGTGACTCATTGTTCGAATTGAATGAAGCACTATAATATTTTATATGTGTATCGGTTTGTAGCTAAGGCATGACAAGAACTTCTTGCACTAATGTGGAAAAGTTACGAATTTATAGCTCAAAAGTGGCATGTTTTCGTATTGCAGGAGGATGTTCTTCATGCTAGAGTTCGTACAACTGGTGTTGTAGAGATCCAGTTCAGGTAATTATTCTGTTTTTTTATTTCTTAAAGACTTGTCACGACTTTTTCTTGGAACTCCGACATTCTGTTTATAGTTGTACTGTTATCCTGACCGTGCCAATTATCAGTTCTAAATCAGCTGATTCTTGAATTTGTAGAAATTCAACCTAGGGATGCCAATATGATTTAATTTAGTTCAAGATTTTCTAGTAACCCGTGCACATTTTAAAAGGATGCATTTCTTTTCAACAAATTTCTATTTTGTGCAACTCATTTATAGAACCGTTGAAGTTTCTAACAAACAACTCATTGATGACTATGATTTGCAGCCCTGTTGGAGAAAATAAGAAAAGCGGTGAAGTATATCGACTCTTTGATGTTGGAGGCCAGAGAAATGAGAGAAGGAAATGGATCCATCTATTTGAAGGCGTTACAGCTGTAATATTTTGTGCCGCAGTTAGCGAGTAAGATCATCCTTACTTTCAGTCACTGACTTTATCATCATAGGCATGCAGTGTGGTAGTGATGATCCTGGTCTTTGACTAGTCACCGATCATTTTTTTAAAGATACCTCTGCCGATATGAAGTATTTTTTTATTGACGATTGTGTTTCAGGTATGATCAAACACTCTTCGAGGATGAAAGCAAAAATCGAATGATGGAGACAAAGGAACTTTTTGAGTGGGTCCTGAAGCAACCGTGCTTTGAGGTTTTCTTTTCTTCTATTTTCTTGCAAGTTTGTGTCGCGTGTGTGGTTTGCCGGTTGCACAGATTTCTTCTTCTAACCCGGGTGGGCTCTTTAACATTTTATCTTCTCTTTCTTTTTTTTTTATTTGGATGCAGAAAACGTCGTTCATGCTATTCTTAAACAAGTTCGATATATTCGAGAAGAAAGTTCTAAACGTAAGAGTTAATAAATCAGTGTACGGTTTTTCATTCATGGCAACAAACTAACATCCTGTATGGGCTATTGAAATTTCCTTGTGTAGGTACAACTTAACGTCTGCGAGTGGTTCAAAGATTACCAGCCGGTGTCAACAGGAAAGCAAGAGATTGAACATGCGTATGAGTAAGCATATAATTTACATCTTTGTTGTGGTCCTTTGCTTTGGATGAAAGGAAAATTACTAAATCGTGCGCGTGCACGTATTTAGCTTTAACGAGCCCCTGAAAACTCTGCCAACCTGTCTTTTTGTCCAAATTGTTGCCAAAAGGCCTTTAGCTGTCTGAAAGCTTCACCACCATTTCCAATCCTTTTCACAATAAAAACACTGTCGTTGAAGCATCCAATACAGGGACAAACCTACTCGATTATTTGTGGCCGAACCCCGGACCTACTTCATCGTCTTGTCCTAAACCTCCAATATCCGTCTTCACCTTTTTGCATAGATTAGTTACCATAGTAAATCTACGATGAACGAGAAAGCTAAACATTGTAAATGTTTGCATTCAGGTTTGTGAAGAAGAAATTCGAGGAACTGTACTTCCAGAGCACGGCCCCTGACCGCGTAGACAGGGTGTTTAAGATCTACAGAACCACTGCCCTTGATCAGAAGCTTGTGAAGAAGACTTTCAAGCTCGTAGACGAGACGTTGAGACGGAGAAATCTCTTCGAGGCCGGATTATTGTGACCGGGAACACCAAGTTGTATTTTGAAGAACACATTCTCAGCACACTCAGCAGATTCCTTGATTGTTAGCATTTTATATTTTTAATTAAAATCCTGTTCCACTTAAACGAGTGTCATGACAGATGTAATAACATATAAAAATGATTGTTGCAAAGGACCTATAGGTAAGTTGGTTACAATGGCGTAGCCAGAAATTATTCGGTGGGTGGGCTAAGCTGAAATTATTATTACGAAATCAAGTTTTTAATCTTATGTTGCCCACATAAAGTTATATAATAGTAAAAACTTGAATGTAGTAATTTGACGCAAGAATTTTATGCTATGTTTTTTAGGTTTCTAGCTTTCAAAGCTTTCAAGTGAATAAAATAAGGAATCATTTGTGATATGGAAGTTTTAATTTATTATTATTAAATATAATATTGGTTTGATGAGTTTATTTAACATTTATTAGTTCTTATTATTCTTAAAAATATGCTTACTAATAAAAAAATTTCATTTCTTATGTGAAATATGACAATTAAAAATCATAAACTAACCTAAAAATTAATATTTTTAGGCTTGAAGAACCAAATTCTCCCTATGCTATAGCCTAGGAGAGCCTTGTACTTGGCTCCGCCCTTGGTTGGTTACAAGAATTCATCTTTACGCTTGAGGTTTCGATTCGATTCTCCCCGCCCCAAATCCCGATATCGCTTGTGTCGGGAAAAGGAAAAACACGTTTTTAGCTTTTTACTTCTCACAAAGTTTCACTTCCGTCCCTGTAGTGTTCAAGATCAGTATAATTGGTTCTTGCTTATTTTCTCAAATTGTTTTATTAGCAGGACACTAGCAGATTACAGTGCCTAATTAATTGGTTAATGACCTAATAAGTTGGTTAATGATCCAGTTAGTAGGTCCATTTCATTTTATAATAAAGTAAAAACAAACAAAAGCAGGTCGGTCGTGTCATATGTCGTACTTGTCAAAGATCATATGATTCTTCCGGACTTTAGCACACTGTTGGCAGATTCCGACCAAATAATTCCAACCGATAGTTTGGTCAAAGAACAGAAAAAAGAAACCCACCAATAAAGCATGCCAAGTGTTTTCTTACCAATAAAGTTTCTTCTTCGTGCGCAAACACGTTTTCGAGGAAAATATTTTTCGCACTTTTTTTTTTTTGTTTATTTAATGTTATATTTTTTTGTTTAGATGTTAGATTGGAGAAATTTTTTATTGTGACAAAAATACGGGTGATACATCATTTGTTTTTATATAAGTGATGAGAAATTTTATTTTTTAAGTTATTAACATTTTAACATACATGTCCCACCATTTGTATAATAACACTTGGTGTATCACATCGTGTGCCGATTATATTGAAAAATCTCTTGTTAGAATGAATAAATTAATAAATGGTTCAAGAGAAGAGATGAAATGGAGCAAATAAAAGCACGAATATCATTTCTCGTACATGAAATCATCAAACTTAGATGTTTCGTATTTGAACAATCTTTCTTCATTACTCGTATCCATGTTCTTTAAAAACCCTAATCGATAAAAAAACACGCGAGAAATGCACTTTAAATGCACGTAGAATAAAATAGTTCGGTATCTAAGGAACAAAACAATTTTGCCGAAACGTTAGCTTCAAATGCACGATGAGAATTTTCAACAACACATGTCATTGCCATGTATTTATGGAAAAATTTAAAACATGAAAAGCTTGAGTTTAGCACCCCTCGCGTGCTTATGTTGTAGGGTTTTATTACTTTTCCCATCCGTGCGCCTTTTTTTCCCCAAAAAGGAGTTTTGAAGATATTTTATATTACCCAGAAGTCCAAACCAAAATTATATACACTTATTATTTATTTGCACCATCTTTCCAATATATTATTGTAAGATCCACCGACACATGTATGTCTTATCTCTATTAGAAAGATATAATTAGATAGTAAGAATATCATTTTTCAAAACTCCCCAAGTTCCATGCATTTGTTCCAATTTCTTGGGAGGTACTTTTATTTAATGGTTCCATTTTTGTTCACCACCTTCAAATAAATACACAGTTTAAATTTTGAGATTTATGTTTATTCACTAAACAGGTCTTGAAATTTAAACTCTTCTAATAATGATAAATATGATGGTAAACATACCATCACTTGGGAGTATTGAGCAAAAATGAGAAACGCTAAGGAGACTTCCTCAAAAGTATGACTCTTCATGAATTCCCTGCAACTCATGTTTTTGGCATAATGTTATATAACGTTATCACGAGAATTGATGTTAAACTCTGAGATGAGAGTGATGCTCCAGGGAGTCCACGTTAAATGTTACTTTTCAATAAAAATAATAAATCAAAGTTCGATGAAAGCATACGTAACATATAATTAGCATACGCCGTAATTTATGGCAGTTAGCACATATGCTCCTTAAATGTAAAAGGCAATCGCAACCGACCACGTCTGCCAACTGGATTTGAACACACGTGTTCGAAAAGGACAGAAGGTTGAAGACAACTTTGACGGCTAACACCCAAGGACATAATCGTCATTTCGCTAGCCGAATTCTTATTTGTTCACAGAAAACTTTCGTGGCCAAAGCATATATTCCTTTCTCTCTCCGCTTTATTCCCGAATTTTAAAATTACAGAAGAAACCCAACTTTTTGCATGCAGAAGAAGCACCGAAGATCAAACGGAACAAAAGCCCAATTGATCTTTCGCCCCAGAAGCTCGATTGCTGCAATCCCAGGTTCTTAATCTTGTGATATTTCATTTCTTTTATCTGGGTGCTTTTTGTTTTCTGTTTGGTTCTTGAGAAAATGAGGAAATGCGCAAACGCAGAAAACTTGAAGGCCAAAAGCGAATGACAAAGAAAAGTGCTTTTCCCAAATCCATTTGCATGCATTTTCTCGCTTTCCCATTTCTCTTTTCCAATTTTCTGTGATTCTTTCCAAGAACAACTAATTCGCTTTTGATTAAAGGTGTGAACTTGCTTTTTCATTAATTTGTCAGAATTTGTCAAATTGTTCTGATGGAATGTTGAAACTTGAAATTGATGGTTAGGGATTTGGGTTTTGGATTATGAATTGCATCCGCTAATATCAAATTATTTGCTTTAATTATGTCATTGGAATTGATTGAAAAGTTTATATGAATTGATCCCAGAAGCAATGTTTCTAAACTGCACTGTTACATTTCTTGTTAATGTTGTTATGCATGAATTTTCTTGTTCATTTTCTGAACTTCCATGTGAATTTCTGCAGGTGTATATCGTATCGTATCCATCTTGATTTATATCTTAAACTCAATTTTGTGTTGAGGAAGTTTTAAGAGCCAATTAGGGTAGGATCTTAGGACATAACAAAACATGAGGATTAAGCGGTTCGGGTTCATGGATTTCGATGAAGGGTCTCCATACAATTCACATTTTAGTTCATTGGCGGACAATTCATTGCACCAGTGTAGATACTTTCATGTTCCCGGAAGTTTAGCTCTTGAAGGAGCATTTAACCACGTTTCAAAACTTGCTGGTTCTTTACTATTCTTCTTCTCTAGTGGACCCAATACAAATGCTACTAGAGAGATAGAGCGTAATATGCATGATTCTGAACCTGGAAGCTCCACTTCTTCGCCACAAGTTAAACATTTTACTTCTGGTCGACATAATCTTAAAGGATTTCACTTTGGATTTGCATTGAGAGGAGAATCTGCTAATGCAGTTGTTTTTGGAAAGATTTCGGCTTTTGTGATGCAATTCCTGCACAGAGAAGGTGAAAAGCTGCATTCACATCCCATGCTCTCGTTAGCTGCTGGACTTGTACCTCCTTTCGGCAGCTTGTAAGTTCTTAAGCCTATACCAGGGAGTAGATTTGAAGTGTAAATTTCCCATGGGTTCTGCTTTTGATGTTGACTACAAACCGTTTTCGTTGTTAATTACCACCAGATCATCAAATGTACTAGCTGTTCCATTGGAGAATACGGATGTCATGGACCAAAAGCCTTGTGAGGTTGAGCATCACAGATGTGCAGGATTACCATTTCCCGACTTGGACTGGAGAAAACAAGCAGTGGAACCTAAAACCGGCACTGAGTTTCCTATGATTTTGGACAATGTTTTAACAGGAGAGAGTAATTCCAGTTTAAGTTCAGAGGTTGGGGCTTGTCCTTTTGTTCTTCTTTAGTGCAAGGCTGCCAGGTTTGTGTTCAGATCCTCTCAGTTACGTGATTTAATATCGACATTGTGTACTGTTGCAGGTCCTTGTGGGAACTGGATCCAAAACAATGACGATAATCAAAATAAAATCTCTGAAGATATACGCATTTGGGTTTTGTAAGTTATTAGTATTTGTATGTTACTTCCAGTATGCAACTTTTTGCATCCATTGTGTTAACTCTTTTATTTATTTATCTATTCTTTCTATGTAGATGTCCATCCTCACTCGGTTTGCAAGCAATTGGGGGCAAAATATGCATCCATTTCAGTTGATGAACTAAACAAACGCCATGATTTCTATGAGGATCTTCTCAGGTAATGACAACTATCACGATCCATGCTACATGGTGTAATTTTCTCTATTTTTCTTGTCCATTTTTTTCTGGTAAATGAAGATCGATTAAATCAGCAGATACTAAATACTTCACATTTTTTATTATTTATTTATTGCCCGCTGCTTAGTTTCCAGTATTTGATCAGATTTCTACTACTCATTGCATTTTTCTTTTTCCCTACAGAGCGGATATTGATATGACAGTTAGGCTTGTGGTTAATTGCAACGGGATCAAAATCGATACTGTGAGAGAGTAAGTTACATTTCTGTTCTGTACATCCTTGGATATTTATTTGGGTTTTGGATGTCCCTATTTTAATTGAGATGAGACACAATCTTGAGGCTTTCATTAGGATTACGGTTCTTAAACACTCATAATCCCTGTCTCTGATGTCATCATTGTTAGTATACCATATAGGTTCGCTCCATATTTCGTAGTGGCTTGGATAGGCCTTGAAACGGGTGGTGTGTTTGTGAGAAAGTGGTTTTGCAAGTTACTTTGCCATGTTACGTAAGCTTAGCTTCTGCTAAGTTAGCCTTGTTCCTTCCTCGCTATGTATCCTAGTATATACATGTTACAGCAATGTTGAAAATTGAAATTTGTTAATTCTCATTTATGTACTTCTGATTACATTTGATGCAGTGCCTTTGAGAAATCCCTTCGAGACCGATTAGTGAAGGTAAATCATCTCCCTTTCTAGAATCTTCTTTTTTAGAGTTTCTGATCTGTTATTTGCTAATTCTTGTCCTTTGGTTCTTTCAGACAAACCCAGAGACTGACTATCATTGCATAAGAACATTCGGTTCAAACTTTACACAAGATATTCCTTTGCCATTGGTAATACTATATTATTCTTGCATCCTTTCTTATACCACTTTGTTCACTGAATTACATTAACGGTCTCGAATATTTCAGGGAACAACAATCGATTTTCAACGCACGGCCAATGGAAACTTAATTACTAAAAGTGAGTGGTGATTGCTTAACCAAATGTCAATTTGAGCACAAAGTATACAGGCTTGACAAGACCCCAGAACCGTCCAACACTTCTTTTCACATTTCTATTTTACATTGTAATGCTTCAAATTTGCTGTTAAAATTTGTTGATTGCTTAGCATTTTGTATGAAATTTTGCAGTTGAAGGTAATCAGATTGGAGCAGTCCACAGCAAGGATCTATGCAGTAAGTGAATTTTCCTTCTGAACCATCCATTTTATTTCGATTCTCTCCTTGGTACATTTTTATATCTCATCAAGTCTCAATGAATATGGTGAAAAGAATCCAATCATATACTTTTCCGAGGATAGATTTCTGATGCACAAAGTTCTACTGTCAGGGGCCTTCTTTGACATGTACCTCGGAGATGTTCCCGTGTCAGAGCAAACAAAAGAAGAGATTGGCAGAAACGTCGCCAATATTATACGAAGTTGCTGAAATGTGTCTCCCTTGCCTATCTTTTTAAAGGGCAAGTGGTTGCCAATCCGGTGAAACTGCTGAGTGCTTAGCCGTATTTTTCGTTCACAGACATCAGCTCAACAGTGCCAGATGTTGAAGACGTTGATGTGGCTGGAAAGCATTACAAGGGCAATCAGTGACCTCGCCGGCTCCTAGGATAGCGATTATTTTCTTGCGAAATGCGCCATTCTTTATAGCTTAGCACACGTTAGATGACAGCCCCTAGAAAAAAAAATCATCAGCTTCAAATTGTAGCTACTGAAAGAACAAGTCCCATAAGAATAGTTTGGTTTCTTCTTAATGGTATATGCATATGTTTACTATATGCTACACAGTTTTTCATTTAACTTATTTCCTTCATCCCTACCCTAGTTGGTGGAAATGGGTCTTGTTTGGCTTTATTGTTTTATACCAGTATCAGTTGATCAACATGCAAAACGATATAAAAACAATAATGTAATTATACAGGAACTCGTACTAATGAACTGTTGTGTACCATCAAGCCCTATATTCATGTTGGTTTCAAATTGCGAGTCTTATTAAAATACCATGTGTGTTATTGATGAACACATATCCTACACTTGATCTTAGCAAAAAAGCCAAACAAGGTCTATGCCGGTTACTCAACGGGATAGCCATTTTAGAACAACTTTCCGCTCAATTTTTTCCTTAACGTTCCAATTAATGATACAAACTCATGAATTTTTAATCAACTAGGCATGGAGATCCGAAATTATGACCACTATACCTATAACTAGTTAGAGTGAAACGGCTCTTTGACTCATTTGAACCGTCTCTATCGAAATTTTGCCGTCCATCATGTTACATGCTTCCCATGGGCTATAAATTGTCCTATAAACATACTTTTTAGTCAAATTTGAAAGCTTGCCGTCCATAATATGGAAGCAATAAACATGTGACCTGTTACACCTTTTTACTAGGACTTGAATTCATATCTTCATGTCAAAAACTCAAAATACAAGGCATCGGGGAGATACCACTAAGCTATTAGGTCATTGGCCTTCCCTAAACCAATGAAGTTCTCACACACTTTTTCTTGTTAGAGTTGGGTCAGTTGATTAAAACAATATTTTTGTTCATTTATGTCAGAGTCCGAACTCCCTTATCATCTGATTCCAAATTAGATAAGCTTATGATAAGGAGAATTAAATCTCCCAAAAATTAAGAAAACTTCAGCAGATAGGATGATGAGTTTCTACTCATGCACTCGGGTTTGAAACTCCTCTCCTCTAAATTTTTGTAATAGTTTTGAACTCTCCCGTCCCCTTACTATTTTGGACCCTCTAATGCTAGCAAAAAAAAGTAAAAACCAACCAAACCAAGTAAACATCTACGATATATTCAAGTATAGTAAAACCTTAAATTAAAAATGTTTGGTTCCAACCCCACAATTTTCCTCTTCCACCCAAAATCCCACGACCATACACAAAATTAGCTTATCTTCTCTAAACCTGGCTCAATTCTCAATTTTCCCGCCATCACAAACCAAAACTGGTTAACAAGAGCCGCCAGTTAAATACCACGTCATAAAATTATCTATTTTCCCAAAACAAATTAACCACCAACCAGAAAAACACAACCAATCACTTTGATCTTCTTCCCCCTTAATTTAGTTTGACTATTAAAGTATGCACCATTTGTGGGCTTCTTCACCCCATCCCTTCTTTTTTCAGCTTTCTCAATTGTAAAGTTGGGTTTCTTTTCTTTTCAAAAGTGTTTTGGCATCTGAGTTTTCGAAAATTATATGGAAATGTTTGTTAGAAGAAGAGGCGTCGTCGCCGCCGTTGTGGCATGCCTTGCTATCTCCCAAGGACTTTTTCTTAGTGTTCATGGCACTGGTTTCAATTATAAGGACGCCCTCACCAAGTCCATTATTTTCCTTGAGGCTCAAAGATCAGGGAAACTCCCTCCCAATCATAGACCTGCATGGAGAGGCGACTCCGCCCTCGATGACGGCAAAGAAGCAAATGTTCGTCTCTCTAACTCTCTCTCTCTCTCTCTCTCTCTCACTCTTCCTTTGAGTAATGATTACGTTTTGTATCTTACCGTCGCATGAACGTTCGTGAGCAAGTCATGTATGAGGGTCAGATACAAATAATTTCTCTAACTTTTGTTTAAATTTTTGTAATTTGAATGTTTTCTTTTAATGCAGGTCGACCTTGCTGGAGGATACTATGATGCCGGGGACAACGTCAAGTACGGTCTTCCGATGGCATTCACCGTCACAACTCTGTCGTGGGCTGCCATGTTTTACAGGCAACAGCTCCAAGCTACTGGAGAACTGGAAAACGTTCTTGCCGGCATCAAATGGGGCACTGATTATTTTCTCAAAGCCACCAGCAAAAACAGATTATACGTTCAGGTATAGGAATTAATTAAGTTGGTATTCATTATTTTTAAAACTATAAAGTAATTAGTGCTAGTTATTTATCAAATTCTTAAAGGTTGGAGACCCAAATAAAGACCATGAATGTTGGACTAGACCTGAAGATATGCAAACACCAAGAACTGTGTTGAAGATTGATGATAAAACACCTGGAACTGAAATTGCAGCTGAAACTTCAGCCGCCATGGCTGCCTCTGCAGTTGTGTTCAGAAAAATAGATCGTGCCTATGCTCGTAGGCTACTCAACAAAGCCAAACTCGTATGTTATTATTATTATTTTTTATTTTATTTATTTTTAATTTTTTTCAAGCGTAACATATGCACAAATAAAACTGATTACAGAATTTTCAACTGTTGATGTACTAATCAGTGTGTACATATATCAAATTCTTCTAATCATTGTTTTTCTTTGTAGCTCTTTCAAATGGCTAAGGCCCATAAGGGAACTTACGATGGAGAGTGCCCTTTCTACTGCTCTTACTCTGGCTATAATGTAATTTTCTTCAACTCTATCCCTCTGAAATTCAATTCTAGTTCAAATTATTGAATGTATTTTCTGGTACTAAAAGAAAATTGAATTGCTGGAAAATGTAGGATGAGCTATTGTGGGCAGCAACATGGTTGTACATTGCCACAAAGAGGCCCGTGTATCTCAAGTACATTCAAGAAGAAGCCATCAGCGCCACCGTGTCTGAGTTCAGCTGGGACCTTAAATACGCCGGAGCACAAGTCCTCCTCGCCAAGGTAATTATCTACAAATAAATTCGTACCATCTCAACTTATCATTCGTCGTACCGCATGGAAAGTTCTTGTGTTTGACAATCAAACCAGATGAATTGTCTAACCCTTGTACAAAGAAAGGGGCATTTCTGGATTTAGATACCACTGGGCCCTACGTAGGTACAAATTAACTCAAATGCAAAGGTTCCACTCCTTTGTGATAAATGAGTTAGATAGGCTACATGATCCGATTGTCAAATTATCCACCCGGTCTTACTGTCTACACAAGACTTCTTCGCAAAACGTTGACACATTTCATTATCAGCCATGATAGTAAGAGTAACAATATTAGCTAATTGAACTAATTTGATTGTCTTATTTTGTGAATTATTTGCAGCTGTTCTTTGATGGTGAAAAATCCCTAGAAAACTACAAAAACGGAGCTGACAGTTACATTTGCTCAAACATCCCCGACAGCCCTTACCACCAAATCACAATGACACCGGGCGGTATGGTCCACTTGAGAGACGGAGCCAACACCCAATACGTCACCGGAACAGCCCACTTATTCGCCGTCTACAGCGACATCCTCGCCCAATACAACCAAAAAGTCAACTGCGGAGGCAAAGAGTTCGACTCCGCCGCCCTCATGGCCTTTGCCAAGAAGCAAATGGACTACTTGTTGGGAGATAATCCCAAAAAGAGATCCTACATGGTCGGGTTTGGACCCAACGCGCCCCAACAACCCCACCACAGAGGAGCTTCGGTTCCGAAGGCGGAAAACGGCCTCGTTAACTGCGCCATGAGCTTCGTGTACTGGTTCAAGAAGGATGTGCCAAACCCTAATGAGTTGACTGGTGCCATCGTCGGTGGGCCCGATAGGTTTGATAACTTCGAGGACAAACGTTGGGCGTCGTCGTATACCGAGCCATGCACTTACGTGAACTCGCTCGCGGTCGGACCGCTGGCGAAGCTTGCGGCCTAAGAAAAGATCCATGCACGGCCGGTGATCTGTTGTCCAAAACCCTAACCCTAATCCCATTACCATTCTATATACAATTTTACCTAGAGAAAGTGGTTTTGGGATTTAGATGCAAACTTTTGGAAACAAAATGTACCTCTGTTGAGGGAAAGCTGTAGAAAGAAGGGTGTAAAATGGTGATATAAAATAGTTAATGAACTGTTTTCCTTTTGTTCTTTTCCTTCAAAAAATGTTAACTTTATTTTATTTCTTACAAGGGAATTTAAACTATCATGATGGTAAGATCATCTTCAACCGAGGGCTGGCCAGAGGGCTCGTTTTAGCCCTCTGGTCTTTCAAGATATTAATATTTTAATGAACAATATATGGTCATATTTGCCTCCGTCTCCAATCGAGGGCCAGATGGCTCGTTTTAGCCCTGTCACAAAAAACCATCTCCAACCGAGGACCATAGGACCAAACATAATTTATTATTTAAATTTAAAAACTACAACAGCTTAAATTTAAAAACAACAACTTAAATTTAAAAACTACAACTAAAATTTAAAAACGACAAATTAAATTTAAAAACTTCAAATTAAATTCAAAAACAACATTAACGTAAATTTAAAAACTACAACTTAAATTTAATATACATAATCAACATCATCTTCATCATCTACCATCGTAGGAGTATAGTCAGAGGTAAACAACTGCCGTTGGCTCATAATTTCTTTTTTTTTTCCTATCAAAATAGGTCTTACTCATTGGAGTGTAATTCGAAGTGTTCCTTTCCATATTCTTATCATCCATCTCTTCTTGTATTTGTTTGGCTCGTTCTTCATGCCTACACATCATTTCTTCCGCCTCAAGGGCATTTTGCTCCGCCAATAATCGCAATGAGGCCGCCACTTCATGTTGAGCGGCGTAATCATCATTTGCCTTGCCCTTTTCCTTCAACCTTTGCACCTTGTTTCGTCCCATAGCCCTAGGTATGGAACTTTCACCAGAAGATGGATTTTCTACCCTTGTTTGTTGAATGGTTGGAGATCCATCTTCATCCATATCTGCAACTGAGGATGCAGCTCTGAACACTGACGTAGGAGCTCTCTGTGGTGGATCTTCAAATAACACCCACCCTTTACAAATTTCCCAACAACTTCCATATACAATTCCTCCACTTGGCGTACCTAGAAAAAAATTAAAGGAAATTAATATATGAAATTAAATGTAATATAATTAAATATTTAAAATAAATTGTGAAAACATTTACTTCGTCGTAGTAATTAGCGCCGCTTTCATGTCTACTTGCGGCTGCTAACAATGCTTGATGCCATTTGTTCCAACTTGGCTGAAGATGTTTCTTCCATCTTGAAGAACGACTCTTGTGGTTTCGAATATTCACTGGAGTGGTGCCTTCATAGAACTCTAACTATTTTTTGGACACATGAGTCCAAACACAGTTATTTGTTTGACAATTTCCCCTCACACTATCTTCCGACACCCATCTATAAGCCTTGTAAAGAGCTTCATCTTCTTTTCGAGTCTAAGCCCTACCTTGCATTGCAGACGAAGCCATTTCAAAATTATTAAAAAAATTGAAGGATAGATTTTTGAAACAGGAAGGAAAATATGAGAATTGAAATGGTGAAAATTTTGTGAGGAATGGTTTAGGTATTTATAGGAAAAAAAAATAGAATTTTTTTTTTAAAAAAAAAAAGGGTCAAAAAACCTAAAAAAAAAAATTTGAATCCAACGGTAACTGGCGCCAGCTAGTAACGGCTAGCTAACGTCAGCTAATCGTTGGATTCAAAATAACCGACAAGAATACATTTATATTAAATACAATAAATGTATAATCGACAGGATTAATCAATTTTCTGGCCAGCCCTCCAACCCTTTCAAATTCCGTAGGGCCCTCTCAGATTCCACGAGCCCTCTGGCTTAGTCCTCGGTTGGAGATGATTTTCGAGCTATTTTCGACCCTCTGGACCCTTCGATTAGAGATGGCCTAAGGGGTTTGAACTTAAAAAGAGTAAAGAGACGAGCACATTAATCTAATTAACTAGTCTAACTTGAATATGTATATCTGTATTTTTAAGGTAATAAAAATTTTACTAATCAAATAAACCGAGGAATATTATCCTTCATGAATACAATTTTATGATTACAAACACAATAAAAAGGAAATATAAAATGTACCCCACATAACCACATTTAACAAACGGAGAGATAACTTACGCTCATTAGAACCAAACTTTGTGTCAATTTCTGATGAACTTGCAAAACACAACACTTTTCCGACAAAGAAGCTCTACTATGAGACATCACAAAAATGCCCACATGGTCTTTTTTGAAGGCAAACAAACGACGAAACCAACACTTAACCAGCAAAAAAAAAAAAAAAAAAAAAAGAAGCTAATTAACTAGCATTATTCCGTCTCTAGTTATAACTTTCTCTTTCTTCGAATTGTTGCATTGTTTATATGTACTCGTGTAAAATATGCTAAGCTTAAACATTTGATCATTAATGAATGATGAAAGGAAGAAATATGTAGGCTTCCTATATATTCAAACAAATATTGATATTGCATTGGATTGATTAATTGGCTTATTGTATCTTTTTTGTTATTTTATTATTGGATAAGTGGAGAGTAGAACTTGAGACATATTTTGAACATCAGAAAGAAAAGTACCACTCTATTAGAAGTTAATTAATTAGTTGGTTCTATTAATTAAGGTGTTTTGGTGACAAAGTTGTTACAGTCAATGTGTCTTTTAGAGAGCATAATCAAAATGGTGTCGAACAAGTTGGTGTAGTAGTCGAGTCTCTATAACGACAAGCTCATCTCACAACTGTGAAGTAATATGACATGCCCAATTGGGTTAAAACCCAATTTGTTTTTCTTTCTTCTTTCTTCTCTTTGATCTCTATAAGATTTTAATTCTCCATAAGATCCCCTGTTGATTGATTGATTGATTAATCTCCATGATTCGCAAGGACCTCTACAAAAAGTATATCATATAGCTACCAACTACATAAACAAATCAATCCTTGCTTTTCCATCATTGTCTACAAGCATCGGCAAGATGCCACAACAAGGAATATCATCATTTCAACCAATGCCCTTCCCTACAAGAAAAAATAAAACTTAAATCCATTTTAATTTCTGATAATTTTGCGTTCACCCCTCATCTTGCACTTTTATTTATAATAATCATGATGAATTTTTTTGCCTTATAAATAATACAGATCTATGAAGATTTGATCTCCCAATTCTATTTCGAATTCTATCTTAGTTTTACTGTGACATCCCACATCACCCAGGGGGTGATCCTTATATGTATATTCCCATCTCTACCTAGCACGAGGCCTTTTGGGAGCTCACTGGCTTCGGGTTCCATGGGAACTCTGAAGTTAAGCGAGTAGTGCCCAAAGCGGACAATATCGTGCTACGGTGATGAAGCGGGTCTGGGAAGTGATCCCCCGGGCCGGAATGTGACATTTACACAATCATATTCTTATTAATAATTATATTCACCATACTTTTAAAAAATTTAAGCAATTTTATAAAATTGAATTTTTATTAATACAAGTGACAAATAATTATAGTATGATGGGCTCCACATATTCCAAGTCAGCATATTAACAATGTTACTAATAAAGTTGGATGATAAACACCATATTAAGAAGTGAAGTTAGATTGATAAGTTTACAAACTAATGAGTCGGTGAAACAGAAAATCATCTGTGATAAGATCCCCGAATTAATTAACTTATCAAGGTGGGTAGACAAAGAAACAAAACCTTATCCGAATTCGATTTCAAAAGTGGGTTTAGAGAGAGGGAGATGGTGGGGGACCCACTCCCTTTTGGATAAGCTTCACCAGTCACAACTGACGAGGATAAGAAGGAGGAATAAGGTTCCTCTTCCGATCATCCTTATAAGGATTTTAAGAATCTTTAAATTGTATTCGTTTATTGTATATTGTAAAATCAATTTTAGTTCAGCATTGTTTATTTTTAATTTTAAATAAAAATATTTAAAATAATTTTTAAGTACATGATATATGATAAATGAACACAAATTAAAATTTTTAGAATTTCCACAAAAAGATTCGGAGAAGATTTTCGTTGAAGGACCGGTGGCTTCCCAACCCGACACAAACCTAAAATAAATAAATACTCTCTCCCTCCCGAGGGCCGACCACATTCTTCGACGTGGAAGCTTCTGATGACTCAACGTGGCATGCCAAGAACAAACTGTGGGCGGTTTTTCAGGTAGGATGCGCCCCAAGTCTCTGACTCCCAAAGGGAGACGGAGTTTCCATTTTTATCCGGTGCAACTCTTTTCTTGGTGGCCCCAAATCTCGACCAATAAAATCCCTTGTAGCTTTATTCTATCATGTTGATCATGTTAGAGCACTGGATATCGTTCAACCACTATTTAAACTTTTTTTGTTTTAACTAAATTGGATTTAAGGGCTCGAAGTTTCGAAGTATTTAATATTGTACAATTTTACTATATCAACTAAAAAATTCAAAATATAACGGCATTTCAATCAAAATAGTTTTAAGACTTGCATAACTCCTCATTTTAATTTCTAAAATTTGAAATCGATAGAAATTCTTCTTTATCAACTGTCAATCATTTTGGTCATGAAAAATATCTATTAAATAAGACCAAAATGACGAAATTACCATCAAACTAATAAACAATGGACCAAAATAAGTTGACAAAAATTTAGCGTATTTTTGTCATCTTTTCCTTATTTAATAGAGATTTTTTATGGAATGACCAAAATGATTGACAACAGATTCAGGAACCAATTCTATCAATTTTAAATTTTAGAGACCTAAGTGAAGAGTTACGTCAATTTCAAAAATCATTTTAGCCAAAATACTTTTGTCAAATTCGTATAAGAATTACTCGACTAGATTAAAAACAATTATCCCTAAACACATGATTTTGTCTAAAATGATTTCTAACTTTCTAATATTAGAGATGTTAAAAACAATGTTAATTCAAAACATTTCACAGCATATAAAAACATCGATTAATCAAATCAAGATATTAAGTTATCATTTAGTGATTAAAATTTCCGTCAAATGTTTTATACATCTCAAGCTGAAAATGAATATTTTTACTTTTAAGATTTTCTTACATACAAATTTATTTATTTTTGTTCTATCACTCGATTCATCTTTGATTTATTCGATCAAAATTAGAAAAACGAAAAAAAAAAAAAAAAGGATTGAAAAAGTGTAAAGAGTAAAGAACCGAGATGGAAACAGCGCAAGTAGAATAGGATGCGAAGCAGGGGATGACAGCTCCTTGAAAGATATTGCAAGGTACATCTTAGTTGGCAAAGGGATTTGAGGATAAGGCCTAAAGTCTAAAGTCTGTGCTGGCTCTGCAGTGCCATCAATTTTTTTTACTAATTATAAAATTAATTAATTAGGAACATTATCCTCTCCTAATCACATAATCAAGCATAATTAAACATTATCCAACCACTTAATCTCAAGCATTAATTAATCATTATCCAACCACTTAATCTCAACCACCTTAAAGCTATATATACAAATTAATCCCCAGACAACAAAGTGTATGAAAAGAGAAACACGATGCGTTTCCTCCTCCGGCAAATCTAAGCTGCTTTCGACCGACAATCTCAAGATCCGCCGCCGCTCATCGATCGGTCGTCCCTCCGTTGAAATCCCAAATCGATTACTTTGCCTGATTTGTCAGATTTAGGTTGCGTTTGTGATACATTAATGTCGATTGCATTGAATAGCACAGCGGCTAGGATCGGCATCGCGCCGTCGTCTGGGTTCGCGCACGGCGGGGTCGCGTGTGGTGGGTTGCTCTTCGACTCGCCGGAAAACCGCCGGGGGGTTCCCGCCGGTGAGGTTTCGGTTTCTTCTTCGAGTTCGTCGTCGATCGGGAAGAACAGCGACGATGAATCGGAGAGATACGACGGCGGCGAAAATGATGAGGCTCAGAGCTCGTATAAAGGTCCGTTGGATATGATGAACGAGTTGGAGGAAGTTTTACCCATGAGGTTAGCAGTTAAATCTTTTTTTCATTTTTAACTGCAAATTTTACTTTGGTATGTACTCAAAAATAGTTTATAAAATTATCATAACTTCTTACTTTCGTCATTTAAAATCGATCAAAGTGATTTCTGAGTTTATCCATCATTGATCATCTTGGTTGTTTCGTATAAAAATTCCTTTAAATAAGACTAAAATGATAAAATACTGTCTTCTACCTTTTTTTCTGTTGGGCGTTATGCATGTCACAGAAAGCGATATTCTAATTTACTCTAATTTATGTAACGTAATTTAAACTGATCAACGAACCTAATTCACGTCTGTAATCGGAGTTTGTTCGGTGCTTTTTGACTGATGAAATTATGAAAAAATTGCAGGAGAGGGATCTCAAAGCACTACAACTATAAATCCAAGTCCTTCACAAGTCTAGTAGAAGCTTCATCTTCTTCCAACATCAAGGAGCTTGCAAAACCAGACAATGCCTACACCCGAAAACGCAGGAACCTCCTTGCCTCCAACCACATGTGGGAGAAGAACCGAACCTCCTTCCCGCTGAGAAGCAATGGCGGCGGAATTTCAAAGAGGCCGATTCCGTCCAGTCGAAGCGCATTGGCTCTGGCTGTGAAGCTGGGCAGCTGCTCGGAAAGCAGTACTAGTAGCACAAGTGAGGAATCCAATTCGAGCTCAAATCCGTCGTCGCCGCGGCCACCTCTCCCACCGGGTAACGCTTGTGCACTAGGAAGTTATGCAGCTTGGAGATCGTATTCATTGGCTGATCTGCAAGAATGTACCGTTGCTACGATTGTAAATGCTTCACGATTCTCGGCGGCTTCCACGACGAAACCGAACGTGTAGAAACCCTAACTTGAATCTTGCCAGTGTTCCTGCCTGCAGCGAGCTGAGTTTGCGATGGTGTTGTCAGGAAATATGGTTCTTCTAGTCTAATTAATCTTTGATTAAAAGTGTAAGGGTAGAAGAATTTCAAAAATCTGATGTTACTTGTACATATGTTGAATGAGTAAAATAACCCCATTTTACAACAACTGATTTGCATTCACGAATATTGTTAATTTGCTTAGAATTTTGAATGTTTCTCAAGAGGGCAGCTTTGACAGAAGCAATGGATTAGGCAGCACTAACAATTAACTATCTAACACTAAAGAGACCGATTTTATGCATAATATTGCGGGTTCAATCTCTGCTGATTATTTTATCTCTAACAATTAACAATCTAGAACCCAGATCTTTTCCGAATCTAAAAAATTTAAGTCTAAAGATCAAATGATCCGGACCGTTAAAATTTGATCTAACAGTTACAAATAGGGAGCTTCTAAAACTTATAATAATCGTAGCTGTTAAATCAAATTTCAACGGTCCGGATTATTTTATCATTAGGCTTAGATTTTTTAGATCCGGAGAGGATCTTGGTTCAACTATCTAATCCACTAAAATATTATCGCTCTACTAAATCTCTAACAATTAACTATTTAACTCACTTAAAACACTATCGCTCTACTGAAAAAAAAAAATAAAAATAAAAATAAAACAAAACAGAGAGACTTGATATAAATAAGTCCATTTTTAGGAGTCTCTATGGGAACAGTCCAATTTTTACTCCTTACTGAATTAGGTCCGATGATTGGGAATCCTCATAAGCAAGTTACCCTATTTCTTTGCATTTTGTATGATTTGATTATTTTCATACCTAGTTTACCCTTAATTACTTTTGGCTTCTTAAGATTAGTTTTCAGCTGTTGTGCGTGTAATTATCTACTCCTTAATTCTGGGTTGGCTTTCATATAATTTAGCATTCAGAAACGAACGTCCTTCAAATTTCTGATCTTCCAAACTCTCCCCTCCAGCCTCTGTAAAAACAGCAGCATTCCCAATCTTCCAAATTATGCACATAATTAAGATCAACCACTGCATAATCTCCTTCCTCCTCTCATATTCTGCAAATCAACAAGCCATGAACTTAGGCCCCTACAGACTAGAAACATCCGGCTGCAAAAGGCATATATACCAGGAGGTCTTGTATTTCCTGCTCACCTATCATCAACAGAACAACAATAACAACCAAGAAACAACCAACAATACTATTTTATACCTGTCCTATGTAACCCAATACCCCAGTGATTAAAATTTCTTCGATACGGTCAACATTTCTATGAAAATATCCAAAAAAAATTAGAGAAAGATATGAAAATGAGCAGTGAAGTTTAGACTTCACTTATGTCGGAGAATCTCTTAAGTTTAGGCTAAAATCGATATATATAGTCAATATTTCTAACACAACTGTTAAATATCAGAGAAACTCTTATATTTCGTCCAAACCAATGTTTGACAATCCCTATAGTTTCATTTTAAAACAAAGTTTAAATTCTTGTAGAAAACAAATCTCTTAGATTTGGTTTTGGAAGAGACTTGGGTCCAAAACATGGTTGTGCAAATTCTGGGCAGATTTTCCTCATCAGTTAGGGATTATGCTTTGTGCTTTTTAATTTGGTTATAATATTATGCATGCAGGTTTTGAATTGTTAATTACCGGTTTAAATTATCTATTTGTCTTATTGATTCGAGACAATTATATTTTACAAATCCCACCCCACCTCTTCAAGCATCTCCAAAAGAGCTATCAAAATGTTCAAATAAGCTTCAACAGTCATAAAAGGTAGCAACAAAATTTTCCAACCGAGAACCAAATTTGATGTGTCATGACATGGAATAGCAGCCACAACCTTGCTGTCAAATTTGACAGCAACGTTGAATATTCTTCTTCGTCAAGCTCCTACTTCTTCCCTGATTTTTTGATTCGCCGATACAAATATCCTTCTTTGTCGAACTCCTACTTCTTCCCCCATTTTCTGATTCGCCGATACTACCCAATAGTTGGTTTCCTCAGTTCCTCCAGGCCTACCAAAATCCCATCTTTTATTTTACCAATCCCCTAATCCTACTGTGGTTTTTCTAGAGTTTCTTTCATATCTGTTCATTAGATTGGGGATCTGATTTTGTATTTTAATTTTATATTAATCTTTTGCTTAGCTTTTTGGGTTTTTATTTTTAAATACTGGGTTTCTGAATACCATATTGGTTAGTGCTTCTGCAGCAAATGAAAAATTGAACCCTTGAAGAGGAAAACCGAAAATTCTTATCTGGGTTGTTGCTTTGTTTCCTGGAAAAATTCTTATATGGGTTTTTTTGGGAAAATTCTTACCTTCGAAGATGTGGGGTGAGATTTGTAAAATATAAATATAAAATAAAAATTATAAAAAAACAATAATGTAATAAAATAATAGTTCAATTTGATATATGGGATGGAGACTAAAATTTTAAAAGATGTCAAATTGTCACATAGGTATTAGGTTTAAAATTTGATATTTCCTTTGGAGATGGTCTTTGAAAGTATCCCAAAAAAAAACCCAGATAAGAATTTTCCCAGAAAAACAAAGGAAACAACCAAATAAGAATCTTCGGTATTCAGAAATCTAGTATTTAAAAATCAAAAAGCTAAGCAAAAGATTAATATAAAATTAAAATACAAAATCAAATCCCCAATCTGATGAACATATATGAAGGAAACCCTATAAAAACCAGAGGAGGATTGGGGGATTGGTAAAATAAAAGATGGGATTTTGGTAAGCCTGGAGGAACTGAGGAAACCAACTATTGGGTAGTATCGGCGAATCAGAAAACGGGGAAGAAGTAGGAGCTTGGCGAAGAAGAATATTTGTATCGGCGAATTAGAAAATGGGGGAAGAAGTAGGAGCTCGGCGAAGAAGAATATTTGACGTTGCTGTCAAATTTAATAGTAAGGGTGTGGGCTGCTATACACAAGTATCACAAGAAATATATTTATATACTGGTTGTTTCTACCTCTCAAATTAGTCAAATTTAACAGCAAGGGTGTGTGTTGCTGTCAAATTTGTCAAATATTTGGAACTCTTTGCTCGTTTCTACCTCTCACAAATATCACATGAGAAATATATTTATATATATATATATATAGATATATATAGGCTGGTTGTATGCATGCTAGAATCAATCTATCATATACTGGTACAGCCCCATGAGATATTTACTACATCTCCTTCAATTTTTTGTGGTAACAATCAGATGTCTTCCCATCTAAACATATATAACATGACCAGACTCACGAGACATGCTTCATCTGAATAACTCAAAATTTAATTTAAAACTTGGCATGCACGGAACCTGCTAGAAATGGTTAAATCCCAATCACCTGGCATTGTCTAAAGATGAAAGCCTTTTAGAATACGAGACCACAAAAATTTCCCCAAGTCTTGAGCTGGAAGTAGTTTCTAAGTAAAAACTCGACAAGAGCTCCCAACTCCTTCCAAACGCACTTAAAACACTTTTGATTATCTGAAAAAACTTTTAGCTCTACTTGCTAAAAGTACTTAAAACAAGCTAGGAAAGTCAATTCGATTGCACTATAACACAATATGTTCTTGTAGTGACATGAATTGTCCTCATCTTACCACAATCCAAACAACAACAAAAAAAAAAATGCATGTCATGTACTAACGTGAAAAAATGTACGTGAGAAGTCGGGTTGAGAATCAATTTCACATTGTAAGAAAAAAAATGCTGAACTATTCATAATATTACCAATTGTTTGAACGGTAAAGACTTCAATTGATTCAATTACTTTAATGCTAGGGTGTGAATTGGAGTTGTTTACAGAATAAGGCATCACGACCATCCTGCATTTTTCTCTGTTCTCTCAATTTTTTCTGTTTCAATTGTTAAACAATTTCTAGGACCAAAAGTGGCCTCGGCAGTCGCGGCACATGCACTCATTTCTGTGATTTTTCACACTCCAAAGCGTTACTTATATTTTCTAATTGGCTTTTTCTTCACCAACTTCCAACTAACAGAGAAATTTTTAGTTGTGGCCGGAATACGGATGATACACCATGTATGTTTATGTAAGTGGTGAAAAATTTTAATTTTTAAGTTATTAACCTTTTAACACATATAACCCACTATTTATATAGGGACACATGATATACCACCTTATGTGACGGTCACACTGAAAAATCTCTCCAACTAATGGTCCCTAAAGGATGTTAAACTTTGGATTATATTATAATTTAGATCCATCAAAGGCGGAAGACTCTTGTGAGAATGTGAGCACGCCTGCTTGTGTAAGAATATTTCAATATTTTAGTGTGGTCCATATATGGAATAATTCATGTGTGATATATTTAGGTTCAACGGATATTGATTTGGAGCCACTCAGTATTACGGTCTGGTAGCATTTCTCTGTTCAGGTTTGAATCTTGTGGATGGTGAATTCGAAACCAAATTAGGCTACCCATTATGTGGTTTTGCCGAATTCCCCCTCTCCTTAGTATAAAAATATTGATGTACTAAAAAAAACAAATATTGATTTGGAAGTAATTTTATTGGTCAAATTATGAAGTTGGTTTCATATTTTATTACTGTGATGATAATTAATTATATGTTGAAAACACTTATTAGGGTTTTAGCGTGCAAACACGACTAGAGAGAGAAACTCAATTTCCTCCACAACAACAGCTCATCTACGGACCGCTAAGGATACAAGTTGTAGATGACATTTGACAAGCTAATCATTAAGGTATGTGATTTGCATATTCTGGATTAATCGTTTGCGAAAATCATGAAGTTGAAGATTTTGGCTTACAAATTGTTTTAAGAATAAATTTCACAATTTAAGAGAAAGAATCTTGTTTTTACCGTAAAAACCTCGATGTATTCAATTACTTTATTGCTAGGGTGCGATGTGAATTGGAGTTGTCCTCCATAGAATAAGACATCACAACCATCACGCGTTTCTCTGTTCCCTCAATTTTTTCGGTTTCAATTGTTAAACAATTTCTAGGACCAAAAGTGGCCTCGGCAGTCGGCACAGGCACTCATTTCTGTGATTTTTCACGCTCCATAGCGTTAATTATATTTCCTTATTGTCTTTTTCTTCACAACTTTCAAGTAATTGTCATTAAAAAAAGTTAAAACTTTGGATTATATTATAATTGCGGTAATGTTAAAGAGATTAAATTCGTAGATAAAGTTTTGAGAATTAAAAGACATGAAAGTTAATGATTGATTTATTACTTAAACGTTCATAAACTTGTTTGTTTTTATCGATGACACATCATTTAGTTTGCAAATTCAATCTCTAAATTTAATTTCTTTAACATTACCCAATTGAGATCCAGCAAAGGCGGAAGATTGTCTGTCCCCTTCAAAACTAATTTGACTTGGAGTTTTATAAGCAGCCAGGCAAAAGCAACGGCACACCCGCATATTCAGCACTGCATTTCTTGTTCATCCATCCTTCGTCTACAGACTCCCTATTTGTTTCTTTCACTGTCACCCCATTTCTGGAGAGAGGCTGAAAGATGGCTGACGGGCTCATTTCCATGCTACTGGATCGGCTAACTTCAACAGCTTACGAATACGTAGCAGAAGAGGTGAAACTTGTTTTGAACGTCACCAAAGAAGTTGAAGATTTCGCTGCCAAACTCATAGGCATTCAAGCTGTTCTCGAAGATGCGGAGCAAATACAAGTGAAGAAGGCCAGTGTCAGAATCTGGTTGGATAAGTTGAAGAACATATCCTTCGAGATGGTGGACGTGCTGGACGAGTGGAATACTGATGTCCTGAGACAACAAGTTGAGCAGCAAGAACGAGAAGCTGAAAATGCTGTTGTTCTTGAGAAGAAGAAGAAGAAGAAGAAGAAGGTAACTTTCTCTGCTTCCTCTAGTTGCTTTTGTTTTCGCAAAGCTAGAGAGGTAATCTTTCGCCATGACATTGTGCTTAAGATAAAAGATCTGAACGATAGGCTAAGTGTGATAGATGAGCAAAGAAGAAACACGCTTGTGTTTCAACTCAATGAAAACGGCATTCAACAAGTACCTAAACGACAAGAGACTTCTCACTTTGTTGACATGTCCAAGGTTTTTGGTCGAGAAAAAGAAAAAGATTTTTTGATAACAAAGTTGTTGAGTGATGGTAGAGAAGACCATAGGGGGGTCCTTGTCATCCCTGTTTTAGGGATGGGAGGAATGGGTAAGACAACCTTGACCCAACTAGTTTATCATGATGACAATGTTATTGCCTATTTTGAAAAGAGAGTGTGGGTTTGTGTCTCAGATCCTTTTGATGTGATTAAGATTGTCAAAGCAATAACCGGTGATAACACTCCAAGTTCAAATGATCAGTTGAGCCATGTCTTGGAGTGTACGTCAAAATCCATCGAGGGCAAGAGATTTCTCATTGTTCTAGATGATGTGTGGACTCATGATCATGAAAAGTGGGAACAGTTAAGGGTACCACTTGTCCAAAGTGGTGCTAAAGGTAGTAGAATACTGGTAACCACAAGACAACGTGATGTTGTTGATACGATGAGAGCAACAAGTGACATGATCAATCTAGGAGAGTTGAGTAACGAATATTGTTTGTCAATCTTCAACCACATGGTATTTTTTGGTAGGCATGTAGATGAGTCTAAGGCGTTTGAAGATATTAGTAAGAAAATGGTGGAGAAATGTAAGGGTTTGCCTCTCGTTGCAAAAGCTTTAGGCAGTCTCATGCATAACAAGAGAACGAAGAAGGAATGGCTAGGTGTCTTGAATAGTAAGATATGGGATCGAGAAGAGATGGAGCAAAAAGTTTTCCAACCACTGCTACTAAGTTATTATGATTTGGCCCCATCAATTAAATCTTGTCTTTTATATTGTGCTAGTTTTCCTAAAGATTATAAGTTTGAGAGAGAAGACTTGATTAATCTTTGGATGGCACAAGATTATCTTAATTCAAAAGAGAATAAAGATAAGGGAGAAATTGGTGAAGCATTTTTTGATAACTTAAAAGTACAATCCTTTTTTCAAGATTTTGAGAAAGATAGTGTCAAGGGTAAAATTATGGGCTGCAAAATGCATGATATCGTTCATGACTTTGTACAATGTCTCACCAAGAACGAATGTTTGATCAACGACGTTGAAGGTGTTGGTAATGAACTAGAGGTTTTGGGTGAAAAGGTTCACCATTTGACGTTAGTGTTGGAACATGGTAAGCCATTCCAACCATCTAATGCACATCACAATTGCAAAAATCTATGTACGCTCACAATTCTTTATTCATACTTCAGACTCAAATTTTATTCTACAACAAAAATGTCTTAGGACATTAAATTTGAGAGGAAATAACATAAGAGAAGTCCCGAAGGAAATTGGTGAATTGTTACATTTGAGGTATATTGATTTGTCATTGAATGGGAATTTGAAGATATTGCCGGACAGTATATGTGGGTTGTACAATTTGTATATCTTGCGCCTCAATTACTGTTATTCACTTGAAAAATTACCTGATAACATGGAAAAGTTGATTAGCTTAAAGCACCTTTATATTAATGGCTGTTTGAGCCTGAAGTACTTGCCAAAAGGGATTCGGAGATTAAAAAAATTGAAAAAAATAGATGCGTGTGTTGTGTCTTGTGGTGGCGACGAGGTTACAGCAGCATTACAACTGGGAGATCTGGAACTCTTGAACTTTGAGGGCTGTCTCTTCACAAAGTTCAAGGGGAATGTGGAGGATGAGAGGGAGATTGAAAAAGCACAACTGTGGGAAAAAAAACAAATCACTCATCTCACAATTAATTGTGAGCATGCCCGATACAAGCAGACAAGAAGCACAACAGAAATACTGAATGTCTTGCGACCGCACGAAAATCTGGAATCTTTACGCATTTGGTTTCATTCAGGCAACACCTGGCCCAGTTGGTTGATGTTTTTGCACAACTTAAGAAAGCTCGATCTATTTGAATGGAGTGAATGCAAGTATTTGCCTCCTCTCGGGAAACTGCCGCGCCTTGAAGAACTGTCTCTAGAGGGATTGAGGAAGGTGAAAGAGGTTAGTGGTGAGTTTCTGGGAATAGACAAAGATGAAACTTCATTGACATCATCATCATCCTCATTTTTCCCAAAGTTGAAAAAAACTCGGAATTCGCTCCATGGATGCGTTGGAAGAGTGGGAAGTAGGCGCGGAAGGGTGGAACAAAGAGGGTTCTGAAATTTCAATCAAGCCATGCCTTTCCTCCTTAGAAATTCAACACTGTGGATCCTTAAAAACACTGCCAGACTTCCTCTGCAAAACACCCCTGCAGGAGCTTGTCATCAACAACTGTTACAGGCTTGCAGATCGTTGTAAACAAGGCAGTGGAGAGGAGTGGCCCAAGATTTCTCACATCCCAAACATCAGAATTATGAGTCTACTAACGTCATCTCCTGGTAACATATGCGCTCTATATTTTCAGAAATTTACGTATGCATCAGTTACGGTTATCTTCATATTGCTTTGCTTACTTTTCTTCTTCTGTGTATATGGATGACGCTTTTACGTAATTATTCATCGCTCCATGGAAGTACTCCTATGGCCTATCATACGTTTACCAAATTCGATATCAAATTTCCGTGCGCGGGATTTGCTAGCTCATCTTAGTTTGCTCAAACTTTTTCACAGACTACAACATACGGGACTGAGCTGGATGCGAGACAAATTAAGGACTGCCAGTTGAATTCACCTTCAGCCTTCATCAAGCCACCAAAAGTTTCTCATGAGATGTTGCTGAATCGGGAATCCGTCTGTCGTTTCAGGGAATCCGTCGAAGCGAAAAGTTATGACGTCAACCATCAACGTTACCTACTGAAGTTCAACTGAAATTTTGATCATCTTCACCGATGCAATGAGAAGATGCTTGGACCCGCTCCTTCATGGTCATTTTACAACATGTCAAAATACAATCAGGTGAACAAGGAAGTTAACGGCATTGACTCTGCATTTCTTGCGCTCCCCTTAATTGGTTTCTTGGCAATTGAGAGTGGAGTGGAAGAATTGCTTGCATAGAATTTCACAAATGCATTTTCGGTCTTCTCACATTTATAGGAAAGGTAATCTAGCTGCTGATGCCTTTGCAAATCATGGTTCCTCTTCTACTGGTCCTATTTGGTGGGATTCTCCTCCTGATTTCATTCTGCCATATTATCAGCGTGATTATGTAGGACTTCCACACTACCGCTTTAGATAGATTATTTTTGTTGGCCTTGTTATATCTTGTATTGGTTGTTCGAAGTTTTGTTTGTTACGGGTGTTATCATGGTCAAGGTTAGGCTTTATGTTCCCCTTATCTGTTGTATTTTCCATCTTTTTAATAAAGATACCTCATTGTCACTTCGCATGATAGCAATGCTGGAGTGGGATTGATTTTGTGGGTTTAACGTAAAAAAAAAAAAAAAAAAAAAACCTTGGTTTGATTGTTTTAAGTTTGGTTTAGCAGTCAAAGACATGATTACATGTGACGCTTAATGTGTCATCATCTAAACATTAAACATCTCTCACATGCTATGTTTGGACGAGGAATTTACAGGACCCAAGAGATTTATCTCAAGTTAAAAAGAAATATACCATTCAAATGCGACATGAACAGAATTAGAGAAATCCTTCATGAGCATTACCAAGACAGTCATTTTCTTTATGCAACAAGGATCGATACTGAATTTGGGTGACAAAAAATATTCGAAACGTCATACATTAATTTTGAGAAATATAATTTGTTTAATTATTTTTTCATACAAAGGATCGATAGTGGTGATATACTGTTTACCAGTACAAATAACTGTTTGGCATAAAGTTAAAAAAATAAAAATGGTAACAAGAAATCTGCAATTTCCTTGATCCTCTTTCTGAATGTACAAATAAGAAGTACAGAAACATCGTGATACAACATGGACGCGATTTCAAGAGTATAAACATGTCACTCTCGGCGCCAACCTTAACCCCTCCCCGACGTCCCCAGCCCCGTCGTCCAAGAGAACGAAAACAAAAGAATTGGAGAGAAATGTAGTTTAATTACAATAAGATGACCAATCCCTAAACCTGCAACTGATTGGAGGGGAACGAATTCATCAAGCTTGATGAAGCCTAAAAACCCGAAAAATTTAATTAACGAATTCGAGCAATGTCACAACTCATCCTCTTAATATTTAGATGATTGCTGCTCATTTTTTGAACTTCTAAGCGTGTAAAAGACATTTCCCTTTACATCCATCTGGCGTAAGCTTACACCGCAACCCTTGTGAGTTTAGCGCACGATTTAAGTTTGGGGCTGGACAAGAAACTGCACGCAAGTATAACCAGACAAGGATGATGGAAGTTCGATTTCTGAAGGATCGGTTAGAGGAATTGCCTTGTCAATATCTTCGGTAGAGAATGGAATGCTGCAATGAGAAAGTTAAGAAAATAGGTTAAGGTTTTCGGTTCTGTTTTTTATCAGACAAGTAGCAATACTTGTTTTGTATGCAATTAGATGAGATAATTGGACGAGAAGCGGATTACCTCAGATCATCATCCAACAAGAACGAATTGGAGGTCAGATTCTGGTTGTCCTTGTTCAAAATCTCCCTCATTTGAGCAACCACCTGCAAGCAATAACGTTCAGATAACAATGGGACTCCAATCACAAAGTTTACGGAACAACAAAGAACTAAACATGCAAACATGCCTCGTTGGACACACTCTGAGTGCCGTATTTATCATCCCAGTACATGGTACTTATTCGGTAGATTTGTCTGACAGTCAATGCCTGTACATTGTTCACAATGCCAAATGGATTAATTTTGGAGGTAAAAACACTTTTTGTGAGGCCAGTAACGGGTAAAAGAGAAGATTGAGACAAACTAAACATGCAAGAGCATCATACCGGACAAAGATCCTGCCTAATTTCATCCAGAGACTTTTTCCTCTTCTGATGTATTACCTATACCAAATAGCACAAACAGAAAAGGTTCCTAACTTCTCATAGATTGTACATTTTAAAATTCAAAGAAAATATCTTTAGCTTGTACCAGAAAACCAACAGCTTGTCTGATATAATTTAGCTCGTGCCAAGAGGTTCCAGCATACTGCATTACATAAAGAGTCAGACCAACAAATGCATAAAGTCATTTAAACGCAGAATGCTTGCAACATGGTAGTTATATACTTGCCTCCTCCCCGGTGTTGCCAATCCATTTCTCCAGTTCAGCAAGACCTGATTTTACATATTCACCGTTCGAAAATGTGCAACATTCGCGTCGCAGCAGTAGACTGCCCAGGGAAAGAAAAGGTAGAGTTAATACATAAACCATTACAAATGCCATTTATTAGCAATGAAAGCCTGGAATAGCAATAAACTCTTGCCTGTTGAAAAGTGACATATTGATGAAAGAGAAGACCTGTGTGATTAGCTTGCGAATGAAAAATGAAGGTACCTGAGTAAAGTACAGTGTTTAGGTTAGAAAAGAATAAGCAAAAGTCAACAAAGGAAATAACAGAGTACAACTGCAACTTCTTATACACGCTCGAGCGTAATTAATTCTGGGTTTTCACCCATCACGGGGAACTTCAAAATAAATATTAAGCTTCAATTTAGCAAACAATTACATGATCTAGATAAGAAGCTTTGACATCAACTAATGGAAATTGGTGATTTAGGTGACCATGGCCAACAGTTTTTGCAATACATGATAATATAAAAACATAAAAGGAATGTAGATTTAAAGAAACAAATCAGAAAAATGGCCCACGTACATGATTCCCACGTAATCGACTCATTAGGGTATCCAAGAATTTGATTATGTTGTCCCACTGACTTCCAGGTAATTGCTGAGGAGCATTACCAGGTGATCTAGATGACTTTCGCGCAGCTTTGGGTGCCTTAAAATTTGCCATGAATATTCATAACATGTTATTAGTATGTAGATCGATCAAACACAGACAAAACAAAATCTATTGGCCAAAAGATAGCATTCAGAAATTAAAATCAAACATTAGGCTTCAGAAGGCCAGCTAAAAGAAAATGGAAGTGAGAATCTTTAGGGTTTTTTTGTGTAAATCTTCTATGTGAATGAGCTGAGCAACAATCTATCTTTTTTCTCCCTTCTATACTTGGGAAGGCTAAAGTACTACCTGACGTATGGGTTCTTGTTCAGATAATTGCTCATGGCAGGTCAATACTTGTGATTGATTCAAAGCAAGAGTTATATAATTTCTGTCCCCAAGCATTCGTGTACCATGACTAAAAACGAAGGAAGATGCACATTCATTCATTTCTTCTTTGTCTCATTGCTTTAAATTAACTAAACTACAG